TTTTCGATATAAAAGACTATTGCCCTGATGCTCATGTAGGCGTTTTTAGATGTGCAGACATTTCAACATTAACTATTAAGTATAGGTAGGTACCTCTATATTCAACCTTTTCATTCTTTCCTATAGATGAGAGAAATTCAATAATCAACGAGAGCTTTTTGATTGTGATTTTCTGACCAGCAGAAGATTCTGGAAGCATTAAAAATTGGTAAAGAAAAAAGAGAAACCAATGAATAGAATTCCGAAAAAGAAAAATTCAAACTAGAGCTTATTAAACTCGTTGATAGTATAGTCACATTTATAGCGATGAGGAGGGAGAAAACCAGTATGGCATTTACCATCTGAAACGCATCAAAATAAAAAAGTTACTCAACAGAGACGTTTATACCGAACAATCAAAAAAGCTGTTCCTATAATAAACGACTTATTTAGTAATAAATTAATCCATCCAGATGATATGGACGCCGATAATATCGCAATAAATCTGATGTATCCACCAAAAAAAAAATTAATAAGTAAATAAGTTGTGTTTATTGTGTCAATTTTGTCCTGATATAAAAAAAAAACATGTGAGGCCTTTGGAATGTTTAGCTCTCGCAATATAAGCATCTCATTCGGAAAGAAAAAAATACTTTGCATAATTTTTCCAAAACATTACACTCGATCACTTGATACTCATGGATTATTATTATGTTTTTAAATTTGGCGCGTGCTCTGCATCAGCGGCGACGTCCGACCATGATCGGACATCATCGGATGCAGAGAGCCTCCGGTGTTTATAGACGCTTGTCATATGCCTGGATCGATTACCGAAAGGCATTCGACACAACGTCACATGAGTTACTGGTGTACTTGCTCAAATGTCTTTCGGTACCCGATTCTATAGTGAGATGCATAGAACAACTGATGCTGGTCTGGAAGACCCGCTTTACCATAACATCAGGTAAAGCGAGAGTCCAAACAGAGCCAGTCATCATAAGGAGAGGAGTATTTCAATCATCTCATATATACTGTGTGGTCCACTTACCATGGTCGAAATTTGAACATTTCCTCGATTATCGATTATTCGAAGGATATGCAGTCGAGCTCCCCTCTCTGGAATCGTATGCAAATAATGTCGGGAAATTGATTGATGGGTCCCAATTCATTGTTTCGCCAAAGTTGCTATAACACTGAAAAATTGTCACTTCCGGTTCGTATGCCGCCCTTGGGGAGTGACCTAGGCGTATGCAAACCGGCAAGCGCCCCAATTTTCGAGAGATAAGATCATTGCACTTCATTGCCGAGCTTCTTCTTAAACAAAATTTTGAACTTTTTTCCAACCAAAAGGTGAGGTCAGGGTCAGGGCAAGGACTGGGATGCGACTCTCCGAGGCACTTCTTCCTGTTAACTTGGACTAAGTGAGTGAGTGCCTTAAATGGCATACCGACTTAGAACATCGATAAACCCTGTGTCGCGGGCCAACAGTCTATTATGAACTCTGATCTTGATGAGCTTGGAACTTCCAGAAAAATCATTCGTATCAGTGATATGGGAATTATATCTCTCACACACAGAGGTTATATGAATTCATTTCGGATATCATATCCTCATCAGTAACCTGAAGTCCAGTTATTCTTTCAGCCATTCTTCATGATATACACAATTTTAATCTCCCTATAATATAACTAAAACTATAACGGACTGACATCTGAGAATTATTACGATTTGTTGACATATACTCCTGTCATTTGGGCAGTGGTTTTTTTGGATGTATGATAAATTGACATTCATCATACAGGACGTGGAAAGAAATTCTGAATTGGGAAAAACCTAATCACGAATCACGAATCTGTGATTGAGGTCTATAAAAATAACAAGTTTCTATCGTTCAAGTTTGAACCCCTTGATTGATTTTTTTGGCAGTTCCAAGCTCATCAAGATCAGAGTTCACGAGTTGCTTTCTTGAAGACGTCAGAAGTCCACGTCGCAGGATCGTCTTCGATGTTACAGTATCCACCAACAATGCGCATTTCTTTCCGTTGATCTGTCCATCCACGTAGACGCTGCTGTTATCACGCCGTAGGGATGCCATAAAGATGAGAGGGTCTTGAGAATGACGGGTCGAAGCTGCGGCTGCGTGGAAGATGATTCTTTCTCAGCAGCCTGTTTCGCACGTTTACAAGCACTTTGGAGGTGGCCCAACTCCCCGAAATACCAACAACGTACCGATCTTCTCTTCTTATCCCAGAGGCCCTGGATGGCGTTGATTAAGGCTTCAGTAGGATCTTTCCTGGTATTTTCCGCTATGTTTCCGCTCTCGTTCATTGCTCGGACTCTCGCTGATCCTCGGAAAGCTTCTGCTGCGGCCTCGATCTCAAGCGCAGCTGCCAGAGCACTGGTGAGGTCTTTTGATCGAGTCAGGCGAACTGCTTTCTGCATTTCGATATCCCGCAATCCATCCACGAACGTTTGAACAGCTATACATTCCATAAGTGACTCTGGGGCTGACGGGTAGGCACAGTGGACCAATCGGGCTATATACAGCCACTTCGAATTATTGAAGACTCTCGTTGGCTCTCTGTCGACGGCTCTTCATTTGTGATTGAAACACTTGCTGCAGATGTTTATGGCCATATCGCATGTCGAGACGTTTGACGAGATGATCGTAGCTATCGACTTCACCTTCCGGAATGGCTTACAAGATGTTCAATGCAGCACCCCGTAGAGCTACTGTCAGAGCCACAACCTTCTTGGATGTCCACTAATGTGCTTCGAACTGCTTCAGATAGTTCGGCCACGATGTTTTTCCATCGAATGTAGGTGGTTTTACTCGATTAGTAGTCACTGCATCTGGCCCTACTGTGGTTTCAATGAGTCGTTGACCATTTCCTGACTTCTCCAGCAAAGATCTTCTTTCTATTTCGAGCTGCAGCTTCTTTTCCATTTCTTCTATCTGAGTGATGAATTGGGTTGAAACCTGAGCTATAATCTTATCCTGCTGAGACGCGATCTGTTATTGCTGAGCAACGATCTGTCCTTTCTGAGCAACGGTCTGTTATTGCTGAGCAGCGATCTGAGTCAGAACCTCTTCCCGATGTGTTGATATCTGGGTCAATACTTCTTCTCGATGGGCAGATATCTGAGAGGCAATCTGATCTTGCTGAGCAGAGAACTGAGCTAGTAACTCTTTCTGAGCTATTAACTCTTCCTGTTGAGCCGATATCTGATACAATACCTCTTGCCGTTGAGCTGAGATCTGCGATGCGATCTGATTTTGCAGAGCAGTAATATGTGCCTGAACTTCTTCTCGCTGATTTGCCATCTTAGTAGAGTGCCAAACGAACCGTAAGTCGCTTAGATCAAAAGTTGGTGGGAAATCGGAGGTAAAAATATGTGACATGGCTAGAATTGTTACCTACCATCTCCAGACCATGGATCCACTTGTCGTCAAAAAATCGTCCTGTGCGTTTGGGGGGTAGGGAGTAATTTATAAAAAAATATGGATTTTTTTATTCGTGGAAAATATTGAAGGGTTCCAGAACTTCCACCTTGTCGAATCTTGATTTCGTGTGACAAGTAGAAAAAACTATAGAGAATTTTGAATTTCACCAATTACATTACGATATATGAGAAAATCATATTTCGAACGGCTATAACTCGAAACTTGTAAATTTTCGTTAATTTGCTTTTCATATGCCTCGCATTATCCCCGGAGTCGTTAATCTATGCTCTCAGTATAGGCACACAAAGAAATGCCACAGAAGAACAAAAACAATACTCAAATATCCTACGAAGACCTGTTTGGGAAGTTATGTTTCGTCTCAAAAATACATCCTCATGCCATTATTTTTAAAACATCCCAAAACATCCCAAAACATCCCAGGGATACCTCTCAGTAGGCACACAAAGAAATGCCACAGAAGAACAAAAACAATACTTTAATATTCTTCAAAGACCTCTTTGGGAAGTCATATAACGTCTCAAAAATACATCCTCATGCCAACATTTTCAAAACATCACAAAACATCCCAGGGATGTTTGTGCTCGCTGGGAATATTCTCATCACATGAAGAATGCGAATTCTCAATGTATTTCTTTATATATATATACCCATTTTTAATGGAAACACACCTGTATCTTACTTAATCGTTGGGTAAGGATCCTGAAATTTGCTGGAGCTAGAGATATACCAAAAATGCACTCTATGACCAAGTGGAGTCATCTTCAGTAATATACACTGCTCGCCAACAGCCATGGAAACACCTCAATTTCTGGAAAATCATATTAGGGGTCAAAATAGGTTGAAAATCACTTCGGATTCGGAATCAGGACGCCCAATTCACTAACTATTCATATTTTTCCGGGAAAATTTTCGGTTCTGAAAAAATTAAATTTCGTCGCACTTTTTACGGAAGCACCTCCGTATCTCACGTAATTATTGAGGTAGGGTTCTGAAATTTTCAGGAGGAGGGGAAGGTCCAAAGATAAAGTCAATTACGTGAGATACGGTGGTGCTTACGTAAAAAGTGCGACAACATTCAATTTTCCAGAACTGAAAATTTTCCAAGGAAAATATGAATATTTAGTGAATTGGGCGTCCTGATTCCGAATCCGAAGTGACTTTCAACCTATTCGGGCTCCTAATATCATTTTCCGGAAATTGGGGTGGTTCCATGGCTGTTGGCGAGCAGTGTATATCACTGAAGATGACCTCACTTCGTCATAGAGTGCATTTTTGGTATATCTCTCGCTCCAGCAAATTTCAGGAACCTTACCGAACGATTACGAAAGATACAGGGGTGTTTCCATTAGAAGTGGGTCACACTGTTATATATTTGTTTTCATAAATATATCTTAGAATGTTCCTTTTCAATACAACACATTAACTTCTAATAAGCCAAGAAGAGATTATATTCATGATTCTGAGGTTTGCTTGAAATTATCAGAACGTATAGCGTCATGACTCATTCCACCTCATATACCTACTAAATATTAATCGACAGTAATTATTATTTCAGGTACCTCCACATCATCGTGAACCTGATATTTCAACTGGGATTCGGCATACCTCTGGAAGAGGTGCATGGATACAACAGGGTGACGAACATTTATTACTACGGAAACCTGGCCGGTAGCTTGGCGCACGGTATAATCGACTCGAATGCCATACTGAGCGGATCCAGCGGTGGGGTATATGCCCTTATGACTGCCCATTTGGCACAAGTTTTCTTGGTAAACTAATATCCAATATTCAAAGCTTTTATGATAGTTTCGAGGGCGTAAAGTAAGCTCCCAATACACCTAGGTTCATGAAAACAAGAAATACATTGGTACAACATTATATATACGCACAACTTTTTGAAAAATTTGTTTACTATCAATATGGAATTAATTAATGGTTTTGAATTCATTTCGCCAAATTATGTATGCCACTGACGAAAAAAGATCGAATGGTCTACAAGAAATTACTGAAAAAACAGTGGAATTACTTTACTGCCCGCTGTACTCATTTATCACTCTAGGGCGCTGAAGTGATACTTCACGCCTGCGAATCCAGGCGATAAAGTGCCACTAAATACCATTTATATTTCGGGATGTACTCTCACCAGAAAAAAGTTAGTCAACTTAATGGCCCTTTAACTTTTTCAATTTTCGTCAGATTTTGGTGAAATTCCGACCAGATCGTAGATTTATATTTCGAAATGTTAGCCTAAATTTCCCAAAGGAAGCGGATGGCTTGATTATTATACAGAAAAAACCAGAAGTTACTATTTCACCCTTCTTCTTTAACGCACTGTGGCAAAAGTGAGTGGTTAAACTTGGCTTCATCATGTTTTGGATTGAAGTGTAGGCCTTAAGAAGTTAAGGGTGAATGTTTAAGTTTTGCTTAAGCCATCAGCTTTTCTTTGGGAACTAAAATTCAGGCCAACATTCCGAAACACAAAACTACGAATTGCTCGAAATTTCATCAAAACCGAAAAAAATATATAAAGTTACAGGGCGATCAATTTGGCAAATATTTTTTCTGGCAGGTTTCTCTTTACCGTTGACTGTAGTTTCTGTAGATCAATATTTTTCAGAACCTGGGTGATTTGCCCACTTCGATGACCTGCATCCAATTGCTGATAATATCGCTATTGGTTTTTCCCGATCTAGGCCTATCAGCTTACCAGAAGTATTACCTCCAACAAATCACTGAGGAGAGGGTAACTTGTCAGTTAGCGGGTGTTTGTGTCGGTTTCCTCTATGGCATATACGCCATAAGGTAAGTACGCTCATCGAAAAAAAAACTGGCCACAAAAAATTGACCTAAAATGTTATAGCTCTGTAACTTTTTCAAACACTTATTTCTCTTCTCAATAAGATATTGAAGTGGATCGAAAACCATTGTGTTAAGAAGGGATCAGACATCAATCCAAAACAGAATGTAGCTAAATCAATACAAAATCTCAAAGTCATTTTCACACAATGTTCATAAAATGAACATCAATGGTAAAAATATACCATTGTTGTGTGTAAATGACTTTGAGCTTTTTGTATGTATTTAACATTTCATTCCACTTTGAGCATTATGGCTATTTCGTAGTTTAAATTACGCCAGTCAGGGGCAACCAGTCACTCCCGCATGGGAATTTCGGTTTTGGAGTGTTTCTTTTCTTCTTTTCTACTCAGATTGCGGTTCTTTCATATTTTCCTTGGAGGACGCCTCTGAGGGAATATAATGCCAACTTGGGTTATGTTTGGCTAGGCTATACAGGGTGTCAATTTGAAAACTTCCCACCCTCAATATCTCCCTCCAAGTCGATAATATGGAAAAACGAAAAGACAGGTCGATTTTATTTTCGAGGGGGACATGGTTCTAAAATATTTTCAGCCCCGCGGCGTTGCCGCTTCTAACGAAAAGAAGCAACAACTTTGTTATTTCAAATGGAACACCCTGTATTTTATTGCATTTTTAGATTCTCACTGAAAAGCTGATTTCATCAATGTATCACACTTGGGGTCTAGCAGGAATGATTACAGAGATATAGGGTGTTCAAAATCGAGATTTTACAACTTCAGGATTTTTTTGAGTCGAAACTATTCATTATTGGTCAAAACGGCTTTCATGTTCCTATCTCAACTTTTGATTTACTATCTACTGACATTTATTTGAAACAAATACAGGGTTGTTCAAGATTCAGACTTTTGATCACCCTGTATTTGTTTCAAATAAATGTCAGTAGATAGTAAATCAAAAGTTGAGATAGGGACATAAAAGCCGTTTTGACCAATAATGAATAGTTTCGACTCAAAAAAATCCTAAAGTTGTAAAATAATCTCGATTTTGAACACCCTATATCTCTGTAATCATTCCTGCTAGACCCCAAGTGAGATACATTGATGAAATCAGCTTTTCAGGGAGAATCTAAAAATGCAATAAAATACAGGGTGTTCCATTTGAAATAACAAAGTTGTTGCTTCTTTTCGTTAGAAGCGGCAACGCCGCGGGGCTGAAAATATTTTAGAACCATGTCCCCCTCGAAAATAAAATCGACCTGTCTTTTCGTTTTTCCATATTATCGACTTGGAGGGAGATATTAAGGGTGGAAAGTTTTCAAATTGACACCCTGTATATGCTTAGTCGGCGTAATTAGGACACTTTTACCACGGGTTCTTGTGAAGTTTAGGGTGAAAGGTAACTTTTGTTCGTCTCTGTATAATGGACAATAGCCAACAGCTCTTCTTGATAACTCAAATACATCCCAACATTCCGAAACTTAAATAGCTACACGATTCGGTTGAAACTTCACCAAAAAGTGTATTTGGGATGACGATTAACTTTTCAACAGTAGTAAATAGCAGAATAAATGGTGATTTAAAAGTGAGAACTTCAGATCTTGACATGATTATGAATAGAGGATTATTATTTATTTTCAGAGACGCGAACATCTCTCAGACTGAGAAGTACATCGGGGAGGTAGCAGGAGTGGTTTTCTTCCTTCTTATGGTAACTGGAATAGTTCTCAACATATTGCATGTGACTGTTTGAATATGGACAGATTCCTACTCAATCACAATGACTTCTTGGAATCAACCACTTTTTTTTTGTAATCTGTAGAATGAAAAGGTACCTATCTGGTTACTCAGATCTCAAGTCTACTGATCTCAATAACAACCAGTATAAAGAACTGCCACTGCAATATCACTATGTAATATATCTATTAATATATATACATCATTTTATTTGATCCTGAAGCAATATTTTCTAGAAATAGATGATTTAACTCCTTTCATGAAGGATCTTTCATGGAAGGAGAATCAATTATACCTATGCAGTGATTGGAGTTTTTCCGAAAGAATGAAGTGACAGAGATAAATCTTGTGAGAAATATCGAGGATACTGGTTTATGTTCCTACCCTTATTTCAAGATATTTTGGAAATGTCAGAAAATTCATACAATCTGCACCATATCCCAACTTTCTTGGCTAGCTTTCATTGAAAATAATAGACAAAGTTAGTTATCTTTGAGACTTTTGAGAGAGAAAACATAAAAAATTTCTCTAATAAAGAAGGTCAGCTAGCTTTGAGAGAAAAAACACGTCTTTCCCTTTTGTCGTTTTCAGGGATCCAAGATCCAATTCACGATAGAAAATAGGCGTACGTCACCTATCGGAGTTTTTGAAAGCTGCCAAAGTGGTCTGTTTACTACGAAAGCGTAGAAGCGCTATGTGAGATATTTTTTTTTAAATCGACAGATATAACTGTCAACTAGCCTAATTGACAGATACTAAGTGGTGAGTAGCTTACTTGACAGATACTAAGTGGTAACTAGCATACTTGACAGATACTCAAGTGTCAACTAGCCTAATTGTGGTAAATAACCTACACTTGACAGATACTAAGTGGTAACTAGCATACTTGACAGATAATCAAGTGTCAACCACCCTACTTGACAGATACTTAGATGTCAACTACAACTAGCATAATTGACAGATACTAAGTGGTAAGTAGCCTACTTGACAGATAGTAAGTGGTAACTAGTTTTCTTGACAGATACTTGAGTGTCAACAAGCATAATTGACAGATAGGCCAAGAAACTCGCCATCGCCAAGGACGAAAAAGTGAAAATTTTCAAATTTCCATCCAAGTCCGGTCTCCGGTGGCATAATGAGCTATGGTAATAATAAGTCTCAATACTAAAGTTATTATATGTTGTGTAATCAAATATTTACTATTTATTTTCCAAGTAGGCTAGTATTACCACTTAGTATCTGTCAATTATGCTAGTTGACACTGAAGTATCTGTCAAGTATACTAATTTCCACTAACTGTCTGTCAAGTGGGCTACTTATTACCACTTAGTATCTGTCAATTAGGCTAGTTGACACTCAAGTATATCTGTCAAGTATGCTACTTACCACCTAGTATCTGTCAATTAGGCTAGTTGACACCTAAGTACCTGTCAAGTATTCTAGTTAACACTTAGTATCTGTCAAGTAAGCTACTTACTAACACTTAGTATCTGTCAATTAGGCTAGTTGACACTTAAGTATCTAAGTATGCTAGTTACCACTTAGAATCTGCCAACTAACCTACTTACCACTTAGTATCTGTCAATTAAGGCTAGTTGACTGTTAGTATCTGTCAATCATAAAAAATAAATCATGTGGCGCTTCTACGTTATCGTAGTTCACGGTTTTCATTGGTTCACATTTGTTTTTTGTTTGTGCTTATTGGTCACTTCCATCAAAACAAACCGCTCAGAAGTGTTTAAGTCAGATGCAGTGAGGTGTTATTTTCAATGGCGAATAGCTTGAAATTATAAAAAAATTGTTGATAACACGAAAAATGAGAAGAAATGGAGAAGAAGACCCACTAAGTATAGTCTATTGAGTCTAGCTAGCATTGAGAAAGAAAAAAAATTCTTCCCCACCTGTCCTCGTCTTCAGTGTTCCAACATGAAATAATAAAAATTGTATGTTGGCAATAATGAAAATTTTATGTTGGCAACACTGGAAATGGAGAAGACTATTCTAACCTCTTTTATATCGAGGTTAAAAAAGTACTAACATGAAATTTCCATTATTAGTTTGGTAGTCAAATAGTTATTTATTATACGAGGGAAAAAAAGTGATAGATTTTAGCTCGTGAGCTAAGATCTAATATTTTTCCGTGTATAATACCGTTGATTGATATATTACGCTTAAGCGTAATATATCAATCAACGATAATACACTATTTTTTTACTGTGACAAAAGAGAGGACGAATCAATATTGAGTGGGTGGGGTGCGTTTTTCATTCCAACATTTTATCATGCGCATGAATCGAAGAAACCATCAAACTGTTTTTAAAGTTTTAAATCGCTTTTCGAGAATCCAAGAGTTTGGAGGAGATTGTCATGACAGTTGACACATTTTAGTGTTGTTTTTTGTTTTGATTTGATAGAAAGCAATTAATATTGAGGATTTTTGAGATTCTTGAGAGATTTTAGAAGAAATAGAGTCAGTGTTAATCAATAAAATCTAATTAGCCTCTTCTGATTCTCAAGATACATGATGACTGACACACAACAAAATCCGTGTTTCCATCAATGTGTTGTATAAACCATTGTTCAATCCTTCCAGCATAAATTCCAACAGAACAATTGGTGACGTCACGACAAAAAACCGCATCTATCAGTGCGCACTTTCTTCGATGGAATGAAAAACACGCCCAAAAAAAAGAGATATTACATTATTTTGAAATCTGAAAATTATCAATGTGAAATTTTAAGTTTTCAACAGTAGGGACACCTGATGCGTTGTATGCATCTCTATCATTCTTTTGAAGTAATCAAATATCTGATGTCACTTCTGTCAGTCTAATTCTGTGATTTAATCTCAAAAAATTGCGAATTTAGTGGTTGTTTAGTAATATACGTAACCGCGAAGTCGAATGGAAGATGAAAGGACTTGCAGTTCTTTCTCGGAGACGGTATTATTGACTCATTTTTCGGAACTATAGCACAACAAAAGCCATCAACAGTGTATATATATGTGATATATATCCGGGACTAACCTATATTCTTTGGTAATATACCTAACCGTGAAGTCTAATGGAAGGTAAAAGGACTTGCAGTTCTTTCTCGGAGATGGTATTATTGACTCATTTTTCGAAACTATAGCACAACAAAAGCCATCAACAGTGCATATGTATATATGTGATATATTGGAAGGTAAAAGGACTTGCAGTTCTTTCTCGGAGATGGTATTATTGACTCATTTTTCGAAACTATAGCACAACAAAAGCCATCAACAGTGCATATGTATATATGTGATATATATCCCGGGAAAAAAACAATAATGATTTGGCTTAAATTGTGAGAATTTATGACATATCAATGAACCTTGGGAATAGGGAAAAATAAACTATTTCCTGAATATTTTGTCAGAAATCTATCACACTTCATTCTTTTGAAAAATAAAGTATTCTGAAATACAAAAATAGGTATGCATGATGTACCAACTAGTAATTACTCTACTAAAAATAATTTCAATCATAACATCACATGTAGATACACAAATACAAAAATATTTGGTTTTGTTTTGAAGGAAAAATACCCTACTATTCAGAACTAAAGGTAAAGAGGTAGAGAGAGGGGTTATATCACACTAAAGAATATCCTGTTCCTTTGGTAGTATTTTGAGCTTCTGCAATTGCTTTTAGCAACTCCTGCCTAGCTTTGGTCCCAAGATATATCATCAATGAAGCTCCCAGTAACAACTAAAAAATTGTCACTAATTACAGTAGATACTGTATGATAAAACATTGCATCTTTTGTGAATTAATTTCAATGTAATAGAGGTACCTTTCAGTATGTTTTTATTTCTGATCACACCATATATGACTCACCTGTATGGAAGCAAAGAAGTATGTTGTGGAAGAAATATGTCTATTTTCCAGTACATCCTGCATAGATCGCAGAGTAGATCCAACATAAACTCCAACAAATTGGGCAGGAAAAAGCCCAATAAGAGAGGCTATGTGGTAAACTTTGGCACTAACATTGCTCAACTGAAAATAAATATTCTGAAATAAAAATCATAATGATGAAGTTTTGGACTCACAGCAAAAATAGTATTCTGTAGTCCAAAAGGAATAGGCGTCAGTCTTGAACAGAAGACAATTTTGAAACAATGTGGGCCAGAGATGACTCTCATGATAGCTTGAGCCAAATCATTCTGAGTATATCTGAAACCAAACTCTTTCCACATTCCCTCAATGAAAAATAATAACAAAACTCACCTGTAAATGCTCTGATGATGTCCAATGATTTTCAGAACATTATGCGCCACTAAAAGTCCAAAATTTGCCCCAAACACTGTCAGTAAAAGTCCTTTGGACAGTCCAAACAGGTAACCTGAAGCTACCACTAGTATGATATAGCCAATGCTTATTGGAAGAGAAACTATGATAAACAAGATACATATTGTACTGAGTATCACAATCGAGTCCTGTTTTTCCAACCACAAAAGGATAAACCTTATGTAGGTCTTGCACAGCAGGAGAACACACAAAATCACAAAGAGAGTGGATATAAGAGCAACTAGACGACATAGTGAAAGGAAGCATATAGTAGATCTGAGCTTATTGCATCTTTCTTTGGGCTGATTACTGTCGTAGTCTTCGATGTTGATCTTCATTCTTGGCAGGAAGAATTATGTGGATGCATAACGGTAACGGTGATTTTCAGTTCGAATTTGAGGTTACATTCTTGCCAAACCTCAATGGACTATCAATAATTATCACTTCTTTATTCAGAATTGATGAGAATTCACTTCAGCATATCAAATTAATAATAAAAACATTATTCAATTATCAAATATTCAAATCTTTCATCACCTTAGGCACTGACAATGAAGTTTGAGTTTGAGTGACCATCATAATAATTCATAATCATAAGTCATAACAAGGAGTCATAACTCATAAGTCGTAAGTAAGATGTCGTAAGGTTTGTTCTCGTTCGAAAAATAAACAGTCCGAAACAATCAGTCATATTCTTCTGTTTTCTAAACAATTTTTCGAAAAATAAACTTCAGGAAAAAGGTTCATTCAGGCCGAGTAAGGTCAAAAGTAGCCATGCTACTAATTAAATTACTGGCGAGAGACGTTTCTCATGATCTCATGAGATCACAGCATTTTTCACAAGGGATATCGGTATACATCATATACAATTTCCCTACTAGCTTGATGAATAAATTGACATTCAGTATACCTGTATGTTTATTCTCCTGCATTTGTTAGAATCAGTAACAAAGATCGATAAATTATTCTAATGAACATTGTTAATTCCATCAAGGCACTCTAATATTTACCAGAATCACAGACAGTGTCAGCCATGACAAAATTTTGTTCGATGTAAGCAACTAACAATACACGTACAGTGCAACGTTAGTTGCATGGCATCGACGCCGTTTCTGTGAACTACAGGAATGGGGAGAAAATCCGAATTTGGGGAGCAGAAGATTTTGCAGCCGTATTGCGATGGTCAAGGACTTTTTGGTGAATCGATGGAGGTTTTCATTGAGATTTTCGAATGGTGGGGCGGCCGATTCAGAGCTGGACCATTCAATTTCGGCAAAGAAGAGAGGTGAGTTATGTCATCCGAGTGGTATAGTGTGGGAATTTGAAATAAAGAACGTGAGTGATCTTTGGATTCTGTCGATTTAAATGTTGATATATATTTCCTTTCATTATTCAGATATTTTTATTAATATACGTAATAACCCATTAATCATTGATATTCTTCATAATTCCTCGTCTCGACTTTTGACATATACAGTGTGTTCTATACTTTGAGCATCAGTTAATTGTCATATCCGTTGACCGATTTAATGTTTTTTCTCATCACAATAATAAAGGTACTTGGTAGCTCTTATGAATAAGTGACAGAACTTGAAATTGGTCAATGAATGAAAAAAAAATACAAGGGGTGTGAAAGTTGGACACACTGTATATATGTTACAGGGAACACATCAATACCATAAGAGCTTTCATGATGGCAACATTCAGTCTGGTTGGTGACTGAAAAAGTCTCAAAAAATTTCAGAATAATACTCATTGACGTTATTGGGTAACCTTTACCATGAATATATCGAAAAGCAGGTAACCCACTGCGACGCCACTGGAATCATGATTCCGAATCTAATTACACCAAAAAGGGGCTTCTTGATAGTGTTAACAAAATCACAAAGTTTCATTGGAATTGGAAAACAGGATTTTGGGTAATTAATAAAAAAAAGATTTTTTTTGAAACTTTTTACACCCTGTATCTTGAAAACGAAGTATTTCTGGATCGTTTTTTATATGAACTGTTCGTCTAAGAATCATTCGAATAATCACCTCTTGAAGTTTGACCACATACTTAGATAACCCCCTGTATACCGGGTGTCAACGAATCTATTAGACAAGTCATAACTTCTAGACCATTAGGTGTATCAAAATGAGATTTGGTATAGGTGAATGGTATGTGAAGATGAGAGTTTTTATATATTTTTCACTTCCCGGCCACTTCCGGTTTCACCGGAAATGGCTCCGGTTCTAAATTTTCAAATGGACCCTGTATATTGTAACATTTTTGGATGTCTGAGACAATTCTAGATCAGAATGTGACATTTTCCAAAGTTTTAATGCCTACTTGATTTTTTCGGAGTCACTTTTGAAATTACATCTAGGTGGGCATGATCGGAAGTAAACTAATCTAAGGACCTCAGGTGATATCAGAAAATTACAAACGCGAAGTTTTAGTTGACAAGTATAATAGATATGAATAAGACAAGTTGGCATAATTACATTTTCGTATCTAACTATTATATATATACCATTTTTTGACAAGCACTTTTCGAAAAAAGGATATTTTGACGAATCTAACGATACTAATTTATTTGCGATTGGATTACAAATAAGAACATAAATTAAATACTACTGACGAAAATACTTCATAATAATTTATTTACTTTTGTCAAGTGTGCCATGGATGATAATTCATTCACCTTGTAGGTGAGCACTTTCTGAAAAAAGGATATTTTGACGAATCAAACGATACTAATTTATTTGCGATTGGATCAACAGATTTAACAAAATTAACAATAACTTCAGCGATGCACTTACATTTTTTTCAATTTCCTAATTTCTAAAAATGTTCACTATAGTAGTTCAAAGTGCATTCCTCCTTGTTCAAGACACATATTTAATATTTAATTTATGTTCTTATCTGTAATCGATTCCCAAAATATCCTTCTTTCGGAAACTGCTTGTCAAAAAATGGTCGCCATTTGAAAAATAATAGTTAGACACGAAAATGTAATTTTGCCAACTTGTTGTCTTACTCATATCTATCATACTTGTTACTGAAACTTCGCGATTGTAATTTTCTGATATCACCAGAGGTCCTTAGATTAGTTTACTTTCGATCATCATGGCCACCTAGATGTAAAAAATCAAGTAGGTATAAAAACTTTCGAAAATGTCACAATCTGATCTAGAATTGTCTCAGAAATCCAAAAATGTTACAATATACAGGGTGTTTTATTTAAAAATTTAGAACCGGAGCCATTTCCGGTGAAACCGGAAGTGACCGGGAAGTGAAAAATATGTGAAAACTCTCCTCTTCACATAGCATTCACCTATACCAAATCTCATGTTGATACACCTAATGGTCTAGAAGTTATGATCTGTCTAATAGATTCGTTGATACCCGGTATAGATCGACCAAAAAATGACCCCAGTTGGAATTTGAGATGTATGAAAATAAAAATTATGAGTATGAAAAAGTAATTGTGCTTATACCACAGAACTGTTTATACTTCAAACCTATTTGACATTACTCAAAATCATATGTACGCAGAATCCAAAAATGTAAAGAAAATTCGGGTTGTTCAATTTGAAATTCGGGAATTGGTGTCGATTCAGCTGAAATCAATAGTCGTACCAGTTATGATTTCAATAGTTAAGTGGACTGTATTCGATTTTTAATAAATTGTATATTGACAAAAATACAGACAACTAGTGATGTTTCGTTAATTAAGCACACAACATCTAATATGCACATCTAACTTGTTCTCATGTCTCTGAGTCTCTCTCCATAGTCAAAAAATCACCCACGTTAGCGACTGCGCTCTGCTACCCTCGTCAAGCGTAGGTGATTTTTTGACTGTCCTTCGAGCCGGATCATGTTATGATTTCAATAGTTAAGTGGACTGTATTCGATTTTAAATAAATTGTATATTGACAAAAATACATACAACTAGTGATGTTTCGTTATAATTAAGCACACAACATCTAATATGCACATCTAACTTGTTCTCATGTCTCTGAGTCTCTGTCCACAGTCAAAAAATCACCCACGTTAGCGACTGCGCTCTACTACCCTCGTCAAGCGTATTGCCAGGGTCGGCTTAGCCCTTAACAGTACCTATACAAAATAATAGAAGTCATATATTTTTTTCTGAGAAATAAGAAAATCATTGTGAAAACATCCAACAGATAACAACTAATTTCGTGGCTCATACCATAGCATAGTTATTGAATTATATCTGTAAAATATCGGAAATAAATTATTGAAACAAAAGTACAAAATACAGGGTAATTCAAAATTCGATGTGAAAATTCCAAGTACGTATATTTGAGATCAAAATAAGACTTTTTCATCATAGAAACATGTGTCCTTGAATGCACACCCCCCCCCCCCCCGAGCTGCAGCCACTGTAAGTTGAATAAAAAAACAAGATTATCTGACATTTTGCTCATAATAATGGATGAAATCGTCTGAAACTTGGCTTGCTCCTGTTTTTTTAATCACTCTTCCCCTTTTTTTGGTTCTAGAATTATGTTAACCCAGTTTTGGGGGAGTTGCAGGGGGTCCACAATTTTATTGTGATCCCAACAATATATGTCCTTGAAATATTTACATCGAATTGTGATTTACCCTGTATAACTAACATTCAAATACCTATTAGAAAACAACTACTTTCCTGGCTATAATACCACAGAATATTGAATTATATTCGTTATGTATTGAATTATTGCTTTTGGGTGTATGATAAATTGACATTCATCATACAGGGCGTGGAAAGAAATTCTAAAAAAAAATTGTTCTATCCGTCATTCGGTTGCCCTCTTACGAGCAACCCTCAAAAGTCTTCGAAAGTCTTGTGCGAGCAAGAAATGACGGGGGCCTTACCTTTTAACGTGTGATCCCAAACACTTTCTTGGGCCATCAGAAAAATGTCTGCAGTCGACGGGGATCGAACCCACGACCGGCAAGCGAATGCGAATTAGAATATAGACACTCTGTCCGCACGGCTACCTGGCCATTCTGAATTGAGACTCTATCACGAATCTGCGATTAGAGGTCTATAAAAATCACAAGTTTCCATCGTTGAATATTCAGAATGATGTTTGCATATACATATTTTTGTCTGAAGGAGAATGCAAATTCTCAATTTCAGAAGTTTTTTATATTTTATTTTCAAACTGCAGTTATCGTGTGTGTTCAATAGATATAATTCAATGTTCGTCGTGGCATATAGCCAGGAAAGTAGTTGTTTTCTATTGAATAAACTGAAAAAGTAGATATTCTTATCACATAGAGAATGCGAATTCTCAATGTATTGCTTCATATTAATATACAGGGTGTTGCGAAATTCGACCGACAACACTTGACAGGTAATAGCCCTCGTGATTTCATAATCATTGAGATAAAGACATACGGTTTCAAGTGCTCAGTTCTGGAGATACAGGGCGTTGCAGTTAAGAAATAAAAATAGTTGTTTCGCAATATCTCAAGAATAATTTAATATAATGCATTCAAATTCAGTATATGGTTTCATCTTTGAATGGGTCATTTTTTGACCAGAAAGCCATTCCAGACATTTTATCCAGTGGTGCCCTACAGGGGGTTGTGGTAACTTTTTCTCCCATATTTTCTACGCCACTGATTAAATTTCGATTATTTCCAATTCCTCGAATTCATTGTTCAATTTTTTCCAGAAAATGTATCATCTTCAGCTGAGCTGAGATGAACAGTTTTCGAGATATTCGACCCGAAATAGATGATTGCATAGTAATATATTTAATCATTTTCAGTAATAGAAAATTGCAAAAATATTTTTCTGGTGTTGAGTAGATTAGATACTTTTCAGATCTCATTCTGTAGCTGAACAGAAATAGTTATTCCACGCATAAAGAGAAAACGAACATTTTTGTAATTTTCCACTATTGAGGTAGATGAAAAATAACTATGCAAACTTCTATTTTGGATCAAATATCTCGATAACTGTTCATTTTAGCTCAGTTGAAGGTAATGCATTTTTTCAACATAATTGAACAATCAATTCGAGAAATTGGAAATAATCGAAATTTCGTCAGTGGCGTAGAAAATATGGGAGGAAAAGTTATCACAACCCCCTGTAGCGTACCTATGGATAGAATTCTCGGAATGTCTTCCTGTTCAAAAAATGAACTATTGCAAGATGAAACCATATACCGAATTTGAATGCATTATATACAATTTTTCTTGAGATATTGCGAAAAAACTATTTCAATTTCTCAACTTCAACGCCCTGTATCTCGAGAACTGAACACTTGGAGATCGTATGTTCCTATCTCAGTGATTATGAAATCACGAAGGCTTATCACCTGTCAAGCGTTGTCGGTCGAATTTCGCAACACCCTGTATATCAATTTTTGTATGTCCATAATTTATCTGAGAATATTCCTTTTCAACACTATTGAATTATTGCTGAGAAATAAATATTTATTTATCATAATCGTGAATCAATAATAATTGGAATTGATTTTATCGAAAGGGTGATTTCCATATTCTGATTCGTTGTTTATTTCTTGGTAAAATTTTGTCGCTCATGAGCTTGTTAATTTTTTCTTAATTAATTGTATGACCTTGATGACATTGAAGATATACATAGTGCTCTTCAATCCAATGTCAACTGATGAAATAATCTCCGATCAATCATTGATGATTACAAAAGGATGTCTTGTGGTTTTAGGTGATGCATATATGTTTTTATAGATAATGATAGATATTAAGATCCACGACCACTTCCTTTCAGTTTCAGTTTATATGCACTCTCATTCAGTGTTTTTTTTTTCAGCAAATGCAATAATTTCCCATAACTCGCATAAATCATATAACCATGAAGGTGAGTTAGAACAAATTTTTTTTCATCAAAACATCATAGGATATTATATAATTAGTCAGCACAATCAGAGGATTAAGAGGTTCAACACAAAAATTCAAAAGTTGTTTTTGGTAACAACATTTGAAGATCTCTATTTTCGTAGAATCGCAATTTTTGTTGTCTCAAAATTCCTAGATTTGAGACATAATTCTATTGAGACCGAGCGCAGTATAAAATATACCTACCTACATCGAGAAATAATATGGGCATATCTTCTGATGTACTGTATTCTTTATTTCTATAGTTTTGGCCGCATAGTATAACATACATGGTATAAGCTATACAGTGTGTCCCACTTCTTCCCATCTTCGAGCAATTCCATAATGTATTGTCACCGAAATTATGAACACCTGCCACATTTCAAGTTAATCAGACGACCAGATGTTCGTAAATCCGGTGACAATACATTATGGAATTTTTGTTGAAATAAAAAAAAATGGCTGCTCCAAGATGGCGGACAATATTTGGTCCGAAATTGGTAGGTGGGGGTTTTTGAGGTCGGAGATCATGATTTTTCAGTTAAAATTTATAAATTCAAGATGGCGGCTCCAAATAATTTTTTGTTTTTGTATAAATGACGATAACTCCGTTGTTATCAACACAATACTATAACTGCGACATATCAACTGTAAAAGAAAAAAAAGTTATTTGTAACTAAGTCATAGAGTGAGCTATGACCTACATTTGAAAAACTAAAGTTGGTGCTGATATCTCAAATTCTAGAAGAGTTGGTATATATTTCATATTTTTTTCGAAATCACATTGAAAAACTGTCATAAGAATGTGAAATACCTATTTGAATATTTTCATAAATAAAGAAGTTACGGAGGAGACATGAAAATGATCAAAATCTGTTTTTTGCGTAAGAAACAAAAACGAATAGATTTTATAAATATATATTATAAATTTAAATTTAGGATTCCAGACTTTGTCAATAAGATGTATCTATCTTCAGACAATAAAGTATTTTGATGATGATGATGATGATATCAAAATATTTTTTCACATTATAGTTGGCCTTGACAAACTCCACATTTGGTGTCATTTAACCAACCTCGTATCTCTCACCGTTAAAAAGATACCCATGGTGAGCATGGTAAGTGGGACACACTGTATAGTACAGCTATGATATTTTTCGAATATATATTACTCACCTCTAGTTTTTTCGAAAACAGTAAAATTACCTTTTGTATACGTCTAATTCACTAATAATTCTGAAATTATGTACCTATCCAGATACATACATATATATCCATGTTCGGTAGTAGGTATGTAGATTGTAGAACATATGACAATAGAAGTATTATAAGAAATAAACAAATTAATGTCATTAATTATGACGCTTTTCCAACATGTGTATTTGTGTAACACTGAATACATTATAATAATAGGTTGTACCTAGGTTGTACATATTATTGATCTTACCTATCACAAAATACAAAGTTTATCAGATATTCCGTTCGAGAACATCCAAAAACTAATATTTTAATTTATCTTTATATTGTTCTCGTCACCTTTTCACCTATGGAATGCATCAAACTATTACCTACTTAATTTGATGCAATATGTTGTTTATTTGGAGGTAAACAAGATGCAACAGCCTTGCTTGAATCTCGAAGATGTAGGTAATACAAGAATGGCTGAATCGATTTGGATTGAGAAATTTTGTGGGTGAAGTAACAAAAAATCCCATAAAAGCGATCAATATTTATATGATGGAAATTCAGGGGCAGTTCTTATTGACCAATAAAACACGCAAAAACGTTTAGATATCCGAATACATTTACTATTTCTCGGTGATAAACATGTATTTGTCCTTTGCTGTTTCTGTCATATACAGGGTGTTTCGAAAAAACCTAACCCTCTTGCTAGGGTAGGTAGAACATTGCAAAATGAGTTGGGTTTCCTAAGTGAAAAAATGTCGTATAACGGCATCCGTTTTCATGATACAATAAGGTGTTGAAAACATTATTTTTTTACACATTTTTCACGATTATTCCGAAACTACTGACAACATTGTAATGAAATTTTGTATGGATGTTTCTTGAAATCTGACACATCGCATGAATTAGTTTTTATATCTGACTCTCATGGGCGCTAGTTACACGGTTCGTACCGAGTAGTTTTGAACATAACTTTTTTGAGGTTAGATTTTTCAATCCAAATATGATTTGAACTTGAACATCATTTAATTTTACACCAAAAAGGTTCTCCTGGTGAAACTCGATACTATGTTCCGTTTTCGGAATATTTCGATTTGAAAATAATGGAGTAGTAATGATGCTGGTATAAAATGAATTTTATTGAGTTGAATTACCTATTTATTCAGGTTCAAAAACAATGAAATTACTCTTGTGCTGGAGTTATTGATGGAACGAAGAATCATAAGTAGAAAATTAAGAGATATTTGACTAGAAACATGAAATATTGAATCAGTTAGAGTAAGTGTTCAAAATGTCCTACGTTTCGAGGCATACACGATTCTATATTCTTTTTTTAAGGATGAATTATTCTTCTGAACGGTTTGAGGATCAGCTATGTTGTGTCATTTAAGTGATGTTGGGATGTTGGTAAACATATTCGACTTATAAAACCCATCAAAACTGAATGAAAATCGAGATCAGAATTCATGCCTGTTTTAAGGAAAAACAGGAAACTTCTTTTGTTAAAAAAACACTATATGGCAGAATTTTGTAGATTTGTTTTGAAATTACCAACTTTTAACAAGCGCAATTCCAATTTGACAGATGTTTTACTATCATTTTTTGGAATATTCATCAGCTTCATTTTGGACCATTTTTATTGAACTCGTAATTAAGAATCCAATTGTAGTCTGATAATGATCTCTTTGAATTTCATTTTTTATATATATAGCAATCTGAAGAAGACCAGATAGTGTCAAGGTATTATTTATCAATTATAGTATTTCGACAAAAATAAATTAACGAAAAGAGGTCGTGTTTTCTGGCTTTATTAATGAATCGTGTAATATGTAAAAATCAAACTCTAATTGTAAATAAACTAACAAAAAAATCACATAATATTCACGTATTTCATATATTGATGATTATTAAGGTAAAATAGTTTTATCCTATGTGAACATCTGAATTGAACAAGACATTGAGGTCAATGGAACTCTATTACACTTGCTTACACTCGTTCATAATACTGAAAGCTATTATTATTTTCATAATTAAATTACATATTACTCAAGCGTGCGTAAATTACATATTACTCTATGTGCTATAGACTATAGAATGTCATACTTTCAAATTATTTTCCTGAAAATTTCATCAGGGTAGTTTTTCGAGTTAATGAAATAAACACATTATAAAATTCAAGAGGAAACTACATTTTTAGTTGATCAAAGTGAAACTAAACTTTTCATCTTAGTCATTACAGTACAATGCCTTTTCCCTGAAAAGCTACATTTCTTCCTGAAAAAGGTACCATTCCAACCGAAATAGTTTGAATCTATCCCTAAAAATTCTAATATAGAGGTTGAAACAGTTTCAATTGCTAACACAGCTTCAATCGCGTCCAGTTGATTTTTTTTATCGCTTGGAGCGCACGGAAGGAAATCCCTATAATGTTCAAAGAACATCGTGCGTTCCTAGGGAGGATAGGGACAGGAGGTACTTCTGGAGATTATATGTTGTTGGGAATACTTCCTCAGGCAATGAATTCCAGAGCTTAGCCGTTCTCTATGGATGAAGGAGTTTTGATAAAGTGCTGTTCGACACCTTTCGAGGTTGACAACGAAAGGATGTGCTGACTGGGCTTGTCTAGTTCGTCTTATTGGTATTGCTAGTGAAGGGATGATAGCAGAGATTTCCGAAGAACATTTCCCGTGGAAGTATCGATAGAAAAGTGAAAGGTCGCCGACCGAAAAAATAAGTTACCCGCACGAAATTTGGTACCCGAGGTTTTTTTAATAAGAGACACCATAATTTCGTATTAAATTTCATGTAACATCTATAATCTATTTCGAATTTCCCTAACATTTTTGTAATTAAACTTTTGGTACATTTCATAAAAGAACCTTATATCACACACACCTTTTCCAAGTGAAGTGATGTAGTGATGTTGCTGAGAACATACAAAAACTAAGTATTTGTATGTGGCGAGTCTCGTCCAAAATATACTACTTTTTTCCTATGAAATATTAATCGAATAATAATTTGTTTCCTGTATTTCAACACCCTGTATCTTCGAAATTAAGCATTTTCAGACACAAGTTTATATATATATACACTTTTTTCCTCAAAATTGTCTCAGGAATACGTCATTCGAATATTTTAACGTACTAATGTTACACCCTATTAACCATTTTTTATGCTGAAAACGGGAGCAGATTCGTTCCCGAAACGTCCAAAGTCAAGTAAAAAGTCGATATTTTTTCTATATACCTTTATGTCTCTTCTCCAAACCTTTTTCAATACAAATTGTCACTAACAAGCTAGTGATTTTTTCTTGTAGGCTCTCTGATAGGAAAATTCTTTAAACGCAGTTACATTTTGGGGCAAATCATCTGATTGGTCCTTACTACACTTATATTGAAATAATATTGATATTTTTATTTTATAGAAACGAGGAGAGAAAATCCCAAAAAATCTGGAATAATGAATGTACAACCTCCTCGATTAACCTACAGACAGTATTTGAAAATATTTGTGTTATAACATTCAGTGATCACATTGCTTCGGATGACACTTAAAAAGCTAAGGTCCCCGTCTTCTTAACTCACACAAGTCTCTGACTTTCGAGGGTTGCTTTGCAACTAAGCTGGCGGTTAAAAACACTTTTTTTTTTTAAACATCATTCAATCATATTGTTTTCAGAGTCTAATTTGAAGATACGACTACAATTTTCAAAATTTTCAACCACATTTAGGAAAAAGAAGAGGAATAAATCGTTTGTCTGACTGTTTGTCGTTAAGAGATCAAAGTTGGTCATATTTTAGCAAGTCGTTAATGAAAGATACAATTCAATTTAGGTGCATAAATGAATGAACGGGAATACCAAGTTTTAACATTAGTCAAATGTCATTTTTATGCACGAATGTAATTCATTGGAATATTTCACAAACGCAGAAATATTGTTTTTTTTTTCTGAGAAATATTACCATACTGACAAAGACTATTTAAATGAAATGTTTTATAAGACATTAAGATTGTATGGAGCACTCACCAAAACGCGACATTTCTTTCATTTTTTGAAGTTTATATCTGACATTTATTTGTCGTCTATATAGCGACACGGTTTCAAATGTGTTGTTATGGCGACATGATGTTTTCGCAGGGCAATTTTCGCTCAGAAATGCGATTACTGCAGTAATTTTTCGATAATGCGGTTGCTCTTATGAGACATGTTATATAAGTATGAGGGAAATATTCGATTCAAACATTTATCCAGGAGTATATTATCTACATCTATTGTTCACTATTACATTATGTATTTAATTTCAGGTGCTGCTTGTGATAACCTTCTGCAGTACTTTATTTTTTGTGCAAGTCATGGGCAGTACCGTTTACATAGCTGACTATGGAATGGCCAAAATGATCGAGCTCAGTACAAAGCCGCCATATTGTGTAATCCAAAAAGACAGGTAATAATTTGAATCACTAGCATTTTTCTCGAACAACAGTCGACTATGTGTCTTCAAAAGGATTTTCAATTTTCTTTTCAATTCAGAGTTAGAGTTATTCAATTCACGATTATGATGGTGTGGAATTTTTAAAATAGTTCAAAATATTTGTGACCTAGGAAATAAATCGAGAAATAATTCAAACAGAACATGAATCACCTTGTATGTAGATCGTTTTCCATATGATGATGATTATTCAATGAATATGAATTGTGGTATATGATGGTACCAAGTCAATGTTTATAATATAATGTCCTTCTAGACCATGAATTAATATATTTATATACAGGGCGATGTTATCTCAGAAAAACAAATAGGGTCGAATATTTCCTAGTTCGGCCCTGTTTTCTGTATACCATGTACGTGTATATTTTGGGCCTACCTAATGAGTGAATTAAATCAGCCAAATATGAATATTTTTCGACGCATTCCAATCAATTCAAATATCTCAAATCAATTCACAGCCTGATAAAATACCTATTTTTAACACTGTTTTCTCCATTATTTTCGAATTCAAAGGAGGAGATAATTCCGAATGATTCACTACTGATCTCTGATGCAAGCGTATGGAGTCAGTAACAAAGCCTACACTGTATATTGTTTTCAGAGGTAAAATCAGAGATATGCTTTTGTCTACGGATCCTAGAAGAATTAGACAAATGTCAGACGACTCGATAGAAAAATTGGAAAAGGTTTGCAACAAGGAACATATCCAAAGCGCTCATCAGGGTGGATTCATATACCCAGGAACCAAATGGTGTGGACCAGGTGAATCAGGATTATTCAATTCAGGAAATTTTTTTTACTAGCGATATATCGAACAATAATACACATACACTGTTTCACCACTAACCAAACCGATTTTTTCAACGCCTCGACACGTGTTTCGCTAACTATGCTAGCATCTTCAGGAGAAGATTATAACTAAATATCCTATTCTAGTGTGCTGCTTATACCCTACTAGGTATACCGGGTGACACAGGGTATCGGGCCACCCCTGTAACTTCTGCTTTCGTCATCGGATTGTTCTGAAATTTGGTACAGTTATATAAGCAATTATTTCGGATTTGATCACATTACAATCCAATATGGCGGACTTCCGGTATTTCTGGAAATGCCAGCAACTTTGTTTTTTCAAATGAAACACCCTGTATATTTTTACATATTCAAGTTCAACAGGTCGAAACAAGTGCAATCTTTATTTCAAATGTCATTTTTTCGAAGAAAATTAAATTAAAATTGTTTTTTCATTTTACCTCGTGGATAAATGAGATGTGGTCAAGACTATTCACAATGAGTCACACATAACAGATGAACATAATTTTTTCTGGAAAATTAATTTTTGTGTCACTTATCCAGGAATCAATTCAACCACATCACTTTTTGATCAAAAAAATTTTTTTTTCAAATGGAACCCCTATGGGCCACCTATCCGTTTTTCTAGAACATACATTAAGGAACAAAATGAAATATCATTTTTGTTTTAGTAACAAATTGTTTACATTCAAAAATCAACAACTAGTTTATGAATTTTCTTGCAGTTAGAATAATTTTTCAACTAGGTAGGCTGTGGAATAAATGACATTTGATTGACATCAAGATTGCACTTGTTTTGACATGTTGATCTTGAATATGTAAAAATATACAAGGTGTTCCATTTGAAAAAACAAAATTGCTGGCATTTCCGGAAAAACCGGAAGTCCGCCATATTGGATTGTTATGTGATCAAATCCGAAATAGTTGCTTATATAACTGTACCGAATTTCAGAAAAATCCGTTGACGAATGCAGAAGTTACAGGGGTGGCCCGATAGCCTGTGTCACCCGGTATGTTCACCCGACCGTGAAAAATACTACCTAACCTATAACCGTCAAGTTAATGTTTGTCATGTTGAGTTCACATGTTAATCTTAATATTTTTCTGTGACGGGAAAAAAGTTTGGCATTCCATCTCTGTTGGCAGGTTATGAAATGTCACCTTTCATAAATTACTTTTTGCCCGTGGGAAAAAAGTGAGTACTTTTTTCCTGGATATATATCACATATAAATACACTGTTGATGGCTTTTGTTGTGCTATAGTTCCGAAAAATGAGTCAATAATACCGTCTCCGAGAAAGAACTGCAAGTCCTTTTATCTTCCATTCGACTTCGCGGTTACGTATATTACTAAACAACCACTAAATTCACAATTTCTTGGAATCAAATCACAGAATTAGACTGACAGAAGTGACATCAGATATTTTGATTACTTCAAAAGAATGATAAAGATGCTACTGTTAAAAACTTAAAATTTCACGTCGATAATTTTCAGATTCCAAAATAATGTAATATCTTCTCAATATTGATTCGTCCTTTCTTCTGACACAGAAAAAAAATAGTGTATTATATACTACTTTTTTCCCTTGTATAATAAATAACTATTTATATTACTAAACTGTATAGAGGGCTATATGGAATTCCATTATCCTCATTCATTACTCTATATTACTATTCTTAAATATCTCGAAGCTTTCATATGCGTCTAATTTTCTGATATTATTAACTTGCTTAACTTATTTGAGGTTAGCAATATGTGTGTTATGATTGTGATCGAACACACGATTTATCTAACCTACAATATTTTAAATGTGCTATGTGTTCTTTGAACCTTGTTTTTATGGGTCGCCTGGTTTGGCCTATATATGTTTTATCACAATCATTACAACGTATTTCGTATATTTCCCACTTCTCAAGTGTGTCCCCCTTATCTTTCGGATTGCCTAATAAATTGCCTAATTTTGACCCAGACTCAAACAAAACCTAAGTCGTATATATACTTGGGATTGAACGGGATTGGGATTCTTCTAGAGTTCTTTTCATCCACTTAGAAAGTCGTAGAATTTCGAAGTGTCAACTTGAATCTATGTCTACGTATCGCCATCCACTTTATAAACAACACTTCTTTCAGCATCAAATCTTTCTTTGCTCAGAAGGAACGAAGTTAGTCTATGTACTAGAAAATTTAAACTTGCCATTTTGTGTTGAAAACAGTGTTTGGAGTCATTAGGTATGTATCTTAATTAATGTGTTTCTTTTCTGAAAACATCAAATTCTGAGTTGTTTTCGCTATTTTTGATCACAAGTATACATCTAAGAAAGGTAATTTGCCGTCATTTTCGCATTTTTCAAGTGAATTTGATGAAGCGGAAGCAGTTATTCATTTTTGATATGAAGTTATGTATATCTGTGGTTTTGTATCAAAAATAGCAGAAATATCATCGACATATCTAATCCCAATCGATTCATGAACAGTTCAGCCAGGAAAGGTGATAATCGGTTTAGTTAGTGGTGAAACAGTATAGTGTGTCTACTAGGGATGTTTCCTGTTCAAAATCGTTGCTAATTCTCGGTTTTAATTGCACAAGTGACAAGTGCATAAAAACTATACCGATAATTTTGTAAGAAAGCCAGACTCGCGGGCTCTTTCGCCAAAATATGAAAATAACAGAATGCAATTTGTTGAAGATAACACGCTTGAATGCAAAATTATCTGGTCTTTTTTATACACGAATGTAATTTATTGGAATATTTCACGAATAAAGAAATTATCGATATCGATAGATTGTATGGAGCACTCACTAAAACAATGACTGCAACTACCATGTTGATACTGAATGAATAGACTTTGTATTACCTTTGAAACTGTTGGGATGTATGTTTTTAAAATACGATTTTTTTTTTACTTTTGTCATAAATGCCTCCATTAAACAGAAAAAATTCGTCCCATCCTGTATAAAAGATAATCACTGAATAGCCGTTACCATATCGAAAGGAGCATTATTAGTATGAGTTGATTTATATAGTTTCCCAGGTAGGTATAGATATTCTGTTCAAATTTCAGTATTTGATGCAAATGAGAATCAATGAGAAAGAATTTGTATTCAATAAAGAAATATAATATGGAAATGTGTGTCATTGGTTTCTCATTTTACATGGTTGACGAAAAAATAGTGTACGCAACACGTCCAAAAACAGTTTGTTGGACTCGGAGACTTCCAGGACTGGCCTACGGCTCGGCCTAGAATCATGTCTACTCGTTCAAAAAAACAGTATTTTCTGGACTTGTTACGAAAATCACTTTTTTTTTATTCAAACTCTCATGATCAATAACTCCGTAACGAAGTGCGATAGAATTTTCGAATGAACAAATGGCATTATTTCGGCTAACTCTATCAGCCCTTACATTCACGACATGACCTTTCCGGACACCCTGTATATGAGGGTAATATTAAAAATGATGTGATTTCAGGAAATATTGCTAGAGGCGAAGACGATTTCGGTCATCACATCAAAGAGGACATGTGCTGTCGAGAACACGATAGATGTCCCAAAGCCTTGGCCAGAGGTGAATGCAAGCAAGGAATTTGCAATAATTCTCATTTCACAAGGTAATATTGATATTTTAAGTAGGATATGAAGCTTGTAATATTTGCACTACTCACTACATACAGCATACAGAGAAGTGCACAAAAAACGACCAGTAACTTCAGAATCATTCGATATCGGAACATTTGATGGATAGCAACTAGGAATACCAAATTACTCTATGGGTTGCATGCAAGAACTGTCAGATGACCGACACTGGAGGCAAAATATTGAAACACAAACGTCACTTTACTTATTTGTTTACAAGTGATTGAAATAGTTTTTCACAATTATTTTGGCATACGAATCGTATTTTTCCGCTATTCATCAATTCGCTCATGCCATCACATTATGCTGTTGTGAAATGCACAAAAAGTGCAGCGGAAGACGAAGTAATCCGGTTGGTACAATATGATTTAAACGTAAGTACCTACTATAGTCACTCACATATAGTTTTCATTTTTGAAATTTGGTAATTTCTCTGATTTCTCATCGGAATTCTTTCTGCGATAGAAGCTAATAGAAATACATCTGAAATTTCTAAAATAATGCCAGAAAATTGGATTCATGCAATCAATCGGGAGGACTGGTCTGACATGCTGACGATCGTGTGTGTTGTAGACATTTTCAATCTATTAGCAGTATTAGCTTGTATTGCAGAAGTGACAGAAGGCAGAAGGAATTTTAATAAGGAATGACATTTCATAATGATAACTATGTGAGATTACTATTTACCTGAAAAATCATATTCTTTAGTCTCTTGCTGCATTTTTTGTGCATTGTACAACAGCACAATGCGAAGGCATGCTCGAATTAATGAATAGCGCAAAAAACACGATTCGTATGCCAAAATATTGTGAAAAACTAGTTCAATCCTTTGATTCCTCTGTAACCAAGTAAAAAAGTGAGGTTGTGTTTCAATAATTCACAGAAGAATGAGGTTGTGTTTCAAAATTTTGCCTCCAGGGTCGGTCATCGTGCACGCGACCTATTTACAGGCGAAACATTTTTTTTTTCGAATAATTTATCGACTCAATTAAATTATTATAGAGGGTGGTACGTTTTTCAATACGGAAAATTTAACAGCGTATAGTACTCGTTGAAATAATGAATAAACTCCCTATGGAAATATACTTTTAAACGCTTCGTTTTCGAGATATAGGGTGTTCAAGTTTCTTTAAAATTTATTTATTTATTTCTCAGTAATGCTATAACCGATTGTGATGAAATTCACATCTATTGTGGAAATATCAATGAGCTAACTTTTAGACCTATTACAGTTCATGAATTCAGGGGCGTGCATTTCAAAATACAATTTTTTTGCCCTCTTAGATTTCTTATCTAATAGCTTCGTTTCAGAAGGAAAAATAAAAACCAAACCTATGCTCTAAACCCAATTAAAGAAACATTGTAATGCATTAAATCTAGTTAGCATTGGCCGTTTACCAAACCAATCATTAGGGATTCCCTTTCGTGGATTCTAAATGATGAAAAAAATCGAAGACCTGTATTTTTTCGTAGATCTCATTGCGACTGTGACGCAGCATTTCGAAAATGTCTACAGAATGTCAACAGCGAAACTGCCAACACCATCGGAGCCATTTTTTTCAACATCATCCAAGTGATTTGCTTCAAAGAGAGAACGCCCTGTACACAATGGCAAAGGTATATAATCTGGTGTACGTTCGATAACAATCGAATCAATTCATACGAATAGACATCTACCTGTACAGGGAGATTCTCAACTAATACGCATTAAGACTTTTGATGCAAAAAATATATTTTGTGAAATGTATCAATTTACCCTGATTTATCATTTTCCATGACTATGCAAATAACGTGATAATATACAGTGTGATATATATCTCAGTTCTCTTTAGAGATATAAGTACACTCATGGAAACTTGAAACGACTCACACAAAAAGGTAGTACCTAATATTGGTTGTAGTCAATTATTTCTGATCGCTAAAAACGATTTAGAAATAATGTTGTTGCATCAATCATACATTATTGGGCCATATCCTTGAGAAGTTTATTTTTCATAAAACGTGATCAAAGATAATTACCGGGTGATTCATGCACAGGGGTTTTTTACAGGAAATTAAACTACATCTCTGTGTTAAACAGCAGATTCTAAAATATCGCTCATCATGTGGAAGGGTAGTTCTAATTGTGCTTGAAAACATGTTATTCGAAAATCTTTGTTACACGAAAAAAAAAAGGATTTGTTGAATCAAGCAAAATTCATTTGAATGAAGCAGATGAAAGTGTCGTATGCAAGACAAAATATAATTTTGAAATAAGTAAATCTATATCTTGTTTTAGAGCGAATTTGAAGTTGAATTAACTAAATTATGTCTTGCATGAACTCTGTATCTTATTCAATCAAGCACATCCATGAATTGTTTATGAAGAGATATTGAATTGGCTCAAACAATCATTCTGATCGATTTGAAATAACAAGATATTGATTCAATCAAATATTTAGTTGATTCAATGAAATATTTGGTTGATTCAAATAAATATTTGGTTGATTCAATGAATTATTTGGTTGATCAACGGAATATTTGGTTAATTCAATGACATATTTTGTTGATTCTATGAAATATTTCGCTGATTCAAGAAAAACTGTATTTCTATTCGAGATTCGAGAAACTGTTTTGTTGAACATAATTCAGTATCAATTCGGGAATTTTCGGAATTTTCACATCAATAGAATAAACTAAACCAGGAAACTAAGTCGACTTCTAGCATAGATCTCCAGTCTTTACTTCTCTTCAGCTGATGCAAAACTATTTCGGATTGCTAACCATCCTAAGTTCGATTTATCCAGCTGATATTTCAAACACGAAGAATCAGTCTTCACGTATATAATTAATTCGAGGCAGGCATAGACGAGGCGAAATGATTGCCATCTGGAGACTAAAATTTAACTTGATGTAGAATGAACAAAATATTTCATTGATATAACATAATTTCGTTGCTCTATTCAAGCAAATGATCCGTTCGAAGCGAGTTCATTGCTACATCGGAATAAGAAAACGTGTATGTTGTTTCAAATATATATTCTCATAAAAATAATAATATGATCATTATTTCATCAAATCAACAAAATGTTTATAGTTGAATCAACATCGACATTATTTTGGATCGACATAATTTGTTTTTGAGAAAACCATAAATTTTGTTGATGCAATTGATATAATACTGTTGATTCAATTAGACTACATTCTTGATTTGAACAAGCTGCATTCATGAAATGATCATGTATTTGGTTGATTCAACAAAAAATTGCTCAGTCATAATTTTTCGATGCAACAAATTCTTTTTTCCGTGTAGCCGTATTGGTTTTTGCATTATAGCGATTTTTTAAACACTTGAACGAATGATTTTGTTGTTGTTAATTCAGCAAGTAATTGAATCGTAAGTAATCTGACATCCACAATATTCAATATTTCGATAACAGTTTGTTATTTGAAAAACAGATGATATAATAATATACAGGGTGTCCCACGATGATTGAGACAAGAAATATCTCATCGCTAGTAGGGATCAGAAATTATTTACTGACAAATATTACTACTATTTTGTGTGAGTCTTTTCAAGTTTCCATGAGTGTAGTTTCGCGGTTTTCACATTACTTTGAGATATACAGGGCACAAAACTCTTACTTTTCAAGCACCCCCCCTATCTTGGTCACCTTTCAGTCAATCGACAAGACAACTCAGCATCATCCAAAACCTTGTTTTGAGAGACGTGAAAACTGCAAAATTCTACTTTTTTATTCGCTGTCTTGATGATTATTCTATTGAGAATAAATATACTATAACATTTTCGAAGTGAAGTTTTGGAGACCGTGATTAAATTATCAGATACAAAGATATACTCGAAATAGCACAATAATATCATGAAGAGCCCAAATACGCCTTGATGCCCATTCCAATGATCCCTTTGTTTTTATGGTTTTATTTTGTTTCAGTTACAATAACTATGATTCAAACTACCCTAGTTATTCGTTAGAAAGCGATGAAGCCAAATGTCCTTTATATTTTGAAAACTCGGAACGCTATACAGGGACTATTGTGAGATCTTACCAACGTGGACACAAAAAATCTCATTTTGTGAATAACTTACTGAGAAAGTTCGGTCTTTTGTGATATAATTATTTTTTAATAAATTTTAATTTCGCACCTACCTCTTTCTTTTATTATTCATCCCTCACCCTGTGACTTAAGTTATGCTTAACCACCTGCAATCAGACAGCAGCTAGAAGCAGTAGCTGAAGCGATACCAAGGAAGTAGTTGATTCTCTCTCAACATTATTTTATGAAAGTTATACCCACTTTGAGAATTGAATTTTTCATATTCCTATTATTCAGGTTCTATGGATGACACATTCGTTTATTTTTTTCAGGAATGGTTACAGCGAAGCTGAAGGTGATGCTTTGTGCGCCCAAATTCATTTCAGACCCTCCGAAAAGTACGTTCCTTTGATGCCCCTGCCATAAAATTGAGTACCTCAGATTTTTAGCTCGCTAGGTTCTAGGTCAGGTCGTTTTGGTGGCCACAAACATGTCCTTCCTGTTCTATGCGATCCCCTATTGAATTTTTTTCGAATGGTTCATTGTAAAATAGATTCGACAATAAACAATGTGAGATTTTATTTTTTATCGATCTTGATGAAGATTGGAAAAGTTATGTGACTTCATTTTTAGGCTGCAGTAGTGGAATCAGATTGCACAAAGTACTATTAGGGATTTTTTTTAATCACACGATGGATACTTGCTATGTACACTGCTTCCCAAAAAAATCGTAACCATTCTTGAGCTATGTTGGTATATTTTGTTCAAGCCCATGTACTATTCATCGTTTAGGCACAATGTCGATCTACCAAAGGGTACACCCTTCATATCATATTATACAACAGTAACCAGATTCAAGTGTTTTGGGTGCATTCAATTAGCAAGTACATGATCAGAATTATGGTATTGGTTTCAAGATTACCAATCCTTTTCGATATTGATTATGATGGAAATGGTAAAAGCTATTTTTGAAATTTCATTCAACATTTGATGTTTCCATGTGAATGTGAGATACTCAAAGATTTAGATACTTCATATCTATGAACTTTTATGACACAAGCTCCCATACTTCCATATTTTGAAATAAATGATATGAAACCAAATTATGGAACGAAACTTTCACTATTCATTCTACCTGCGTTTTCACACTATATACTTTACTAAGAGGATTTAGATATTGGAAACCACCTACCGTTGCGGGTGTGCTCTGTAATAAAGATAGATATAATAGTCCGTGGGCATAAGCAGATATTTCGAGGAAATCAAGACACAAGTCGTTACGATTTATTTGGGCTGCAGTGTACATACATTCTTCGTTTTCTAGCATCTTGATATAATTCACGTGCGTAGACATGTTCACTTAATCACATGTTTTAGAGTATTCAAAATTTCTGAACAGTACAAATTCCAACTAATTTGTAGTAACCGTATTAATATTGTAGTAGGTAATAAAAAAATCAAGCATCAATATAATTTGTTTCATTTACCAGAAAATGCAATTAAAAATTAACTCTAATTATTATCAATTTCCATAGACAACTTCAGTTTGACACTTATTTATCGGTTAGGAATAACCATGACCATAATTATAAAAGTCCATTATTGAAACTTGTTCTACATGAATCAAAAGTTTTGCTTGAAAATTAAAAAATATTCAGCGATCATTGAGTGACAACTCAGTGTTTCAGAATGATGGTTATAATATTATTTTTTTGTTTTACATTTGCTATGGGAATGAATGTCCGTAAGTTACAACACATTAGATCGATAACAATTCTTCGATATATCAGTTTTTCAATTGGTTTACTGACTTCTAATGCATGGGCAAACTAGGCATTTTAATAAAATTACATTAAATATTCATCGTTGACTACTAGGTATTGATATTGAATTTACGAATAATTTTCAGCTGAAGGTATACCAATCTGTCACAAATCAGATCCAAATTTGGGCGATTGCATGGCAAAGTCTATAGAAACTTCCCTGAAGTTTTTGGCACAAGGTAATTATATGTTCCTATACCAGTTCATGCTGCTTCGAAAAATATTTTAAAAAATTACACTTGTGTTAAACCCAAATGACTTTGAAGCCATTGTTTCCGAGTCAAGTTATGTGCCAAAGATCACCTGAAAAACTACCTAAACTCCATTTCTCCAAGTTACACCCTATACATTTTTTGATGATAAGTGCAATCAATTCTAAATTCAACGATGTATCACACTTGATAATTTGACTGACGTCCAATTGACGGAAAGTAAAAGGCATAATCTCACTTGGATGTACAAAAATTCTGACTGAAAGACGGGTGCACGAACAATTATTGTCAAAAAAAAGAAACAAAAGAAATAATCTACACCTGATACTGTTTCCTTCGAATTTTGTATGTTTGGAAGTATAACATATGGCAAAATCATCGTTGATGTTATAATCGATTGCACTTCACAAATCATCAAAAAAATTTATAGGGTATAACTTGAAAAAATGAAGTTGGGGTGGTTTTTCAGGGGTAGTTTGACAGAAATTGACTCTGACACAATGGCTTCATTTGGGTTTGGCAAAACTGTGAGTTAAAAAAATTTTTTCCAAGCAGCATAATTGAGATATTGACTATATGAAAAGATCTGGGCCACCCGGTATAACAGGTTTTCCAGAAAGAAGGGTCGTTCAATAATAATAAAATTGAAAATGACATTACATAATTTGCGTACAATTTTCATTAGTTGATGGTTAAGAAATTGAAAAAATCTAAATCTGGACATTTTGTATAAGAAAGGTCGAATATTCAGAAAATCAGATGTTGGCTTGGATATTACAGAAAAAAAAAATTAAAAAAAGAATTAAAAAAAAAATCTGTGGATCACGGTAGCAAATGAGCTTGTGGTTTTCGAAAAGAAAAATAGCAGAATCGTTTTATTTTTCAACAACTCATTGAAAATTGGTGAACCCCTATTTATTTTTTTATAGGAAATAAAGAGTTAGGTCTTCCTGTGTTGGAACCCATGTTCGTGAAAGACATGGAAATTGGAGGGAGCACAGGAAAATCAGTATCCCTCCAACAGAAATATCATAACGTTAAGGTCCACGGAATGACAAATTCAAAGATCAAGGTGCTCAAGTAAGAATAAACACCCTATATACAATATACCTCACGGAAAAGGGTGTTTCATTACCAATTGGAAATATTTCCACCATAGAACCCCGAACTCAAAATATAAAGATTTAACCCAAATGAAATATGTCTCCTGTCTGAGTTACAGGGTGTTTTATTAAAAAATTTTGAAATGTTTTTTGCCCAGTTCTTCCAAACTATTTGACGTATCACTTTCAAATTTGGAGGGAAGTGTAGGTATTATACGCCCAAATGAAATATGTGAAATGAAATTTTCTAGCTATTACCAGAGGCGTACGACAGGGGCAATTAACCGGTTGATCCCTCCCAAATTCTACGCCACTGGCGAAATTACAATTCTATCACAAATTTTCGATCCTCCAACGATTTTGACGTAGATATTGTACTATTCCTCCATGGCGATAAAGTCATTATTTTTCGAGATATTTCAATTTAAACATAAATCTGCACAATTAATTTGGATCTCAATGTGCATTAATTTTGTACAATATTTTGGATCAATGGATTGTATTCATCAATAAAATGAAACTTCAATCCATATTAACAATAGAAACATAATAACATAACAGACAGGAGCTGTTACAGGGTGTTTAATTATGAAATAAATTAAAAAATTTGAAACGCCCTGTAACAGCTCCCGTCTGTTATGTTTTTATGTTGATATGGATTGAAGATTCATTTGATAGATGAATGCAGTCCATTGATCCGAAATATCGATATTATTGATACACATTAAAATCAAAATAATTGTGCTGCTTCATGTTTAACTTGAAATATCTCGAAAAATTATGACTTCATCGCTATGAAGAAAGAGTACAATATTTACGAAGAAGGTATTGAAGAATCGAAAAATTCTGATAAAATTGCAATTCTGCCAGTGGCGTAAAATTTGGGAAGGATCCACCAGTCCCTTGCCCCTGTCGTAGCTAGAAAAGTTCATTTCACATAATTCAGTTGGATGTATAATACCTACACTTCCCTCCAAATATGGACGTGATACGTCAAATAGTTTTGAAGAACTGGGCAAAAAACATTTCAAATTTTTTTAATAAAACACCCTGTAACTCAGACAGGAGACATATTTTATCTAGGTGATTTGGGTTAAATCTTCATATTTTGAGTTCAGGATTCTATAGTTGAAATATTTCCAATTAGTAATGAAATACCCTGTATTTTCATTCTATAGAAATGCCGAGACTAGATTGTTCATTTGATTCACGATGATTCTGTCTATATACAGGGCGATTCAAAATTCGTTGCAAATATTTCAAGGACAACCACTTTGAGTTGGGTAAAGAAAAAAGTTCATCTGAAATTGTGATCATAATAACGGATCAAGTGTTCCTACTTCATATCATCGATCTATTGGAAGCAATCACTTGCCCTATCCATAGCTTTGCAGACGATAATATTTCTAAATGAAAAACTTCGATTCTTTTTTTGATTATGTTTATTTGAACCGTTACATACCTGTTAAACTGGTTTTATTTCAACCTTTACATACCTGTTGAACCGGTGAACATAATTCAGAAAACATAATCGAAGTTTTTCATTTGGAAAAGAAATGAGACCCAAACAACATCGGATGACTTCTTTTGGCCTACCTGTTAAAATTCCTATTCCATCCCAGGAAACTAAGAAGTTGCGAGGAAGACAGGCCAACGCTGTCAATGAAGATCTTGCGGAAATTACAGCCTGGGCAACCAACAACCCAGTTGAATTCAACGTCACCAAAACCCAAGCCTGTATTTTCAACTGACGGACTCGTTATTTGTTCAAAGGCAATATTTTTCGTTTGACAGCTTGACAACAATATTCTAATTGAAATCTCATGCCCAATAATTTCGCGAATGATATTGTTTATCAAAACTTTCGAGCCGTATAGGCGAGAAGTTTTGAAACAATGTCATGAGCGAAATTAAGGAAGCAAGCTGGAGTAACTTCTCGCCTACTACGAGAAAGTTTTGATGAACAATTTCATTCGGCAACAAGCTGTCGAAACAATTTTCGGATAAAATAGTATAACTAGTGGTATTACATATGGCAAAAATATGTGTAGATTCGGATTCCTCATGATATTTTATCAGAATCTTGAATGGTCAGGTCTCAGCGTTTTCAGGATACAGCTCAAGAATAAGAATGTTGAAATATAACAAGATATATGATACACTCGATTTTTTTAGCATTGACCTTGAAAAAGGATGCAGTTGGAGAATGAACATTTCTAGCCCAACAATAAGACTCGAAGGAGAGTATGAAATGCAAGGACAAGTTCTTGTTTTTCCAATGAACGCCAAAGGAAAATGCAATGTAACTCAGTGTAAGTATGAAAAATGCCCCGATATGAACTTTTTCACATTTGGAGTGGGATAGACCTGGCTGACTACATGAGTTTCAAAGTGACTCGAGACAAGCACAATTTTCTTCTGGAATGGTTCCATTTATGATATGGAGTCGCCAGAATTTCGAAAGTAATCAACGTCATCAGTACAGGCATGAAAATTCGTGTACTTGGAGTATGTGAAGTCAGAATTATTGTTTGACAATTGACAGACCGTTTTCCGGGGGCTGAAGTGCCGACATACTACGCGAAACAAAATCGAAAAATCAAAGTGATGGTATAAAGTCTTAAAATGCGAGAGATAGATAGAACTCGATGAACTAACAGTATAATATATCTTCACATGAACATATGTTCTGAAACGTTTCGATATTGAGATATTGGGCATAGGAATATACATTTTTTTCAAAGAAATATTTTCAATATTTCAATATTTTTGATACATCTAGAACTGTCCGAGCGATTTTCAATTTTTTCAAGGACATTGAGATTTAGGGGGTGACAAGTTTTAGCTGGGACACACTGTATACCCATTTCCTTACATAGAGGGATGCAATAAGAAAAAAAATTGGAAAACAGGTCAAATTGTCAAAACCAATCAAGTATCTACTATGATTTTCTCACAAGAAATAGGTTGAAATGAGAAAAAAACAATGGCTCTATTTGTTTTTTTTTTTAGACAACCTACACAATGTCCACACCGTCACGTGCGAACGATACACGAAAAAAGGTCAAACCTACATGAGGCTCACCAATTACACTTTGGACATGAAATTGGAGGACATCCATTACGAATTCACCGATCTGTTTCCTGGAAACCAACAAATTTCCGATGAAATTCTGAAAACGCTCAACGACAACGGCCTCGCTATATTCAACGAGATCAAAGCTGGCTTTGAGTCTGTCTTTGGCTACATGGAAATGCAGACGCATAACAATATCATGTCGAAATTCACGGAAGATCAACTTTTTCCCCAATAACACGTAGAACGAGCGTCATTATTATTTTTCAAACTGTTATAATTTTTGCAATAAATATGATAATAATGAAAGGAAATCTTAACCATAGTTCATTTACTCACTGAAACGACAGTACGCGTTCACAATACATTGGAAATGTTGTCATAAAGAAATTAAATACTTAGTAGTTTGAAAAACTGGAAAAACAAGATATTATAGATAGCCCAACTGAAAAGAAGTAGAAAATAAATTATGCTATTGTCATCGGTACTTGATAAGTCTACTAATTTTCAATTCAATTTGACGTTTTGAAGCGGGTCAAATATAGAGGTGGCAAACTATCGATAGTATTGACTATCGATAGTTTCCATAGTTAAAAAAACTATCTAGTATCTATCGATAACTATCGATCCAATCCGATAATTGTGACATTTGACGTGAAACATACAATTTCAGTAAACTGACAACAGAAATTGACTTTTGGAGATGGATTTAACACCCCTGCCAACCAATGAGTCCAAGGACATTGACAACTGACAAGGGAATTGACGGAGACAGACGACTAGGTCTCAAAAAATTTGAAATAATAACGAAAATACATACTTTATTTTTGATTTGATTAAAAGTGATTAAATTTAAGGCGCAGACATCAACATCAAGGCTCAGCTGCAGCTCAGAGTTCAGAGAAGAAGAAATTTGATAACATTGATAATTGTGTCGCCTTGTCTCTTGTCAAGTTGTCACTGAGAATCTTTTTTTAATATAGCATTTTATTAAATCTTCTTTTTCATTACAGGGACTGATAACCAGGATTTTTCAAGTACATTGGTCCATTGCTCCGCTATCGATAATTTTTTGAAAACTATCCATAGTATCGATGGTGCATATCTCTAAAAAACTAACGATATTATAGATGGTACCATCGATAGTTTGCCATCTCTAGGTCAGAATCACTCGTCTCTCTGGATGTAAATTTTCATGCAAGTACTTGGTGTAAGATACTGCCGTGTCTCTGGGTCTAAAAAAGCATCGTATAGCTATTCGAAGGAATAAAAGCAAACATTTGAAATTTTGGTGAAGGAAGATTTTGAAATATTGGTGGCGGAACCTGGCGGAACAACGTTCACCATTTCATTCGGAAAAAAATCACTCACCCTGAAGATATTGATCAGGATAATGGATGAAAACTATCAAATTATGCTGTTGTCTTCGGTCCTTAATCAGTGTGCGAAGTATCAATTCAATTCGACCAAGCTAATATACAGGGTATGTCACGACGAGCTCACACTATCTTCACATCGAGAATAAGTCGGGAGATATCCATTGAAATATGCATGCTTATATTTTAGAGTACGCTCTCTTTATTTAAAATATTTTCGACAATGCAGTGTTGCCGCTTCTACCAGAAAGTAGTAGCTACAGTGATATTTCAAACGGAACACCCTGTATCTATCTATCCATCCCATTTCTAGATTCTCCCTGTTGAGCTCATTTTATCGATATATTTTCAAAATCTAGATTTTTCAACTTCAGGATTTACTATTTACAGATATTTAATCGGAACAGATACAGGGTGGTTCAACATTTAAAATTCTGATCACCCTGCATCTGTTTCGATTGAATATCAGTGAATAGTGAATCAAAAGTTGAGATAGGGACATGTGAGTCGTTTTGGCCGATAATGAATAGTTTGGATACAAACAAATCCTTAAGTTGAACAATCTCGATTTTGAACAGCCTATATCTCTGTAATCATTTCCGATAGACCCCAAGTGTGACGTATCGATGAAATCAGCTCTTCAGGGAGAGTCTGAAAATGCAATAAAATACAGGATATTCTATTTGAAATAACAAAGTTGTTGCTACTTTTTGATAGAAGTGGCAACACTGCATTGCTGAAAATATTATAAAAGAAGATAACGCATTCTAGAATCAATCGAGGTTAATTAATGAAGAATTTCTTTCAACTTTATATCGAAATGTGGTTTTCACCATTTGATTCATCATAAGAATTAACCGGACATTAGTTCGAAAATTCGACTCCGTCTCCAACAGTTTTCAATTTGGGTCACCCTGTATATGATATATTGGTAAAACACCGTATTAAAATATTTCAGACATAAGCAAATATAATATACAATCAATCAGACTGATTTTTGCGAGGAAATGAAATGATATTCGGAAAAAAATATTTGAATCATTCATATTATTGCGGGACACAGTCGGACACACTGTGTAGTGTGAAGAAGTTGAGAAAAGTATTTGTTTTCAAAGGGCCTACCAGATTGCGAAATTTCACAACAATGAACATTTCAGTCATGATGGGACGGACATTAGGAACAATAAAAAAATTATATGTTCCAAAAATTGTTGTTTACATCTAACCCTATCTATTCTGATGAGGCGGAGATGAAATGTATTCTGAAAATACCTTCTTCAGGTAGGATATATCAGCAAAAACGTTATCAGATGATTTTTTTACATAAACGATTCGGAGTTTTGTAGATTTGCGAAAACCGCAGCCAACTTGTCTTCCATAGGTACTCCAAAAGACCAGTGGCGTCAACAATCAATGATATTTATTCATAAATATAATTGGAATTATACATCGTGTTTCCGAAATTGGGGCAATGAATGAAATGGTTTATAGAAAGCGAAGAAATAGAACGAAATAAAAAAATACATTTTTGTCGATGAAAAAATATTTTCGAGATATTGAGCTTGAAAGTTTGCCTGAAACTTTTTTGTAAATAATCGATTAGAAGTTAAAAGCCCAACCCAAGCGTTTGCCTTCGGCGAGATCACTAGCACCGGAAATATCAACGACTTTCACAACGTTGCCGGACTAGCCGGACGTTCGATAATAATTGAAAGATGTATATAGTATGGTAGGAGCGCACATTTTTTGAAAAACGTTCGAAACATTTTTTTTACATTCATCGTGTCATTATTTCTCATAGAACACATCATTTTAGGCAATAAACCCCAATTTCGGAAACACCATGTAGAAAGCAGTCGAATTCAATTTCGTATCGAATTAATTTCACCAACTCTTCATTTGAAACTTTATGGAAAATAGTATACTCTTTGGTGTCACTCTAAACTGAACTCCAATCTCTAGAAAAATACGCAGTGCAGTGGACTACCTCACCAACAAACAATCTTTCGTTTTTGGATATTATGACAAATTGACATTCATCATACAGGACGTGGAAAGAAATTCTGAATTGAGAAAACCTATTCACCAATCTATAAAAATAACAAGTTTCCATCGTTCAAGTTTGAGGGAGAATATCAATTCTCAATTTCCGAGGATTTTTATTCTTCATGCTCTCCTTTTGCATGTTCAACAGATATAATTCAATGTTCGACGTGGCAAATAGCCAGGAGAGAAGTTGTTTTCTGTTGAAAATTTCACACCAAACATTTTCGATCAATTTAAAACCTGTATTTCGTATCGTTACCATAGCAACTAAACAAATCTCTTGGAAATTTTTTCCTCCTCCCTGGGGGACGGAGCATGAAATTACACTGGAAATTTTTTGACGTTTATAGGTTAAATGACATTAACATTCAACTTCATATTATTTCGAGTTCATTCTATAAGTCGATAAATAAAAATCATTTATCAACAGTTTAACATATAATATTATGTAGGCATACTTGCAAATTCGAAATTTACGAAACCATTAAAAATCGTCATTATCCAAGTAATTTCTTAATAATATTTCAGTGTGGAATTTTCTTACCGAATACCACTTCAACTCCAATCAATATCCGGGAATTTTTTCTCGAACACGAAGCTCTCGTGATAGGTATTATAAGTGAATATTCAGAATGATATTATGAAGATATACACATTTATATCTGAAGGACATTGCAAATTCTCAACTTCAGAAGATTTTGTTTTCAAATTTTTATCGTATGTGTTCAATAGATATAATTCAGTGTTCGTCGTGGCATATAGCCAGAAAAGTAGTTGTTTTCTGTTGAATAAACCGAGAAAGAATTGATATGCGAATTCTCAATGTATTTCTTTATACAGGGTGGCATTGAAATGAGTGCAAATATTTCAAGCCTTGAGTAAGCTCGACGTATACTATCGAGTGGTACCAATAAAAATAAATAGGGATCAAAATAAAATTTGAGGTTAGACCCCTTTTTCCACCAGAATTCCCTTACTGTAGCAATTCTGACGTCACCTCTATTAAAATTTTCGTGCGGAAGGCACAATCACGAGGATTTTAATCATTTACATTGTTTTAAAGAGGCGTACTTAATTTTTTCCTCGTTTTCTGTTCAATTTTCGGGATGAAATTTCTTGTTAGTTAAAAGAATTAGGAAAAAACCGATATTATGGGAATAATTGTTAGACTGTATCATATCGATATGCTGATTATATGTACATATTTCAAAAACAGCTTGTATATAGATGTATATCCATTATTTGGTCATGGTCATAATTTATCTGAGAATATTCCTTACTAAACAATCCTTCATTGAACACATCATATCAAAAATTTTTGATGATCTGAAAGGTTATGAACTGGAAAGGTCGTTTATCTCATTGCACGAGATGAACAGGGTTGCCGTCTCATTTCATTATAGGTAGTGGAAATATTCGAACATTCATCCGCCGTCAAATCTACAGATTCAACAATCTCATGAATGAACCGAGCAAGTTTCTTTAATTTTGACATGTAATTTGACACTTTTCAAGAATGACAGTTACGCAACCTCTAGGGGTGAGCCACAAGACCCATCTGGGGTCGCAGTGGAGGGGAGGTATTCGCCCCACTCACATGGAACCTAACCTAGCCTAACCAATATGTATCAAATAACGGATGAGGTTGAATATTATAACACGAGGCGCAGCCGAGGGTTAAAAAAACAAAAAACAATCGAAACCGTTATTTGCGTATCGTCAGGTGTTGTTCAAAACTTTTCGTAATCCTTCTGAAAGATTACATTTTGATTCCGAGGAAATAACAAACCACGTACCTCGCGATTCTACAGAAAAATCTCAACATTATGTTGTTATGGAACAATTAACGCCCACCGAATACCGTTAAATCAAAATACCAGTATGGAATTACGAAAAGTGGAATATCACTGAACTTGAATCAGCCGTTTTCCACTGATGACAATATCAAACGAGTCTATTTCGTGAATTTCATGTAGAACTGGTCAATAGTTCTGTTCAAGCGGATTTTTGCATCAAAATTCGAACAAATATTGTAAGTAACTAGTTATAGTCCGGGAGCCACCGACATTTCCCAATGTCTCATTTGATAAAGCTTGGTAAAAAGAGTAGAATTGTTAACATTGCCGAGGTAATAGACGCGAATTCGGACATCATCCTCGAATTATGCCAATGGTTTCATAATTTTTTCCAAGGTGCAAGTTGTGTTTTTACTACCATGGAAGTTTTCGTCAATTCATGAACCACTAGTCAATAAAGACATAGATATAATTAACCCAAATTCACTGTTCTTATGTGAGATTCGCAAAAATGGCACTCGAATGATCAATAACATCTTGTCAAATGCTGTCATGATCATATGGTACTAGATTTTAATCAGAATTGCAAAGTAGTGCTTTCATAGTTACAATTGGTCTATATTTCAGTTCCACAGAACTATAGTGATTGAAATATCCTGCTGGTGGTGAAGAAAAATCAAAATACACCTTGGTAGTAGCGAATACTATTACCACGGGACCTTATACCCCTATATACCTAGATCTCATAACTGAGAGATCCAGGATGAACAGAGCTGCACCAATTGTCAGCAGGAGCGAGACAGTACTGCTTCGACCCACCAGGTCTCATCAGCCGCTCTCGGTCTGCTGACAACTGGGAGAACTCTACGCTTCGGGTATATCACCCATTTCGAAGACGCAGGGTATAACATATATATAATAACACACGTACAGACCCTTACGTCTATACGCTACAGAGTGGTTTACTTGTATTACCACTCTGAAGTGTATAGACGTAAGGGTCTGTACGTGTGACTATAGATGGCAGCGCCATACAGTGTGTGTGCGATCTCTGGTTCCTACCATAGAGCTTTGCCACTAGATGGCTACAACATGACTATAACTTCATGTTATACCCTGCGTCTCAAGATATAATCTTGGTCCCTGGGCCACAGTAGAGCCTGGGCTGGGTAATACTGATAGATTCTTTACTACCCTGGTGTATAAATAACTATTAATCACTTATTTTTTCTCTCGATCAACATCAAAAAACCTCCAATCGAAACAAAATCAACACCAATTTGGACATTACTCAGATTAGGTTATTTGAGTTGATCTTATGTCTAGAAGGCGTTAATATGACATGAAAATAATGAAATTATTCTTTATCAAATGTATCGAAAAAAAATCGCTGTCTCTCCAACTATTGGGAAACGCATCATTTTGTGTGACGATGGTATTTTGCGGGAGGGGCGATTACGTAAATATTCATTTTTCTAATTTTGACATGTAATGTGACACTTTTCAAAACTGACGGAAGTTTTGAAACGTCTTACTTTACGTAACCAGTTGCGTAAAGTAAAATTTTACATACACTGATAAAAATACCCGATTGGTGACAAAAGAATGATGCTTTTAGATTCTTTTCTCTCCTGACAAAGACAATTTCTTCCTTTCAAATACATTGCTCTCATCTGCAGATTATTGCTGTTTTTGTAATAAGGTTTTGAATCTTTTGGCTGTAAACGCTTTTGAGAGAACATCATCGACCTTGTCTCTAGTCCTGCTTGGTTTGCATCTACCTCAAGATCACAAGACTTTGATACAAGATCTGAAATCGTTCGGTTGAGACCGTTGATGAGATCGAGTCCACCCGAGGTTAACCGAAAACATACCGACTCCGTTTGAGTCATGCGCAATGTATGGGTCGACCCCATCTTCCCATCTCTTCTGCATCGTGCCGAGTACCGTCCCGCGTCCCGTTGCCAATGCATTTTAGCGGCCATATCTGTCGTGTAGCGTTGTGCTGTGGATCATGAGCGATTCAGTGGAGTTTGAAAAACTTCTAGATGCGTTGCGTTTGAGCCATATGATGCAAACATTTCAAGGTAAGTACCCACCAATACTTATTCCAGTAGATAGGTATTTCATCATCATATGAAATGTTTCATGTGTTATTTTATAAAATGAATGAGTTTTTTATCAATGGTTGTTTTTACAGGATTTCCACAATTCTTCGACCAAGGATAAATAAGAAGCTAAAACAAGTTGATGGGATATTTTAATTTTCAAGTATATTTCAACCAATGCAAAACGTTTTTTCGTCAGAACATCAGAACTAAATCTAATATCAACAAACCAATAATGGGGTTTTGTTAAGGATTCATAATAACATGATCCTCAAAACTTTTATAGAAATCAATTGAAATTCTAATTATTATTTCAACATTTTACAGGAGTATCCTCTCAAGAAATCTCCAGAGAATTTGCATCAGGATCATATACATTGTGTTCCAAGACCATAAGATATTGGATCAACCATTTGCTGTATTTACAGCGAAGCCCTATATTTCAATAAAATAATACCATATCTTTCATCTTAAATCTCATAACTTTGAAATGATATCTCAATGATTTTGTCCAAAAATCATTGTTCATTATGATAAGTTCAGGGTATTTTGCTATAAACTCATATATCATTGGGCTAAAGAAATCATGGCAATTACCTCAACATTCCCCATAAGTTGGGAAAACTACGATTTTAAGCCAAAAGCATTAGTTATTAGGGCAAAATCAAAGTTTCTTGCCTCGAATTTATATAATTTCATGCTAAAGAAACTTAGGCGCTTGCCTCAAAGTTTTTGGAATATTGGGTCGAAATGTCCATGCATTCCGCCCTATTCAAATGCTTGGCGCCCTTGAGGTAAAGTCAAATTCCTTCAATCCAAGGAATCCTTTTTATCAGTGTAACTGGTGATGTAATGTTCATTTCATTCATTCATTTCACACAACAAGAGTCGGCAGACCTCATGTAAAACTGGTCATTATTTTTGTTCATGCGAAATGTTTCGTCAAAATTAGAAAAAATATTGTACGTGACACGTTAGGAAACGCCATTTTGTGTAACTCTGTGATGTTGCGGGATTTCGCTTCGCTCGTCCCGCAAAATCCCATCGTTACACAAAACAACGCGTTTCCTAACTGATTACGTAAATATCTATTTCAAAATTTCACCCCGAATTCAAAAAATATCCTACGTTTGCTAGAACGAATAAGCAGAACACATTCCTGCACATATATCAACCCACCTTATATAGTTATTAGTACTATTCTACGCCTATGGAAGTAATTTAACGAACCCGCATTGCAAAAATTGATTCGAAAAGGCCCGTCTCATTTCATCTTCTTTTCAAACGAGCAATGCGCATGAGCCAAAAACAGCCGAATATCGATTTGGCCTACTGAGACCGAGAGTATCATATCCTGCGATTCCTGCGTATCAGATGTTTGTTTCGATGGGTCGAACCCCATCCTGAGATTGGTTTTTCGTTTTTCGTTTTTTTTTTTCGAAAATGAAATACGCATACGTGGCGGTGTTTTTGTGCGTCAGTACTGCCTTCACTTCCGGCCAAGAGGAGAATAGAGAGAGGGAGAGTACCGCCAAGCAACATCCGGAACTATCAAAATTGTGAGTACCTATCGTGTATACAGCGTGTCTCACTTTAAACGTACTCCCCTTCTATATTTCTGCCATTAGTCGTGCGGTTCGTACCAAATTTTGACCGGTGTGAATAATCATCAATATACAGGGTGTCCCTAATAAGGTCTTAACAAACACTTACCACATATTTCTCAGACCAAAACAATTCGATACAAGCAAACTTACCTTAGTACAACGTTGTTTAGTTTGGGGGGCGATAGACGTTACAATTTTCAAATCGTTTTTGCGTCATAATTTTGAAACGGCTCATGAGATTTTAGTCAAATTCGGTACGTAGGTATAACTTTTTTGGGCAATAAAACCAATATCCTGATTGAGATAAATATAATTCCATGGGCGTAGAGCTTGATTTTTGCAGTAAATGAACAGCTAAAACTTCAACGCCAATGAAAAGAAAGGGGGTTTGATATGACATCTGGATTACGTAACTTATTTGCTACTCTGAATAAAATTCATAATTTAGTAATTCAAAGTATCAACTGACAAATATTACATGAAAAATTTTCAAAATTTTCATCATCTTATCTTGAGAAATGCTATCAGCTATTTTTTGTTTTGTACCGAGTAAGCCAGAGCCGTCTAGCGCCCAGACTGAGAAGCTTTGTACTGAGGTGAGTGTGCTTGTAACCATTTTTTACGCAATCAAAATTTCATATCAAAACCCCTTTCCCTCCAGATGTTTATTTACTGACAAAAATCAAGTTCTACGCCCATGGGAATGAAATGTTAAATACATACAAAAAGCTCAAAGTCATATCCACACAATGTTTATAAAATAAACAACAATGGTAGATTTCGGGAGAAAAACATTAAATTACATCCTCCCGAAATATATGCATAAACTCGTATAAAGGAATACTGATACAAGTGATTCTTTCCTGAATGCCTATTGATTTCGATTTAGCCAGGCCACGCTAGACAACTACAGACCGGTTTAGAGCTCTTTGACTCTCATCAGTGCAGGGCAGTCTCCAGCCAGTGGTCTGAGGACTGCCCTGCGTAGCTTAGCGTAGCTTAGCCAAACAAACTTTTCAGTTTCGTTGGTGTCAAGCATGGCCTGGATTTTTGTATTTATGTGCAAAATTTGAGTGAAATCTCATAAGCTGTTTCAAAGTTATTAAGCATAACAATTTGAAAATTGTACAGAGTCGTCTAGCGCCGAGTCTAGCGCCCAAACTGAACAACTTTGAATGTACAGAGGTAAGTTTGCTTGTATCGAATCGTTTTAGTCTGAGGAAAATGTGGTATTCTCCTGTAAAGACCTTTTAGGGACACCCTGTAAAAGATCAGAAACAACCAGGGGTCGACTTTCTATGAAATCAAATAAGAAGTTTTTTTTTTGGAGGAAAACTAACTTCATATTGTTGTTTCCCATGCTTTCGAACCTCCATATGCAAAAAATCACCTCACTCAAATTTTTTCATTTTCTGCCTCGCAAAAATAATGAATTCAAATTAGCTGCAAAATTTGGAGGGCTCAATACCTCCGTTAGGTAGAAAATACTAATTTGAAAGAAAAATACACTTTTTCCATTGAACTTGCCGTTTGCGAATAAAGAATTATTTGTGTTCGCAAAAATGCTGTTTAGATGTGCCGATTTTTTTAATACCTTCATAGAAATATTCTGAAAATTCACACATGGGGGTTTGAAACTATGAAGAACAATATTATGAGGTCAGTTTACTTGTAAAAAATCCTAGTATGATTTCATAAAAAATTAACCGGTAGATCTATTGTGCCCCCTTCTTCTATACCCGATGAGGTTGTTCTCCACAGCTATACCAATTTCTCTAGCCTATATCACTCAGAAATATCCTCTTATACTAACTAATATACTATTTTCACGTTATAGTTGAAAACATTCATCGAAATGAATAACATTTCATCATGAGCAATTTTCAAATTTAACATTTCGTCTTCCAGAAAACAAACAACATTTTTCAATCAACTTTACGTTTTGGACACCTCGATATTTTTCGATGTTCAGTTTTTCGATACCGAAAATAAAAATCTACCAAATTATGTCGTATTACATTATTTTTGACGTATGACAAATTAATATTCATCATACAGGACGTGTTACATTTGCTTTCAAAGACTGCCCTCTCCATGCAAGCTCATTTTTGATTATATTTTTCTCATATTATGATAGCATAATGGCATAAAATATCATGTCACTTGATGATTCAATATTTTTCTAGAAAATGAGGAAAGTAGTTAGCTGAAACATTGATTCCCATAGATTTTTGAAATTTTCTATCCTCGTCTCACAGAGGAGAGAGAATCCCGAAAATCTATTGATATTTCAATTTGAGTAAATATCAAAGAAATTAGCCTTTTTTCAGTGTACAATTTGTGCATCCAAACTGAAATCAGACTCAAGTATGTCATTATTCACTTAGAGAATAATAAACAATAAAATTACTCCCGTCAATTCATATTAGGTGAATGGTACGTAACATGTTTTTGAGCTTGAATTTTTCTCTGAGAATGTATATACAGGGCAGTGCCTTATATTCGAAAACCTTCAACTACAGGCCCATTGCCCTGTTATCAGTAATCTCCAAAGTGATGGAGAAAGCCATCAATATTGAGCTTATCAAATATCGCCACCGAAAATCTACTGGAGATCTACTTGCCTACGTCACCCATTTATGGCAAGCTTCATTAGAAAAACACGGGGAATCTCTAGCTGTCGCGTTGGACATATCGAAAGCATTCGACCGTGTTTGGCACGAAGGACTCCTCCACAAACTACCATCATACGGCTTACCACCTCAGCTATGCCATCTCTTATCGAGTTGTCTTTCAGGCAGATCGCTTCACGTGGTGGTGGACAATGTATCGTCTGATACCATTGGCATCAATTCCGGCGATCCACGAGGATCAATTTTGGCACCAACATTATTCCTTCTTCATATCAATGATCTGTTGGGAGTAACAACTTGCCCCATCCACAGCTTTGCAGATCACAGTACCCTCCATACCGCGTTCTCTTCCAGAATTCCCATTTCTTCCCAGGAAACTAAGAACTCACGGTGCTGGCAGGTCAATGCTGTCAATGAAGATCTTGCTGAAATCACAGCCTGGAGAATCAACAACCTAGTTGAATTCAACGCCACCAAAACTCAAGCCTGTATTTTCTCAGAAAGGCGGAACTCAGTTTGCCCGATATTGTAATGTCTGGCTCCACCATCCCCACCAAGCCCACCAAATCTATGCTCGGCATTTCCATCAGCAACACTCTTTCATGGGATAATCATGTCAGATCCATCGCGAAAGATGCTTCACAAAAACTCGGATTCTTGTTCCGTGCGAAAAGCTACTTTACACCTCAACAGCTTCTCATGATCTACAAAGCGCAGATACGGCCTGTTCTAGAATACTGTTCCCACATATGGGGTTCAGCACCAAAACATACGCTGATGCTCTTAGATTCCATCCAGAGAAGAGCCATTCGCCTGGTGGGTGACGCCACACTAACTCACTCTTTGACATCATTGCAACACCGTAGAAAGGTCGGCGACCTTTCACTTCTCTATCGATACTTCCACGGGAAATGTTCTTCGGAAATCTCTGCTATCATCCCTTCACTAGCAATACCAATCAGACGAACTAGACAAGCCCAGTCAGCACATCCTTTCGTTGTCAACCTCGAAAGATGTCGAAGAGCACTTTATCAAGACTCCTTCATCCATAGAACGGCTAGGCTCTGAAATTCATTGCCTGTGGAAGTATTCCCAACAACATATAATCTCCAAAAGTTCAAGAAAAATTCCAATACCTACCTCCTGTCCCTATCCTCCCTAGGAACGCACGATGTTCTTTGAACATTATAGGGATTCCCTTTCGAGCGCTCCAAGCGATAAAAAAAATACGAATCTTAAAAAATATTGGATTGAAAGAGAACTGTTGTTTCGAAAATTATTGGGTTTGTAATGATTATTCTTCTATACAGTTAGTAGTTAATTATTATCGATCGTTTACCATTAAAACATAAGCGGCCATTGTCAGTTGCGTATCCATTATCAATTGTTTGTTTATTCATTGAATCCCGTTGAAGTTAGTTTTGAAACAACTCTGAAAATTTACGACAATCAAAATGTAAGCAAACATAGATCTGTCGAAAAATAATCTAAAAATATCAACGAACAATACCAGGTAACTACAGGGTGCTATCTAAATTAAAAAAAAATCTTGACGGCAAAATAGAAAAACATTCCTCGCCATTCAATTAGTTCTCTTATTATCAAAGATGTATTTTTTTCCAAGAATATACAGGGTATTTTAGTTCTCATATGACAAACTTCAATAGGTCTTAGTACGAATTCATGACATTGAAGAAAACTTTCATGAACATACGTCTATTGTTTTGTAGACAGGGTGTTTTAATAAAATATTCTTTCATTGATAGCTCGACTAGATTTATAGGTACCTTGATTTTGATTATGAATAATATTTGCCACCCTCCTGACAATGGACTAAAAATTCAACTTAAAACCACATCATCGTGTTCTTTCACCAACTCCGAAGTTTTCTTGTTTCAAGGGTCAGAAACTGGGCCACCAAACTAGGAGGAGAACTATGGCATTTCGGAGATTTGGTAACTAGACAGAACAGAGTGAAAGAAGTAAGTTGAGAAGTCGCAACAATATTGAAAAAAAAACTATTGAACTTATTGTAAGCAATAAAGTGATTTCGTTTTTTCAGAGTTTCAAAGAGACCACCCTGAAAGTAGAAGACGGCGATACATTATTACAAAATATTCACGAAAATATCTCGCACATGATGAAACAAAAAGTCGAAGCTGTCAAGGTAAAAGCAACACATTACTAAGTTGATAACAGAAGTGGATTATGATAATTTTAACCCTATTTTCAATTTGTCAAACCTCGGCCGTTACTTGATGGAAATCCATAGAAAATATAAAAACTTCACAAACGAAGAGATTTCCACATAATTCTTAATCACACGACCTGTTTCGCTAACACAGTAGCTTCATCAGGTGAAATACTGGTACAATGAAATAAACTAACCTTGGCTTGCCCAACTTATATATATTCTACTTTCTCAACCTGAAATATTAGAATTACCTGTGGAAAGGTTCGATAAACCTTCAATTTCGTAAAATAGGAACAATAATAATATTCCCGTCCTACTGGAAGATTGCAATAGTACAACCAGTTCTTAGAGAAGGCAAAAAGACCCTACCTAGCAACTACAGACCGATCGCACTGCTATCTATTATTTCAAAGATCATGGAGAAAGCTATCAACATCGAGCTCATGAAATACCTGGAACATTCAGGTATTATCAACGATAGGCAATATGGCTTCCGTCATGAGAGATCAACTGGTGACCAGGTCACTTACGTCTCACATATATGGCAGCAATCTATTGAAAAATATGGTGAAACCTTAGCTGTGGCACTTGATATCTCCAAGGCATTCGATCGAGTCTGGCACCACGGACTCCTCGCCAAGCTTCCATCTTATGGCTTGCCTCCCCAGCTATGTTCTCTGCTAGCTAGTTTTCTCTCAAACAGGTCTCTCCATGTAGTGGTCGACGGAGTTTCATCTGACTCTCTTATCATGAATGCTGGTGTTCCGCAAGGATCAATTATAGCACCAACAGTATTTCTTCTCCATATCACCAATTTGTTGGAAGCAACTTATTCATTTCCAGTACACAGTTTCGCGGATGATAGTACCCTCCATACCGCCTTTTCTCCCAGGGCTCCAATACCAGCCAGGCAAATCAGAAACGAACGAGGGAGAAATGTTGACAACATAAATATGGACTAGGCAACAATTCTAGAATGGGGATCCAATAACTTGGTAGATTTCAATGCAAACAAAACACAAGCATGCCTTTTCTCTATAGGAAAGCCGATCTCACTGTGCCCAACATAAGCATGTCAGGGGTAACCATACCTTTGAAGACATCAATTCTGCTTAGTATTACTATCAGTAATAACCTGTCTTGGGAAAATCACGTGAGATCAATTGCTGAAAGTGCATCCCAAAAACATGGTTTTTTGTTTCGGGCCAGGAGCTATTTCACTTCCAGTCAGTTTCTTATGATCTATAAGGCACAGATCCGACCTGTCCTGGAATACGGTTCCCATATTTGGAGTGGAGCACCCAAACATACCCTGAAACTGTTGGATTTTGTCCAAAAGAGGGCAATTCGTCTCGTGGGTGATGCCTCGCTCACAAACTCACTCACTTCACTGAAACACCGTAGAAAAGTTGGCGATCTGGCTCTATTTTATAGATATTTTCATGGACGATGCTCTTCTGAAATATCAACAATTGTTCCTCCATTGACAGTCTCCGCGAGATTAACCCGTCGAGTTCAGGCTTCGCAACCTTTCGTGGTCACTTTGGAGACCTGCAGAACATCTCTTCCCAGAGACTCGTTTATCCAACGAACAGCGAGGCTCTGGAACACATTGCCAAGGGAGGTGTTCTCCGAGGCATATAACCTTCAGAAATTCAAGAAGAACACCAGTTCCTACCTAATTTCCATTGGTTCTCACAGGATATCCCTTTTCGTGGGAACCAGAACATAAAAAAAATATCTACAATAAAATATGGTGTAACGGATTAACTTGAAAGGGTTGATAGCAAATACATATCATCACCTAGTAAGAAAACAAATTCAACATTGGTGATCTATTGAGGTCTAGTTGATCTTTAAGTAAAATGTAATTTTTTTTAGTTTGTTGATTTCTAATGATTCAAAATGATACAGTTCTATTCCTTTATTTTCTACGTGTAGAGTTTCGAAATTATCATCTTTTTTTTTTCAGAGAATAATGGATCAGGCTGAACAAATTGCTCAAGCTCAGAAAGAAACTGATATAGACTTCAATTTCCCCTTCTACAATGCCAAAAATCTGACTAATTCTTTAGACAATACCACCGAAGAAACAACTAAGGTAAAACAATCATAATTTTCTTCAAAATAGTTATTTATGTATCCAGCGCGTAAAATAGACTTTTATGGACCGTAGCCTGTAAGTAAGATTAACACGTCAAGGTCAATATAAAAGCAAGTTACGCCCGGAATACATACAATATTTTTTCCACCACTAGCTGTAAAACCTAGAATTATTTACTCCTTGTTTAATACAAAGTGATTTTTCGTCATTTTATGAACTTCTATTCGATAAAGACAAGGCCACCAAGCCATCAATGTTTATAATTAACCCGAATTCATTGTTCTGATGAGATATTCGCAGGAATGGCACTCGAAACTAGTAGGTATTCATCAATAACGACATGTCATTAATGCTGTCATGGTCATGGCTAATTGATTTTGATTAGAATTGAAGAGAAGTGCTTTCATAGTGACAACTTAATTCATGTATAACAAATCCTATAACTGTGATTTTGTCAATAGGAGAGGAAAAAAATATTGCCCTAAGTTTTTCAGCGTCAAAACGGAACCAAACTTTTGAAATCATGACAACCATAATTATTATGAACGAATCTTTCGTGACTTTCATGTCAATTTTTCTACATCTTGCAGAGTATCTGATATGTGGAAATGTCGCGATTTTGAGAGAGTAGAAATTGAAAAATTCCCAATAATGTGATTTACGCATTCATAAATTTTTTTTTACCATATTATATACAAGCATTTTTTTGGGTCGAAGTATGAACTTAACGTTTCTGATTCGAGTTTTGTTGCTTCTAGAAAATAATGCTCAAAAAACTACCAGAAAAATTTCTCGTCGTATTTGTTTAATTTCCAGGCAACAAAATTCTAATTGAAATGTCAAATTTTCTTCGACAAAAAAGCTCTCGTGTAATTATAAGTGACAATAGGTATACAGTGTCATTCATAAAGTCGGCATCATATGGGAAAAACTTTTATTAATGACTTATTTTGGAATTCGAGTTGGACGTCAAGTTTTGCTTCAAAAAAGACTAAAAACGGCCTACTCAATCGGGGTCACGTGACTTTCGCTACATGTCAAAAGTGACATTTTCTCAAATTAATCGCTGAAAGTAGGCTTATTTGTTCGAATATCGAAAAAGTTTACTTGAAAAAGTTGTTTCTATTTCAATTTTACACATGCTTCTCGAATTTGATCTTTCTATTCCAACTTTTAGATCCTGATTTTTTTTAAATGTTTCGAAATTTCTGTAATATTTGAAGAATTGTTAATTCCACGAAACTACTTCATACCAGTAGCTTTGTCATGCTAGTTACTTTCAATGACTTATTATCACTGATTATGGACAAAAATATGATTTTCTTCAGAAAAATGATAATCTCCGCTTCCAAATTCTGTTATGTTTGATGCAAAGTTGATCGTCAAGCTTTTAGAAACAAAATTCATTCAAACTGATCTTTTCAGTACTGGAAAAATGAATTTAAATAAATTTCGTTTCTTAATGTTTGACTCAAAAATAACAGAATTTTGATGTTATTTTTGCATCAAACATAACAGAATTTTGAAGCGGAGATCATCATTTTCTGAAGAAAATCATATTTTTGTCGATAATTAGTGATAATTAGTAATTGAAAGTAAGTAGCATGATGAAGCTACTGGTATCAAGTAGTTTTATCGAATTTACAATTTTTTTAATATTACAGTTTCAAAAATTTTAAAAAAATATCGAAATCTAAAAAATGTAATAGGAAGATGAAATCCGAGTCACATATGAAGAATTTAAATAGAAACAACTTTTTCGAGTGAACTTTTTCGATATTCGAACAAATAAGCCTACTTTCAGCGATTAATTTGAAAAAATATCACTTTTGACATGTAGCGAAAGTCGAAAGTCACGTGACCCCGATTGAGTAGGCCATTTTTCATCTTGTTTGAAGCAAAACTTAACGTCCAACTCGAATTTCAAAATAAGTCATTAATAAAAGTTTTTCCCATATGATGCCGACTTTATGAATGACACTGTATATCTCAGTTTCAGAGAACTATATTAATTGAAATAAATTGCTAGTGGTGAAAAAAATGCAATATGCACCTCAGTTAAAATAGTTATTTGGGTATCAAGTGCCTATATTAAGTGGCTTTTATGGATCACAGCGTGTAAGTAAGAAACGCCTGGGTCCATAAAGGCAAGTTATACGCCCGAAATGCATATTAAAAGGGAGATATAGCCTTTCAAAGGTGATAAAATTGGAATAATTTTTCGCAGAACTTCTAAACGGTGAAAGCCATCAGATTGGAATTATCTGCATAAATGTATGTTGTTGAAAAACGGTTTTCTGATACCCTTCTACATTCACGATATCGTTATACAGGGTGTTTTCAAAGGGCGAGTCATGATTTTTTGGAGACAACTTCTTCTCTTGTACTGGTTTCGGTGAAAAAATTAGAGCATTTGATGAAGCGAAGACAATTACACAAAAAATCTACTCTTATCAAAATACAAAAAGTTCAACCGTTTTCGAGATATTTATGTTTTTAGAGTTACATGATACCAGCAGTTTAACTCATCGGTAACAATATTTTAGGAGGCCATGACCAATTTTGTTCATAATTTTGACATTTATGACATCATTGGTTATATTAGTGCGATTTTCAACTGGGTTTTTAAGGAATGGCACGTTATTATGAAGAGATGTTACCCGCACGACACGTTCCAAATTCTAGAACAATTTCGAGGATTTTGTAAAGATCGCGTGAAAAAGGAATATTTCAAAACGAAAAATAGAGCTGGTGGCCAACCAAGACGTTTGAGGCCTTCTATCTTATCTGCACATATCATGTCACTACAAAAACTCAAATATCTCTAGAACGGTTACCTTCTTTGTATTTTGATAAGAGTGCCATTTTCATGTAATTTTCTTCGCATTATCCGATGGTTCTGTTTTTTTACCAAAATTAATACAAGGAAATAATTGTCTCCAAAACATCATGACCCACTCTCCAAAAACATCCTTTATAAAAATATAAGAAATGTGAAAGTGTGACGCACCATCTACAAACCCCCTTTATAAAAATATAAGAAATGTGAAAGTGTATCATACAAATGTATCTCATCAACATATAGGAAATTTTAATCTGGTGGCTTTTATCGTTTAGAAGTAATTTTAATTTGATAAACTTTGTAAGTATATATATCTCCCTTAATATACATACATTTTGGGCCATTAGTTCATACATCAAATCATACTTATTTTTCGAAGTACTTTCAGTTTCAGAAAGCTTGGTACACATTTTTGGTCGGTTTTCTTTCGAAGAGTGCTCGTTTAAAAAAATTGTACCAGCGTATGTACATTTCAACTTCGTTTTTTAGGATCCAGAAGTTGAACCCAGAGAATTGCAGGACGACTCTTTCATATCTTCCAACCGATATCCTGAGCAGCCCTATCGACAAGAAAATTTCGAGGCATACCAACAAGACGAATCTGATTCGTCAGAAGACCCTTCGTCTAGTGATGCAGACGACATGCTCGATCCAGATTTAGAGGTGAGACTAGCAAATTTTTACTGAACTTGCAATTTTTATTACCTATCAGCGCTTTTATGGCTGAATTCCTTAAAATTTTGAACATCCGGGAATTTTTCATTATTGACTCCCTAAAAAAATAGTTACCTACGCTCCTGGAGTCAAGATTTCGTTCAAAAATTAATCGAAATGAATGAAACTTTATCATGACAACCTTTCCTTTCCTACAAGTATATAGGCGTTTTCGAATTTGAAATCCGACGTTTCGTCTTCCAGAAACCATCATCAACATGTTATTTTTCTAATATGGACCTGGTTTTTATATTTAAATTTTTCACACCTTTGGATATCCCATAAGCTTAGGAAGATAATACAGGGTGTTCCATTTAAAAAATAAAAGTTTGTGAACATTTCAGGTTTACGATGCTTTTTTATTTTATAGTAATAGATTATGAATGCCTAGAAAATATACTTCGTTTTTGCTCTTTCGAACGTTTCTGTGAGACCGATATCAACTTAGAAAGCTATCGAGTGAAATTTAAACAATCATCAACGACAAATATACCTAGAATAATCCAAATGTGTCTTCTTTTTTGAATTTCATTTATTTATTTTCGACTGAAAATATTGAGTCGACATAATTATCACGTAGAAGACATTCAGAAATTCCAATTTTTGAATAGTGTCGAATGGTCTCCAAGAAAGTTGACAATTTCAATGAAGTCAAGGTATAAAAAAATTTTGACATTTCAATTTTTCCGAGTCCCTTCGATTTCCTTTTTTTTTATAATTGCCCTTCTCAGACAAAAAATGACACACTGTTATTCATTATTTTGTTTAGGGCTCAGAAGATGGAGAAAAGGATCCTCAGGCAATTTTGAAACCACCAATAGATAAGTCAAGTTTGCCACTGATAAGGAACAAGCATTTTTATGACATCCCTGTAAACATGAACCACAGCGCAGTCCACGTACCAAGTAATGTCTACGAAAGATGTAAGTACATATGTATAATTTCACAATATTTTGACGATTGTAAAGAAAATGAGCTAGTCTGTAAAATCATTGGTTTCATTTTCACTTTTCCAGCAAAAGAAGTCATATCTGGAATCAAATGGTCTGAAGAACTGGATAAGACTTTCCGCTCGAATTATCAAAACGATCCTACTTTGTCCTGGCAATATTTTGGGAGCTCTACTGGATTTATGAGGCAATACCCAGGTAAATAACTAAACAAATATATATTCAAGATTGAACAACAAATAATATGAAATAATATGTGAAGAGCCAACAGAAGCCATGTAAAGAGTCAATAGAAGTCATTTAAAAGCATGTTTCCTTTTCAGAGTCAATAAAAGCCATGTAAAGGGTCAATAGAAGCAGTGTGAAGTGTAAAAAAGTCGATAGAAGCACGTAGAGACAGGTCTTGATATGCTTCCTATTTCATTTCATTTCCAAAAACTTGTAAAGAATCAATTAAACCCTTGCAGACAATAGAATCTATGTAAAGGGACAATAGAAGCCATGTCATGACATTTTTCTTCCTTGACGTTTAGTTCAATATTTGTCGAAATAATAATACAGAATCCTGTGAAAAATCAGAAGAATCCATGTAAAGAGTCAATAAAAGCCATGTAAACAATCAAAGCCACATGAATGGTCAATACAAGACCTGTAAACATTCAATAGAATCTGTTAAAGAGTCAATAAGACATGTAAAAGATTAATCGAAGTCATGTCTTGATGTTGATCGTTCTCAACCGGCTTTCTTCATGTCTAAACAATCATAAAAAAACCTGTGAGGAATCCATGCCGTCAATAGAAATAATGTGAAGGGACAATAGAACCATGTAAAGGGACAATAAAAAGCCATGTTGAGGCACAGTTTCCTTCCTAGGTGTTTAGTCAAAATAATTATATAGAATCATGTGAGTAATCAATAAAATCCATGAAGAGTCAATGAAGGCCATGTAGAACGTCAATTGAAGCCATGTGAATGGTCAATACAAACCGTGTAAAGATGCAATGGAATCAATGTAAAGAGTCAATATACAAGGCATGTAAATGGTCGATAGAGAAGTCATTTGAGGGACAATGAAAACCATGTAAAAGATACATGTCTAATTATGAATCGTTTAATTTTTGATTGTCACTATATCTTGTGGAGATATAGACCATTCACTGGTCAATGAAATTGATGTAAAGCTCGTTTAATTTTTGATTGTCACTATCTTGTGAAGATATGTACCATTTTAAGGGTTAATGAAAACCATGTAAAGATACATGTCTTATTACGAATCGTTCAATTTTTGATTTCCACTACCTTTTTCTTAGCTATGATCTGGTCCCAAGAACCCATCGACCTGTTCGACTGCCGCACCAGATCCTGGTACATCGAGGCGGGTTCGTCTCCCAAAGATGTCGTCATCCTGGTGGACAAATCGGGCTCGATGACGGGCATGCGCAGAGAGATAGCCCGTCACGTGGTGCACAACATTTTGGATACGCTAGGCAACAACGATTACGTCAATATTTACACGTTCAGCAATACGACGGACCCGTTGGTGGATTGTTTCGATAATCAGCTGGTTCAGGTGAGAATTTTCACACATACTGGGTGGCAATTTGGAAAGGAGGAGCACTCGATATTTCTTTAACTCATGACACTATGAACATTTAGCGAAACACGTCAATTTATACAGGGTGAGTCATGACTATCCAGCAATAGCCTAATGGCGGATAGAGGAAGTCAAGATGAGTTGATATATATGTGAAAAAATATATTCTGCCTATTCCTGATAGAAATACAAGGCATTATTTGAATTCGGGGCGAAACTTTGATGAACGATATTTTAGAAAGGTGTCGATCTTTTCGCCTGAAATTCACCAGCAATTTACCTCTACTGACACACCACACGATGGCCTATTATGGTGAATTTAAGGCGATAACATCGAGACGTCCCTGAAATATCGTTCATCAAAGGTTCGCCCCGAATTCAAATAATACCCTGTATTTCTGTTACGAATAGGCAAAATTTACAACTTATGAGATATTTTCTATCGTTTTTTCCAAATTGCATTCCTCCCAAGGTATGCGAGTCAATGTTTTTCTGTCATCTTTACCTATTTCTCTGTGAATAAATCAAGTTGAAGAATTGTTTGGTTTGAAAATTTGATTTTTTGAGGTATTTTCAATCGGTTTTTCCATATTACTCCTCTCCCGAGGCATGTAAGTCAATGTTTATACAGCCATTATTTTTCTCCCATCTCAACTGATTTTTCTGTGGGAAAATCAAATTAAGGTATTGACTGGTATATGGAGATTCGATTTTCAGAAGTACTTTCAATCGTTTTTTTCCCAATTACTCCTCTTTCGTGGTATGTAACTCAATATTTATACAGCCATTCTTTTTCACCCATCTGAACTAATTTTTCACCGTGAAAAACGAGGTGAATAACTGATTGATTTGAAAATTTAATTTTTTGAAGTTTTTCAATTTATTTTCAAATCGATCCCCTCCCGAGGTAAGTCAATGTTTATACAGCCAATATTCTTCTCTTATCTTAACTTATTTTCCTGTGGGAAAATCAAGGTGAAGAATCAATTGGTTTGAAAACCACCAAACCAAACATATCAAAGAAGAAAACGATGCTACCTCTTTAATCTGGTGATTTAAAAAATTCGATCAGCTCAATTATAAACCCAAAAGGAGTAAAATGTTTTTCATGAATTTCATAAAAGGAATTAATGTTGATGAGGACAAAGTTTTTTTCAAAATTTCGCGTCAGTTAATCATTTTATATATTTTTTTCATGGTTCTCAACTAATAACACAGGAAAATTCAATAAGCATATTGAAATTGTGCGATTTCTAGCTTTGGGTTCCAAGAAGATGCAAAAACGAGCAGTGCGTGTCATAACAAAATCAAATGGGCTTATATCACAAAAAATTTTAATTTCATAATTCGATAGAACTCACCCAAACTAGCTCACCACCGCAAACAGTTTCTTACTGTGAGCTCCCTACGTTTTATAAAAAAATATTGAAATCCCCGATTTTTCGGACCTCTGAAAACGAGGCGATGATATGACGTCAAAACCCTAATACTGAAACAAGACTATTCCAGACATAGATGAATGATACATGATTTCTGACAGAGTGAATTAGCGCGAGATCACAATTGAAAGAATTAATATATCAGTTGCCTCAGTCTCCGTCGGGTCGTTTGGTATTTTCTTTTAACTATGGCGAAATGAGGTTTCTACGTCATAAGAGGGTCCGTTTTCAGAAGGTACTATTATTTATGTCAAAAAATAAAACATTCCAGTTAATTTTTTGATCGAATTATGTTGTCAATCATTATTTATGTATAAAAGGATCATTATAAACATATGGCTTGAGTCAAAAGTTCTACAAAGGTGTACACGCCCATTACTCATAGAGAACCTTGCAGAGCTTTGTTCAAGGAGCTTCGTATTTTAACATCTACAAATGAATATATTTTGGAAGCTTTAAAATATGCAAAAAAAAACAGAGACAAGGCAGGTATGAAACAAGACATAGACCCTATCAACTGCGACTTTTCAGACTTAATGAAAACTTCAAATCCTACAAATACCACCCCAATAAACTTAGCAGAACCACTTCTACATTTCAGATTTACAATAGTACTATAATTTGTTACTAATTTAGTACTAATTTATTATCATATTCGCTAATTTATTACTCTTCATTAAACAGAAAAAACCAACGGCTCTGCTAGCTTTATGTCAACCTAGCAGAACCATAGTTGAAAATGTTATATTTTGAAAATTTTAAATATACCATAATTTATAACTATTTTATTACTAACTTATGACTATAATCACGAATTTTTTACTCATCATTTCAAGGAAAAAAGCGTCGATTTGACTATCTCGATCTCAACCTAGCAGAACCAAAACTCAAATCACATGTTTTTTTGAATTCTGTTGTATCATCGATAAGTTACTAATTTATTACTAGTTTATTACTAATTTATTACCACATTCGCAAATTTCTAACACTTCATTCAACAGGGAAAACCAACGGCTCTGCTATCTTTATGTCATCCTAGCAGAACCATAGCAAAGAATTTACTATTTCGATCGAAAACTCTAGATACACCATTACTAACTTATGACTATATTCCCAAATCTTTACTAATCATTTCTAGAAAAAAACGTTTATTTGACTATATCGATCTCAACCTAGCAGAACCAAAACTCAAATCACATGTTTTTTGAAATTCTATTGAATTATCAATTGGCTGTTAATTTATTACCAAATTCGTGATTATGTTAATAAGTTATAGTAATAAAATAGTAATAAATTATGGTATATTTGAAGTTTTCAAAATATTATTGTTTAGCTATGGCTCAGCTAGGTTGACAGAAAGCTAGAAGAGCCGTCGGGTTTCCTTGTTGAATGAAGTGTTAGAAATTTGCGAATGTGGTAATAAATTAGTAATTAATTAGTAACTTATATCGATATTACAACAGAATTTCAAAAAACATGTGATTTGAGTTTTGGTTCTGCTAGGTTGAGATCGAGATAGACAAATCGTCGTTTTTTTTCCTTGAAATGACGAGTAAAAAATTCGTGATGATAGTTATAAGTTAGTAATTAAATAGTTATAAATTATGGTATATTAAAAAATTTCAGAATATTAAATTTTCAGCTATGGTTCTGCTAGGTTGACATAAAGCTAGCAGAGCCGTTGGTTTTTTCTGTTTAATGAAGAGTAATAAATTTGCGAATATGATAATAAATTAGTAATAAATTAGTAACAAATTATAGTACTATTGCAAACCCGAAATATAGGAGTGGTTCTGCTAAGTTTATTGGGGTGTGGTCCCTTGAACGTTTTAACATTCTTCCAAAAGAATGGAGGGAACTAAACTTGATAAAGTTTGTGAATCAGTGAGAGAAGAAAGAAAATAACGTGTTTTACAACATCAAGGAATTTCATCAACATTTCAATGTATTCTTTTAGAATATCATTAATATTATTATGTCTTGTGTATGTGAATGTTTTGAAATATGTGATTTTTAATATTTCACTTTCATTTTTCATTGATACATGTATGGTTCATTTTATTGTATATTGCCTGACGAATGTATATAATAATAATATATATTACCTCGAATTATCAAATGGTGTACATACATATATTCACAAACATATCTTCATAGGTATATTATAGATGTAGGCAGAAATTCCGGTAAGTATATAAGTAATCCACAAAGGGATGAATCCCTGTGCGTGGATGAATCAAGCCTTAGAGCTATTAAACCATTGAAATTAATCCTAATATAATCATATAATAATGTAATGAAGAGAATTAATCTTGAATAAGCATTACCGTTTATTTTTTGTTTTTGAAATTATTTTTTGTCCTTTCAGAACCACAAGATAAAGTATTCAGAAATAATAAGAATTTTTTCTGTCAATCATTTTATGAATTTCCATTCTGGATTTGCTTTGAAGTAATACTTTGATTTTTTTTTTGAACATGTTGAGACTGTGAATTGTGTTATTTCAGGAGGAAGTTCAGCACACAAAATAGGACTAAGATAAACATAGCATCTTTGCATCAAGGTTGTGTCAGCTTTTGGTATTACAGTATATTTAGCTTTGTATCTGGTATCATATTTATGCTCTATTTCCTTAAATGTTGTTTTATTTTTGTAATGATGCAACATTATGCATTGAAAAAATAATTGACGTGGATCAAGCACTTTGCTTTCCCTGTACAGCGCATCAGTTGGATGAGTGTAGTTTTTATTGTATATTATTTTTAAAATCCATTTCTGCGATATTTCCAACCTTTTTAGATAATTGTTAGTCACTCCTCCCCAGACTAATATTCCATATCTAATATGGGGTTCAACTAGCGCGTTGTACCTACAGGATATGCAGTTGATTAACATCAAAAATATATTTCAAAAACTTGAATGAGGGTATAAGAGACCTGATTTTTGTCACCACATTTTCAATGTGATGATTCCATTTCAATTTATTGTCGATAATTACAGCATATAAATGTTCTTTTATCACACAGAATAAACTACTACTACTACTAATACTTTTTTTTTCAGGCTAACTTGGCGAACGTGAGAGTTTTTAAAGAAAGCATGAGCGACTTCAAAACCGAGCAGATAGCAAACTTTTCATTGGCCCTTATAACAGCATTCGATCTGCTGGAGCAGTACAGAGAGTCGAAAAAGGGCGCTGCGTGTAACCAAGCGATAATGCTGATCACCGATGGGGTCCAATACAATTATAAGGAGATTTTCGAGAAATACAATTGGCAAAATTTGCCCTACATGAACGTCAGAGTTTTCACATATCTGATAGGCAGAGAAGTCTCAGATGTGAGAGAAGTGAAATGGATGGCATGTGCCAATCAGGGTGAGTTTTCTACATAAAATAAGAGAGTCACCCTTTATCTTCCCCATTCATTTTTCTTAGCACGCACTTCTCTATAAGAAATACTCGAATGGCCACCTCGTTCTGAATCTCATTTTTTGTCCTTCACTTTCCATATTATCAGCTCAGTTCACCCGACTCATTACCTATCGACATCTCTCGTTTTGCAATCTCAATATTTTGCCCTCCTTCACTTTCTGCATTTATCCGTAAGAAATTTCTCCATGGCCACCTCGATCACCCGATTTGTCACCAACTTTTTGCACTTCCTCGTAAAAAATATCCGAATGACCACCTAGTTCACCCGATTCATCATCCATCGAACTATTTACCATCATCATCTGAGCAGGTACGCGGAGGTACGCGAAGAAATGCTGCACTACATACCGCTGTCCAATTCGTTCACCCGATTCGACACCCATCGACTATTTGTCTTCCACAATCTCAACATTCATTCTGCCACATTTTTTGTTTGGAAAATATTCAGATGGCCACCACGTTCTCCCGATTCGTCACCTATCGACTTTTGTTGTTTCGCAATCTCATCATTCACCCTTCTACACTTTTTCTAAATATAATATCAGGGTGGCCACCTTGATTTCTCGGTTCCTCACCCTTCAACTTCTTTCCCTTCCACAATCTCAATGTTTATACTCTATTACTTTTTCTTTGGAAAATTTTCGGATGGCCATTACGTTCACCGGATTCGTCACCCATTGACTTTTTTTTCTAGCAGGCTACTATGGCCTCCTGAGCACGTACGCAGATATGACCACCTCGTTCACCCGATTCGTCATCTAACGACATGTTTCGTTTAACACTCTGATCATTCACACTGCTACACTTTTACTATACGAAATATTGAGATGGCCACCTCGATCACCCGATTTCTCACCCATAGACTTTTCACGTTTCGCAATGCCAATATTTGCCCGCCGTCCCTTTTTACACTCCTCCGTAGGAAATATTCAAATGGCCACCTCGTCCACCCGATTCGTCACCCATCGACCTTTCTTCTTTCAGGCTACTACGTCCACCTGAGCACGTACGCGGAGATATACGAAGAGGTCCTCCACTGCATACATTATTCTTTGTCCACTTTTCACAGTACGAGTTCATCAAGAAATATTCAGATGGCCACCTGATTCACCCGATTCGTCACCTATCGCCTTTTTTCTTTCGCAATCTCGCCATCTACCAATCCACACTTTTTCTCTACAAAATATATTCAGATGGCCACCTATATCACCCGATTCGTCACCCATCGACCTTTTTTGTTTCGAAATATCAACATTTACCCTCCCACACTTTTCATCGGACAAAAATCATATAGCCACCTAGTTCACCCGATTCGTCACCCATCGACCTCTTTCCCCTGCAGGCTACTACGTCCACCTGAGCACGTACGCCGAGGTACGCGAAGAAGTCCTCCACTACATACCGGTGATGGCGCGTCCCATGGTTCTGCACTCGGACCGCAAACCGAATCCGACGTGGAGTCCCGTGTACGCTGACGTCACCGATCCGAAGCTGACCAATTGGCTGTGGGTGAACAGAGAGAGGAACAGACAGAGGGAGAGGTTCATGGGATATAGGAAGCTGAAGAACATGCTGAGCGGGGATATGGTCGATAGGACTTTCGTACATCAACAGAAAGTGGTAAGTGATTGTTCCTTACAGTGCTCGCAGTCTGGTGACTCAATTGATTCGTTTCTGATTCCAATATTCAATAATTTCTTCGTCCATTTGTTCTATTATTTCTTCAGTCCATAATTTCTTCGTTACATGATTTCTTCGTTACGTGATTTCTTCGTTACATGATTTCTTCGTTACATCATTTCTTCGTTCCGTGATTTCTTCGTTACGTGATTTCTTCATTCCATGATATCTTTGTTCCATTAGTCCATTGTTCTATATAATTTATTCACTTCATGATTTCCTTGATCATTTCTTTGTTCCATATTTTTTTCATTCTGTAATTTGTACTTCAATTATATTTTGTTGTTAATGATTTCTTATTTGTTCAATAATTCCATTATTCAATCATTGTTCTTTACAATGCTCGCACCACTGTCTTAACACAATTGATTTGAATTATTTATTCTTCATTGCATGATTTCTTCTCTGCATGATTTAGTTATTCGAGGAAATTATACCTCGTTAAATGATGTCTTTATTCCATTATTTCTCCGTTCAATTATTTCTTCGTAGTATGGTTTCTTAGTTCCACAATTATTCAGTTTGTTCTGTTCGAGGTGATTTCTTCGCATTATGATTCCTCATTTTTATGGTTATATATTTCGTTCTATTGATACTTCCTTTTCATGATGTCTTTGTTCCATAATTCTTTTACTCTGTGATTTGTACTCTTTGAATATTTTGTTCCAGATGATTGATTCGCCTCATGAGTTCTTCATTATGTTTAATTTTTTACATGAATCTGATATTCTTTGATTTTCTTCTTCTATGATTGATTTGTTGAATAATTAATGTTTTTTTCGCTGATTCATTGTTTCTTTAGTTCCGCTATTCAATGATTAGTTTGTTACATGATTCCATTGATTCTTTCGTTTCTCATACTTAATTTTATGATTTCTTCATTTCATTTCTTTTTTTATAGGTATTCGATGATCTATATTTCTTTCTACAATGACTAATTTTTTTCTATAATTCATGCTTTCTTCGTACCATGATTGATTCATTCGTTCCAAAATTTCTATCTTTTCAATCTATCTATCATGGCTATGTTCCATGATCTTTCCATTTGATGGTATCTTCGGTCTATGATTCCTTCATTTTATTATCACTTTGTTTCATGATTCCGTTTATCAATGATTTCTTCGATCCGTAACTACAATTTTGTTCTATAAATAAATTTGTAATTTCGTATCTCTAATAGTTATTTATGTATCAAGGGAATTATGAGGGCCTTAATTACCGATGGCAAAGTTTGCGTCCCGAGGGCCTCTGGCCCGAGGGACAGCAATTGCCTGAGGTTATTGAGGCTCAGTAATTCCCGTGATACATAGATAATTTTATTTCTGACTGATTTCATTCATCAGATACCTTCACGATTGGAAGTTAGACATGTTTTTCCGTATAGTTTCAATGTCATCAGAACGTCAGATGATGATCTTGACTACCGCGAATAGGAGATCCCTTATTGCTACGTTATTGCGTGGTTCTTGCTATGCATTTCTTATTTAATGTTAGTTAGAGGGAATTATAGCATCTATAACATCCCAAGGGAGTTATGACCCTCATAATAGATATCGTAACTATGACGATATGAGCTTATAATGTCACTGTCAGAAATAAAATAATTATATTTTGTCCACAGAAACAAGACAACTACGGAGATACCCAAGTATATCATCTGATGACTTCAGTCTCTCTACCAGTATACGATAAAAGGCCATATCAGGTGAGACTGACTTTTACAATACAAACACACGTCAAATCATGAAGTGTAAAGTATCTAAACTATATTATTGCTCATCTCATCGATGATTATGTCTGCAGAATATAACCGAAACTATTCAAGTCAACGAGGCCATTTGGATCGAGGTTACGCGCGAGGTACATGTTTTTAGACCAGCGATTTGTACCATTTAGATCAAAGATTTGTATCTTTTAGATCAGCGTTCTAGACAGTAAAATGAGAATAGACAGACAGTGGAGCATCCACTATGAGTTAGACCCTTTAGACCAGTTATATATTTTAGGTTAGATATTTGATTAGCGACTGATACAAAGAGCGGTCATGTTATTTATTGTGAATAGTCCAGTCCAGAAGATTTTCAAATTCAATAACAGCTTGATGACAGTTCTAGGCCAGCGATATGTGTTTTATGGTGTTTTGTGGTAGTTCATACGAATATTTGATTAGCGCTAGATTTAGTTGCTAGAATTTTAGACTAGTTTAGGTTATACCAAGATCAGATAACATTCCAATTAAGGGATGCAGGGCGTTTTTATCCTTGTCCTCAGTGGAATTTCTCTAGCTTCCTATAAAGCTTAAGACATCATTTGAAAAATATTGTCAACTATTCCTGAGTATACCATTACACATAATCCGAACAGAAGTCTAGATGAATCCCATTGAGAGTTCGGGCACCACCCTGTATACGGAAATATTTTCAAGCGACTGAATTTGCTTTCAGGAAAGAGTTGCTAATTTGCTAGGAGTTGCTGGCACCGATATACCTATCGAACATATCCAGAGACTCATGTTGCCACACAGGGTGAGTCGAAAATATTTTCTAAATTCGCAGGAGTGTAACTTTTTCTCGATTTTCAGTTAGGGGTGAATGGTTACGCCTTCATAGTAACCAATAATGGTTATATTTTAACGCATCCTGATTTGCGACCAGTGGTAAGTACCTGCTATTTAGATAGAACGATAAGGAAAATTAATGCGAAAAGTTACAACATACAAAGATACGACATACGACATGCGACAGATGACATGATAAGGCACAGAGTAAGTTATGGATTTAGAAAATATTGTTTTTGTTATTTTCAGTATCAAGGTATTCTAAAACCTGCCTACAACAGGGTGGATGTTGTTGAAGTAGAAATTCTTGATGACGACACAGAATCTCGAAATTTCAGTGACGAAATCAGAGAATTCAGAAGGCAATTGGTCATGCAAATCAACGGGAGCGCTACTCTGAAAGTGAAAAGTCACCTTGATGATATGGTGAGTGTTTTCTATTCTTCGAGTTTGAAGACTGTTTTTTTCATTAACAGTTTATTTCTCACTTTTTCAGAGACGCATCATGGTGCTGAACAGGAACTACTATTACAGGGGCATCAACGGTACCCCCTTCAGTATAGTGATTGCGCTCCCGAAGAAATACGGGTTTACACGAGTCGAGCCGAAGGTTGAGAACGATGTACACCGACTCACCTTGTCCAGCGACAAGAAACCTCTCGTGCGGTATTTCACAGGGAATTGGACCATTCACCCCGATTGGTGAGAGGCCGATACACTCTACAGGGTGATCCTAGTACATAGATATATGACAGATTTTTCAAAATCAAGCACTTGCTGGGAGATATTATTAAACAAAAAAAATGCTTCTGTTCTCAGCTTCAAGAATTAACAGCTTCATGACTTCATGACATCTTATTACCAGTATTTAATCAAAGCAAGTTATACACGTTTAAGCATATGTGTGGAAACACCTGATTTCTGACAGAACCAGATTGTTTTTTCTATTTACACAGTGGCCAAAGTTGATTTTTGTTAGCTATCATATTGTTATGAATATGGCGGAGTCAGCAGTTTTATTCAAACGGATCACCCTGTATATTGCAATTTTATATTTTCCCTGGAGAGCTGATTTTATCACACTTGAGGTCTCGCGGGGATGATTAAAGATATAAAGTGTCATTCATAAAGTTGACATCATATCGGAAAAACTTGTTATAACAATTTATTTTGAAATTCGAATTTTGTGTTGTTTTGCTTGAAAAAAATGAGATATCGCCTAGTCTACTATTGTCAAATTACAGGGTGATTCAAGATTCAGAATTTCGATCACCTTGTTTCTGTGAATCAAAAGGTGTGACAGGGATATGTGAGCCGTTTTGACCAATAATTAATAGTTTCGACACAAAAAAATCCTAAGGTTGAAAAATCTCTATTTTGAACACCCTATTTCTCTGCTATTCCCGCTAGAACCTATGTGGGGTACATTGATGAAATCAGCTCTCCAGGAAGAATCTAAATATGCAGTAAAATACAGGGTGATCTATTCAAAAAAACTGCTGACATTTACAACAATAAGATAGCTACCAAAAATCAACATTGGCCACTGTCTTGAACCGAAAAAATATAAAAGTCTTGATAGAAGAAAAATTACTTCTGGTTTAGTCACAAATAAGGTGTTTCCATATATATGCGCATCCCTGTATTTTATATCGTTATATTTTGAAGTCAAAATTCTATGTATACTACACGTAAAATTAGTCGAGGGCTACCCTGTATGAGCATTAATGCAAATTCAATATTTATTCATTCAGAATTCATCACGTAGGCCGTTCATCGAAAGTTTGCGTCCTCTCAAAAAGAAAATTCTGATATTCTTCCTATTGTCTTGAAACATTTAGTGCATATATCTGTATAGCGATTGTTTTCACGAAATTAGCACTACTCTCAATATATAATATATACAGGGTGATATTGAGCTGATAGATCGAATTAATGAAAATTTCCAATTATTTTCAGGCATTACTGCCGATATTTAGATAATCGAAGAAATTTCGATACCCCTGAAGAGGAATTGATATATTTCCTTCAGAAAATGGAAAAATCCGGATGGAAATGGTCTAAAGAATGTAAGCTCTCAACCCAGGATCAATCCATAAGTTTCTCGAATCAAATTTTCATTTATAGGTGACAGAAAATTAATTTGCCAAATAGTCTCCGATGCCAAACTGACTGACTGGTTCAACGAAAATATCACTACCTCCACCAAAGAGGAGAACGGGTGAGTGTTCAATAAGGAACCGGAACTTAACATGAAATAATTGGAATCAACATAGATTAATTTTCTGTATTTTTATCACTAAGACCCATGTCTATATTGATGTCATTGATCCCAAGGTATAGTATCAAAAATAATAATTCATATACATACACACACCTATTACGACATAGAACCTAGGACATTCGATTTATGACATAATAAATAAACGTAATGAACATACTTATTGCATGCAACATACTACAAACAACATAAGACATACGACAAGAAACATAAAACAAACGTAAATCATGAACGAATACTTCCTGTGCATTTTCATTTGTCCTCATGGATTTCAGAGATGTGCCGAGGTATGGTATTGTTTTTTTTCTAGGTAACGAAGAAATACACTAATAAATGAACAAATAATAGTTATTTATGTATTAAGGGAATTATGAGGGCCTTAATTACCGATGGCAAAGTTTGCGTCCCGAGGGCCTCTGGCCCGAGGGACAGCAATTGCCTGAGGTTATTGAGGCTCAGTAATTCCCGTGATACATAGATAATTTTATTTCTGACTGATTTCATTCATTAAATACCTTCCCGATTGGAAGTTAGACATGTTTTTCCGTATAGTTTCAATGTCATCAGAACGTCAGATGATGATCTTGACTACCGCGAATAGGAGATTCCTTATTGCTACGTTATTGCGTGGTTGTTGCTATGCATTTCTTATTTAATTTTAGCTAGAGGGAATTATAGCATCTACAACATCCCAAGGGAGTTATGACCCTCCTAATTGATAGTGTAACTATGACGATATAAGCTTATAATGTCACTGTCAGAAATAATAGTATATTACACACCGAGGTGGGAAGTGATTCATTCCTGTCGTGAGATTAGTTAGTTAACCGAGACGCAAAGCGTTTGTATACTATTTTATTAACAACCATCATATTTCGATCAAAATTAATAACTCTATGTTTCGTTCTGAACATACCTGAATTATTACATGAATGAGGGCGGGAAGTGGGGGCGGGAAGTAGTGAGGGGCGGGAAGTGAGGTCGGGAAGTAGAGGTGTGTAATGTGACACTTCCCAACCTTCAATGACGTTAGTAATGATGACATTACATATATGGTTGTGAATAAACAAATAAACAAACGACTCGTTAGCTGGGCACGCTCCTGAAAATTCTGGTTCAAATCTAATTGGTCATATGTCTTTTTAGTTTTAACTTGAAGCGGTTATAATTGAAAATCGTGAACTCTTGAGGCAGGAAATTATAGATTCCAATATTCAATGAATAATTCATTCGGGATTCGATGAGCCTATATCGGGGAGGCCTCAAGTCATTTGCTTCAGATCAGTTCAAATCGCGGCACGTTTGAATATTAGCAAAGGGGCAATTTTTCCCTTATTTTTGCTTTTTGTTTCAACTCGTTATTGAGCTTCCCCCGTATGCAGTCAACGTAGACTGGACAATGGCTATCATGTAAGAAGGCGCATATCTTATTGGTTACTTCTAATTATACTAAATGCTGATTGGTCAGAGTTTTTTACGAGGCCTTCCGTGTGTTCAGAGTTTTCCAGGCGATGTGGAACGGTAATGCGTTGGAACAAGATATTACGAATTACTACTTATATTTGAAACTTAGAAAAGTTATTTATGTACCAAGGACGTACAATAGGCTTCCATGTTAGTTAGGTACGCCCGACATACATACGTAATTTTATGCACATCCGGTATATTTGATTTTTCATTGTGAATACCTCTTCACCTCTCAAGAACGATATAAATACATCATGTTTGCAGTGAGGAATATAATTAATGGAATTAACGTTACCATATGGTAACACAGTTGATTTTTCTAAATAGGAGTAGAATAGGTCTGTTCATTTGTGACCTTGGCGATGCTTAGAGCGAGCCGATGAAGTCAGATCAATTACGTCACAAATCAGATTGTAGAAGTGTGTATTCGAACAATCTGAGTATATTTTAAATGCCGCTTCCATTCGTTGTAACGTCGCCGCTGTTGGTGACAGATTCTCGAATATTTTGTTCAGTATCTAAATAGGCGACTGGACTATTTTTTTTTGATTCTCAAATAGAATCATCACTCAAATACCTTTCAATTTCATATATTTCATGAATTTTTCGGTTGATGTTTAGGTGCTAAAATCATCAATAATGACACAGTAATTTTCAAACGACTGGAAATTTACCGCCAGTAAGAACTGATGCCACGATTCCGTAAGTAGAGGCAGACCATAGCATAGTTGTCATGTGTTGAAATTCGATTGGGAACTTCAGAAATATTAGTTATTCAATAAGTCATGAATTATCAATGTATTGTTGGTGATATTCCAAATTATCAACAAAAATTCAATTGTCCCAAAATGATCCCTTATGATTTGTGGCCTATTGCTTATTATAAAGGACCCCGCACTAAACTATAGGGGAAATGGCTCTCGATGAAAATCGCGGAATTTCTGATATTTTGCAGACTTTGATATACTGAACAGATATTCCATTGAACTAACCTCAAAAAATGGACAGTTTTTCCGATATTGACCTCCAAATGTCATTTTTTCGAGAAAAAAAGTATCTGAAAATGGTTGAATTTTTGGCATGTTGTAGATAGGAATGAACTGGTGAAAAAATCCAATTGACCTAACCTCCAAAAATTGACACTTTGCTCGATATTGTCCTCCAAATGTAATTTTTTCAAGAGAAAAAATCTTTGAAAATGGCTGAATTTCTAGTATGTTGTAGATAGGAATAAACTGATGGAAAAATTCGATTGACCTAACCTCAAAATATCGACAGTTTTTCGATATTGACCTCCAAATGTACGTATGGAAAATAAGATGAATGGAACAATAATCAAGACAATAAAGTTGCTGTTTCCGAATATGTATTTGGCATTTCATCCTTCTGAAAACGACTTGAAGCCGAAGAGAGGATGTAATGAAATATCAGGCTGATTCACGGTGGATGGCACATTAGACGTTTCTTGTGAACCAGACAACGGATCATTTTGAAAATCCAATGGAGGGCATATTCGGACATTTTCTAGCCAACTAAAATATTTTCGACAATGCGGTGTTGCCGCTTCCATTAGAAAGCAGTAGCAACTTTGATTTTTCAAATGGAACACTCTGTATTTTATTGCATTTTTAGATTCTCCCTGAAGAGCTGATTTCATAGATGTATCACACTTGGGGTCTAGCGGAAATGATTACAGAGATATAGGGTGTGAAAAATCGACATTTTTCAACTTTAGGATTTTTTTGTGTCGAAACTATTCATCATTGGTCAAAACGGCTCACATGTCCCTATTTCAACTTTTGATTAACTATCTACTGATATTTAATTGGGACATATACCGGGTGATCAAGATTCTGAATTCTGCACCACCCTGTATTTGTTTCAATTAAATTTTAGTAGATAGTTGATCAAAAGTTGAGATAGGGACATGTGAGCCGTTTTGACCAATAATGAATAGTTTCGACAAAAAAAAAATCCTAAAGTTGAAAAATGTCGATTTTTCACACCCTATATCTCTGTAATCATTTCCGCTAGACCCCAAGTATGATACATCAATGAAATCTGCTCTTCAGGGAGAATCAAAAAATGCAATAAAATACAGAGTGTTCTATTTGAAAAATCAAAGTTGCTACTGCTTTCTAATAGAAGCGGCAACACCGCATCGTGGAAAATATTCTAGTTGGCTAGAGAATGTCCGAATATGCCCTTCATTGAATTTTCAAAATGATCCGTTGTCTGGTTCACCAGAAACGTCTAATGTGCCATCCACCGTGAATCAGCCTGTATATATTATTTCAAAGATGGTTATAGTCTCCGTTATAGTCTTTCCGATGTCAATGGAGTTGTAGGTATACACACTAGTCGAATTTATGCCATATATATCTAATTTATTTTGATCATTCCATCTATTATAAGTTTTTTGAGTTTAGGTCAATATGATTTTTTCATCAGTTCATTCATATATACAACATACCAGGAATTCAGCCATTTTCAGTGATTTTTTTTCTTGAAAAAATTATACTTTGGAGGTCAATATCGAGAAAACTGTCAATTTTTTGAGGTTAGGTCAATTGAATTTTTTCATCAGTTCATTCCTATCTACCACATACCAAAAATTCAACCATTTTCAGATACTTTTTTTTCTCGAAAAAATTACATTTGGAGGTCAATATCGGAAAAACTGTCCATTTTTTGAGGTTAGTTCAATGGAATATCTGTTTAGTATATCAAAGTCTGCAACATACTAAAAATTCAGGGACTTTCATCGAGAGCCATTTTCCCCATAGTTTAGTGCGTGGTCCTTTGTGTAAATAATAATTATATTAATTCACACTAGAGGACATTTGAATCGGTGAACGTAACAACCCGGCGCACGACTTGTGGGCGTGGTCTTGTCACTTCTGAGCATTCAGCACAACGTTGCCAAGTCTTCAAAATTTACATGACATTTTATTATGGAGAATAAAAAATATCTGGACATGCTGGTTGCTCGAAAAGGTCAAGAATGAACTATAATGTCATGGGTTCCTATTAAGTTCTATTCAACGACAGGACCTGAAACATCTTTTTGATAACTTGATCATAATTGGTGACTTGACAACCTTGCTTCATGAGTGTAAATGGAAGATTATCTGACCAATAACGAAACAGCACAAAAACTGACGTCACAATTTATTCGACGTATCGCCAAATGGCCGCCATGACGGTACGTTTGAAATGAGCTCTGAAATTCAACGATTTTGAACAACGACAGAGTATAGTAATTGAATGCCAATAATTCATTATCAGTCTACTCGCCCATTGACCTAGCGAAGACATAGGTACCAATAATTGATTGAAATCGCGTTTAATTTAGTGATTTTGTAGGACGGCCAGCTCGATGTACGAGTTCAAAGAGATCTTGGACTTTTTCGATCTTTGCTCGTGCTGCAAATGCTCATGCAATAATTCTGTTACATGCAGAGCGGAACTGATCAAGAGGATAGGAATCGTGGTTGCTTTCGTAGCGACGCATAGTGGTCTCACCAGGTGGCAAAACTTTCCACAAAACATCGAGAGCGAAGAATTCGATCCGTAAGTCGACAGAATCACATATTTTCAGCGAAAATTATTTTAGAACGAGTGGTATTTGTAAGGACTTTTTAACGAGTTTTTTTTTTGTTCTAGGAATTTTAGGATGCTTCACAATAAAGCAATCGACGAGATATGGTACAGAAGGGCTGTAGAACATTATTTTGTGGATCCAAACAATTTTATCTATTCCGTGCCTCATGACATAGGCAAGTATAATATGTAGAAAAGGGGATTAGGGACAGGAATAGCACTGATGATAAACTTGATTATGGTTTTCTTCAGCAATTGAAAAGGTCAATGAATCGAGAAAAAAAATCACTATTGAAAAGTACTGGACCGTAGCGTGTAAGTACACTACGCGCCTAGGTCTATATAAAAGCAAGTTACGCAGGAAATACATACATCATTTTATGCTCGACCGGTATATTTGATTTTCCATTGTGAATACCTCATTACCTTTCATATGGTTGCAGTGAGAGTGAGAAATATCATAGATGGAATCAACGATACCATGGTAATAACTCAGTCAATTTTTTTTAAATAGGAGAAGACTATTACTTCACTACTTGCTGTCAATATGTTCTTTTTTTCGTTTTCAGTTCGGGATTGTTCAGATGTTTGATCATGAACAGTGAAACACAGCATATCTACAGAAGATTCTGAATTCTGCACGACCCTGTATTTGTTTCAATTAAATGTCAGTAGATAGTTGACAAAAAGTTGAGATAGGGACATGTGAGCCATTTTGACCAATTATGAATGGTTTAGACACAAAAAATTCTTGAACTTGGAAAATCTCGATTTCTCACACCCTACATCTCTTTAATTATAACTGCTAGACCCCAAGTATGATGGATTGTTGAAATCAGCTCACCAGGGAGAATCTCAAAATGAAATAATATATAGGGTGTTCGATAGAAAAAAGTTTAACTTCAGTGTTTTATGGTTTTTGGGGACACCCTGTATGTTTCGAAATAATTTTAAATGGTAGCCTATGTTGACATGCAACTTCCTAGAGAGGAAGAATTCCAAGAAAATAAGTGGTTAGCCTTCTAGAGACCGAGGCGTTACTGGTGGCCCACCCTGTACATATATGTTCGTACTAGTTTTATCAATTATTCAATGATTACGTCACGGTTTGCCGACTGAACATTTTTTCAATTGCTCCAGTTCGAAATAAGAAATGATCATTTCAAAAAACATTCTAGATTGAAAACCATAATAACCTGTTCAGTGTAGAACTAATTTGATAGAAATTCATCACATTGTGGCTTAGGAGAAACGATATAATGTACCATTGTAATTCAAAACACTTCTTTTCCATCATGAACAGAAATGAGAGTATCATTGACACCTATTTTCAGGCAATACCAGTCACAGTCTAGTCACAGTGAGTCGAGCCATATTCAAAGAAGACGGACCTAGAAAAGCACCTGTTGCTGTGGTCGGCTATCAGTTTTACCACAGCGCTTTACAAACTCTCTTCACGAAAATAACTACGAATGTAAGTCACAATTGGAATTTCGAATTGTCACATCACAGTTGGAAACTGTTTTTAATTTGAGAGCGAACGAACGTTCGGTAATTTCCACTACCTATGAATGAGTTGAGACGGCAACGCTGCCGAATATCCTGATGAGTGCAGTTGTCAGTCATCATTTATTGCTATAGGGATATATCTATAGTTTCGTTTATGAGCCTGAATTCTTATATGTACACTTATTGTAAATGAATTACCTATAATCATTGTTGGATCCGGCTCGAAGGACCAACTGTGTGAATAAATAACCTGGAATCAGTGTGTTAGATCCGCTCGAATGACCTCTTTCTTATCTTTCTCAATCATTTCCACTATTCTCGATAGTATTTTCATAATCTATTATATATATGAGGACAAGGGTATAGAAATAAATTCACAACACATCATATTCGAAGAACTAGATTTAATTATTGTGGACAGAAAAAATGCGGAGCTGTTTCGGTCCACAATGTCTCATCAGTCGCCCTCGGTCTGCTGAAATTTTTCTCCCTTTTTCTTGTTATAACAGTGTGGAGACATCCCCTGCAAGAGATCATGTGACTCCGAAGAGCTCCACTGTTTGGTCCTCGACGATAGCGGTTTGGTGGTGGTTAGCGACGATCCCACAGAGACAGGGGTCTTCTTCGGTGACCTTCGCGCCGACGTGATGCATCAGTTGGTGGAAGAGGGGATCTACAAGGTCACCAGAATGTTCGACTATCAAGCGTTGTGCGCCGAACCTATAGATACGAGTCCCGCTTCGAGAATTCTATCAGTAAGCAACAAATTTGTAGATTTTCAATCTTCTTCTTTTTTGCACGCTCAAATCCTTCGATCTTGGGCTCTTTTGTCTTGAAAGCATAAAGGGTGAAACCTAAATTCAATGATAATCTTTGACAGAGCCACTGGAATGCGTTAAGCAGCTGACTCAAACTACTAATCCATTGGTCTCTAGATACTCAGTGATTCATTTCTATATCTTGAATTTACAGAGTGACGTGTTCTTCAATAGTTATTATTGAAGAAACACTTTTATTTTCAATGTTAACACCATGAGATTGACACGAGATCATGGAGGATGCGTATTTACAACCTGTCATATATCTTACTCATGTTTTCGAACACCAGTAGACATAAGTCGATGTCAGGAATGACAGTTTGGATCCTCCAGACGAACAATTGGGCTGAGATTCTCAGATTGGAATGAGCAACTATGAAAACTTTATTCAGTTCACAGTGGATAAGTTTTCTTTTAAGAATATTCCAAACAAGTTTAAAGATAATTTGAATAATTTGAAACTTTCTCGATTTTTGTTTTGATTTATGTATACCGTTCGATTTCACCCTATACTTTCATATAGTAGGAGAACCAGCTGCACATTTTGAACATCATCTGATAAAGAGATGTTATTATATGTTCCAAAGGCATGTGAAACCATTGTATTTCATAGAACAGCACCTGTGCCAACCACTATTCTGAGCAAAATGATTGAAAAATTGTACTTTCCTGTGCGGCAATCTCCACCAAATTTCATGATTTCATAACGAGATAAGAATTACGCCATCTGATACCAATTGGATGGTATATCTCACTAACATAACATAACATGCATGTGCCACCCCTCAATCTGAGCCATATCCATGCGATTTATTTGCTGCCATTGAAACAAAAAGTAAATGAAAGGGGTGATATATCCCCTTTGCGAATATCCAAACGTGCTTCGATTCAAACTGATCTAAGTCAGTGGCAGAGCGTCAATATTTCCGAGAATATTCCGCACCTCTCTAAAGATCATATCCGATGGCCAGTGTAAATTTTAACACGTGGATTAGAATACTCGTAGTGCAAGCACCACATTAGTTTTACACTGGTCCATCGGATATCATCTTCAGAGAGGGGCGAAATATTCTCGGAAATATTAACGCTCTGCCACTGACTTAGATCAGTTTGAATCGCGGCACGTTTGAATATTCGCAAAGGGACATTATCCACTATTTGCCTTTTGTTTCAACTTGTTATAGCATGACAAAAATTTGTCCGGAATAATGGCAGCAAGTGGATTTGTCTCAGATTGAGGAGTGGCACAGCTAGGTTTTCGAGATCTTCCATTTAATTGGTATCGGATGCCATAATTCTCATCTCGTTATCAAATCGCCAAATTGAGTTGAAATTGCCGCACAGGAAAGTGCGATTTTTCAATCATTTTGCTCAGGATAGTGCTTGACACAGGTGCCGTTCGATAAAATACAATGTGTTCACATGCCCTTGGCACATATATCATTTCGTTATCAGATGACGGAATTTGCAGCCGGCCCTTGGACTAATATTATATCGTCACACTTTTATGTTTCAATGAAGATGGCACTGATAGAACTATAATTTTTCAGCCATTCATTCACTTGTCCAGCCTGTTCCAGTGGTTTTTCGGTGTTCTCGTCCTCAGTGCTAGAACAGTTTTTGGCAATCACCACTTCGAACAATACAACGGTCCAGAGCATCCGCCAGAACACCACTTTGAGGAAAGTATTTTTCAATGAACTCAATATAAGTTCATCGGTATTTTCTACATTGTCATAATCACAATCACTTTGCACGGTTTCACCACTAACAAAACATTTTAATTCCTCGACCAGCGACATAAATTACTAACTAGACCGCTAATGCCATAATATCTTACTCACTTAATTTATGTTTCCGAACACCAAGAAACATATGACTCGCTGTCATGAACGACAGTTTGGGCAGTTTCAGCGCATGAGCAGAATCGTTTCCAGGCGAACAATATACCCGAGATTTTCGGTTTGCTGGGATGTGACATTGAAAGGCTAGATAGTAGATATGTCCTCGACACCAAGATTAGAACTAATTGTACTAATATTTTGTATTATTGAAATAGAGGGCGAAAGAAAGGAAGAAGCAGTAACTTGGTTCACATCCTTACAGATATACCTCATGACATTTCACGTTTGATATTAGACCTATTTTATATCGATCAGTACGTGTATAAATAATATTTGATGCTATCATTCGTTATTCAAAATCATTGAAAATACTCCATTTCATTGATTGAAATTTGGCACCTTCGAAAAACGCCAGGTCTCGATGACGTCATGCGTCTTCTGGCACAGAGCATTACCAGATATTTCGACGTTGCTAAATTCAGAAACTAAACTGCTCCACATTTGAAGTGAGACAAGCGAACGTTTTGTTTGTTTTCGAACCGTGATAACTTTGGATGAGATCAACCGATCTTTGATTAGTTTTGAGATTGTGATTGCCCAGTTGATTGGCTATAACATATTTTTTTTACGTTTCTCCACTATTTCAGAATTATGACCTACAGGATGATATCTGAAAGTGTGATAATTTCCGAAAAGTTTGAGGTCGCCCCGTTAGCAGGAAATTTTTTTTTTAATTTTTCTGACGGCAAAAACATGAACCCTAATGTGTTTCCTCGAAATGGTTTCGGATTCATCAAGATCCATACAGGATGTTTTGAGATATGCAATATCATGGATTAGCAAAAGTGATTTCGTGATTGAACGAAAAACCTTCAGGGTTAGTTCGCAGGGAGGAATAAAGTGAATGTGGAGTGTGGTTATTTTATGAATAAAATTGTCAAAGCTAGGATGTTTTTTTTCAGTGGATATAGAGAATGAGAATTGATGAACATATACCACGAAGAGAATACAGATAATACGTAACACAATATTTTTTTAATAAAGAAAAATTAACAACGGCAGATGTGGTCGATTATCAATATTTTGTTACACCACCCCTGGCCGCTGCGAGAGCCCTAACTCTTTTCGGCATACTTGTTATCAAGCCATCAATGAAATCTTGGGGAATAGCTGTTCATTCTTCCACTATCGCATCTTCCAGTTGTTGAATATTCATCATTTCACCTTCTCTTCTCTTCAAACATAATTTTAACCTAGCCCATACATGTTATATTGGGTTCATGTCTGGAGATACGGGTGGCCATTCCATTCTTTCAATATTATGTTGTCTCAGAACTTCGGTTACAATTCTCGCACGATGTGGTCGTGCATTATCATCGACCAGTACGAAATTGTCTCCAAAGTTTTGAGCAACTGGTATAACAACATCTCTTATACACATGTCACGATATCGAACAGCATTCGTACTTTCCCTCAAAATAACCAACGTGGTGCGATGATTCATCATGATACCGCCCCATATCGTAACACCCCCACCCCCAAATGCCACCCGCGCCTAAATGTTTTCCTCCAGAAACCTCTCACCCCGTTCTCGCCATACTAAAATCCTTCCATCTGATCTGAACATATTACACCTACTCTCATCAACGAATAAACATCTCCTCCAATCAGCTATTCCCCAGTTCAAATGGTTCTGAGCCCAAAGTCTTCGAGCTATCCTGTGGTTCAGCTTTAACAAAGTACAAGATGCCCTCCTTCTCGCTCTCAGATTGCGCTCATGAAGCCTTCTTCTGATTGTCTCATCTGAGACAACAACTCCTGTTGCATTTCTAAGTGCACAGTTCAGTTGTCCAGCAGTCTGTGTTCGAAGACGACGTACCGAAGTAACTAAGAAATTATCATTTCTATCTGAAGTCTTCCGTTGTCGTCCACCTCCGTGACGATAATTAGGATCTCCTGTTCGATCGTGACGACGGATTGCCCTGTATATTGAAGCTCTTGATGTATCGAAATACTGTCCAATGTCTTCAACATTCAAACCACCATCTCTCATTCTGAGAACCATTTGTAATTGTTCATTAGTTAGTCGTGGCATATTTTATTACAATAATCAAATGTTTGACAATTTCTGATTATTTCCCAGACAACATATTATACCGAGGGGTTAACCAATGAATTTAAGGTATTCAAAAAATTCGAATAGCCATTATGTTGTTCAAAATTGCATATCTCAAAACATTCTGTATGGATCTTGATGAATCCGAAACCATTTCGAGGAAACACATTAGGGTTCATGTTTTTGCCGTCAGAAAAATTTAAAAAAAATTATCCTGCTAACGGGGCGACCTCAAACTTTTCGGAAAGTATCACACTTTCAGATATCATCCTGTAGGTCATAATTCCGAAATGGTGGAGAAACGTAAAAAAAAATATGTTATAGCCAATCAACTGGGCAATCACAATCTCAAAACTAATCAAAGATCGGTTGATCTCATCCAAAGTTATCACGGTTCGAAAACAAACAAAATGTTCGCTTGTCTCACTTCAAATGTGGAGCAGTTTAGTTGAGTCAGTCTAAGTCATACTATCCTTATAATCCTATCATGCTTTCAATTAAACCATGATTGAACCCAAACTTTTTTGTGACAGTCTCGTCTGTCACCATTATCTGCAAAACCTATCATCTACTGAAATCCATGGTGAAACCTAACAAATATTGCAAATATTCAAAGATAATCATCATATTATCTGATTCATCAGTTGTGTGTTATATTTTCTGTCATCTGCAGTAACTATTCAGTCCAGAAAATTCATATTTTACAAATCCTGGGCTGATGTTTGGTGTTATCTGGGTTATGATGCGATTCTATTCAAAACTTGTATCTGGGAGTTTTCTGGGTCAGAAATTGTGATTCTCTCACCTCAGGATTGAGCAATTCAAAATGGCGGATGAGTTGTGTAATTATGGTCCGATTTTATTCAAAATTGGTATGTGGAGGCTTTTGTTGTCGAAAATATTTCCTTTTTCTACTCACATAACTAATAAAATTGCACTTAGCGTACGGATATGTACCACTACGCTAAATGATTGATTAGTCACGGATTGACGATCTGTGATTTATTAAAAAAGTTGACACGTTACCATGGCAACACATTTCCTAGACACATTATCATGGCAACAGTTTTTAAAACACACCTTCAGTCGTTCGTGTCCTGTCCGTTCTGTAGTAACTTTCGACTGTCATTTTCGAATTTTGTTGCAATCAGAATCATTCAAATAATATCGGTTTGTATCAGAATTACTCATTAAAAATGTATGCGAAATGTAGAGGAAAGTGAAATCGGAGAGGATGATTTGGGTAGGTACTTGATCGGAGAGGATGATTTAGATAGATAGATAGATAGATAGATATTTTATTTTCCTCAAAGACAATTTACAATAATTGTATTAGGAATAGTCAAAATAACTCTTAACCCTAAATCCTATCCTAACTTAAATCTAAGTATTTTAATATACATATATATACAAGGTGATTCTAAAATAGGTGGTCAAATTCAGGGAGCATATAGAGTGGGTGAAATAATTACAAAAACCTCTGTAACATTTTTTTCTGAAGTGACCCCCAAGAAAGATACAGCCCCTCAAATGGGGGCATCGTAAAATGATTTTGTATTATTATCTCCAACACCTTGTATAATGAAAATCTGAAATTTTGTCTATCCGCTTACTATTCAGTGCCGGTTCGAATGGGGTTAAAATCAGCTCAAAATAAAATACAGGGGTGTCTCAAAATAGGGAGGTAGGGGGTAAAAATAACCCCAACTTTTTTGTTCATTGCAATTTCAGTTTTTTGACATGAAATTATGAAATCTCAGGGCTATTTACATGAAAAAGGTGCTCTTGTTGCATCTCGATAAAATTAACTATTAGCGAATAAAATTTAAAAAAAGCTTGCTTTTAACAATGTTTTTCATTTTAGTATTTTCAATAGGATCAGACCATAATCACGAAACTCGTCGTCTATTGTTAATTCATCAATTCCGACAATGAATTCAAAATTTCCAACCCCAAAAACCCTTACAAACCAATTTTGAATCGAATCGAACCATAATCACAAATCTGGTCAGCCACATTGGAGCCGCCATATTTTTTTCTATCAAAAAGTCCATAACGCGTTGTCAACTGTCATCTGCCAGATTCCAAGTTGATCAGACGATTAGAAGTAGGTGAAAATTCAGTTACAAGATTTGAACAAGATAATTAAACTCGAGTGCATACCAAAATTGCAATTTAAATGAAATCTTGGAAAAATAAATTTTATTCGCTAATGGTTCAGTTTATCGAGATCCAACAATAGCTCCTTTTCTATGTTGATAGCTCTGAGATTTCATAATTTCATGTAAAAAAACTGAAATTGCGATGAACAAAAAAGTTGGGGTTATTTTTACCCCCTACCTCCCTGTTTTGACACACCCCTGTATTTGATTTTGAGGTGATTTTAACTCCATTCGAACCGGCACTGAATAGTTAGTGGATAAACAAAATTTTAGATTTTCATCATACAAGGTGTTGGCGATAATAGTACAAAATCATTCTCCGAGGCCCCCCTTTGAGGGGGCTGTATCTTTCTTGGGGGGCACTTCAGAAAAAAATATTACCGAGGTTTACGTAATCATTTCACTCACTCTATATACTCCCAAAGTTTGACCACCTATTTTAGAATCACCTTGTATATATAAAGACACATAAACATATTAAGAGACGTACTTCAATTTGAAAATTCAGATACACTATAAAAACATTTTCTAACAAGATAATCTTTTAATTCTTTCTTGAACTGTTTGAGAGGTAGAGTTTAGTTTAGGTAGGTACTTGCATAATTTCCAAGAACTGAAGCTCTCATCTTTGTATACAATTCATTCTCTGCTAACCATGACAATATACGTAAAACACAATATTCATGTGAGCAATATTATACAATCAGAATATGATTGTATGATACAAACCTGAGAAATCGAAAACTTTGACACATCAGTGAATCGAAGAGTTTTTATCTAGTCCGTCATATGAAATCTTATTCACGAAGGTCAGTAAACATGCCATTTCAATAGAAATCCATCTATCCTATGGACTAGAGAGGCACATCTACAACCAATATAACTTATACGTGTCTCGTTGGTTGCATGCATTTGGATAGTATTATGTATTATGTTCTCAATACCCATTCCCTGCGAATTATTTGATAGGTTAGCAGATAGGTTATAATCAAATTTTCGGAATTATGGGATCTTGTTACTGAGAGGAATGATGAGTTCGTAAAAAAAGTATCGTATATAACGCGTTTATAAACTTTTCTAAACACTCGTTTATTAAACACTAGCTCCGCTCTGCTGCTGTACTCGTACTCGTACATAAAAGCTTGTTCTAGAATGAAATCGTTGTTTTTTTCGACAGGTGGTGGACGAACACGAATTCAACCGCAACGGCGCCCGATTCGAGGAGGCCGAGATGCCATTGAGCGACAAGGAGTTCGTGCAAAAATTCGCCATCACCAAGACCAAACCGGAGCCCTGCGACAAACAGATGGCGCTCTATTCGCTAGTGCACTACTCCGAGAGGAACGTGTCCAACAGCGGTTACAACAAATCCATGGTGGAGTGTTCCAGGTAAAAAAGCAAAATACTGATTTCTATAAAAAAACTGCAATATCATAATCATATTGTGACACAGTTACTTAGGAGGGGTTACTACAGAATTCTGTAGGTAATCAGTTATTGTTAATATATGGATGGCAAAAATACAACTGATAACATACAATGCATAACGCTACCACATTGCTGAGTCGGAGTTAACATGGTCAAACTCTACTACGTATATTATGGTTTTACAATCTTGTTTCAATGTGGATATCATGAACGAATAAGTATCGGAACAGTGGAAGACGTAGCGCTCTGAATTGTCTAGGCAATGACGAATCATTTGACGCTCAATTACACGAAAAATATTGAGATAATTATCAAAAATAAAAAATAATGAGAACTGTCCTCCAAAACTGCGAACCACTTTTATGGCAACACCGCTACACAATACATACGGGGCAACCGTCTCGGGACAGGTCCATAACAAGGTGTCGGCTTCATTCTGCTTTGAAGGCGCTAAATGAGGAATGATAGTATAGTTGATAGTGATTCACTGATTCGATGATGTTTTCGTTTCGAAGTGCTATCTCTGACTGCTACAGCATAGCCTATAACTGTCAGAATGAAGCCAACACCAATCTACAGTTCTGCCCAGAGACGTTTGTGCAACAAAAAATATCGAAGCTCTCAAATGGCAAAGTATCGACTGTGGTACCGACCACTATTACCCAAAAACAGCAGGGGACAGATAACATATATTTTTCCTCTTTATTCACGTGCCTGTGTCCTTATTACTTACTATAAGGGTGCGCATATGATTTATGCTCATATCGAGTATATAGTCGCCAAAATCGGCAAATATCAACGGTTCATATGCCTTCCGAAATATCTCGTGGATCCTTTAACATTTCGTTATTTGCAGGCCGTATATCGTGCAGAGGGTGACCGGCAGCAATATGATTCTGCTGGTGATAACGAAACTTTGCAGGGAAGAAGAGAACAATCCCCATGCAGAATCGCCGGTACCGGTGGAAGTGGACTACAACATGTCCTTGGCTTGCTACCGAGCCCTGCACAATGACTTCCCTAGGAGGTACTATATGAGTTGCATCAACAGGCATGCCAACGTGAGTACCTATCGGCGGGACATTAGTAGATGACGTAAAAATGATTCAGATGAGACGGATATATAAATTCTTGTTTGAGTTTGCAAATACTTAGTAACTAAAGCCTTGAGTTTGAATATTTAGCAACACAGAAATAGAGAAAATTTATTTATTCGATAGGTATTTCATACCATGCACTATCTCTACATATCATGCTATTTAAAAAAGATTCAGTGATGACGTCACTACTTCGACAGCTAACTTCAGCTTGTCTCTTACTTCAGTAATTATACGTTCACCTGAAAAAATGCGTTTTTGTTAATGAAAATTGGCCTCGGAATTCTCAAAAAAATCAACCCTTAGCTGAGATAACTATCATCTTTGCAATCTTTTCGTAATATTTTAACGCAATATCATTGCATTCCATCTATGTCATCACGGTAGATTTGAATTCTTGCGGGAAACCTTGGGATCTTTGAAGTGTACTTCCATGTTGACTGTCTTCTTCTTGCTTTATTGAGATTTCTCTGTCATTCGAAATCTTCTTATTTCATAAGTTATAAAACTAACCAGTTATTCTTCTTCTTCTTTTTTTTATAGTTAGAATATAGTTCGTACAATGATGGAAGATATGGTGTAATTACTGATGCGCTTCTGTTTCAGAAATTTTACTCGACCTCTCGAGAACAGCAAGAGCAATGGTTCCGTCGATCTTCTAATAGATGGCGACATTGCACAATTATGACATCTGTCAGTTTTGAAATTGTCACAGATTTTTCGAATTCAGAGTTGTGGAATCATTGTCGATCTAGATGAAAACCTAGTAGGCGACCTAGTGCGAGGAGGTATAATATTGTCTGTTCATTCAATCAAAATATGTCTGTCTGTCAAGTGGCGCTGAGGCAGAGAAATTGGAAAGAGCTCATTTGTTTATGTCAAAATAGACCATATTAGGTTGATATTCTCTTCTTCTATTTTTCTCCAATATGTACTCAACCACAGACGTGCTTTCCATCATTGACGTGCTATTTGATAGGAAGGCGATGAAGAAGATTCATGTAATCATAAAATTATTTTCTGACAGTTGTCATTAACTTATAACTTCGTCTTTGTGAATGTGTTGAACTTTGATTTCCTTTCTTGGAAATTACAATTATACCTAATCATTTCTTCTAGTATTGGTTTTCTATCAAAGTTTGTTGATTGGTTTGTGAGTGCGATTGTGTTATTTTGCAATGTCATCTGAAAACTGCGCACTCCAGGAGGTGAAGGAGTAATTGAATTATCAAGACATGGTTTCCCCAATCCCCACTGTTGTGAATTTGAGCCTCAAATCCTGAGGCATCTATGGGTTCACGCCATATTCATTGGATATCAAGGTGAACTTTTTTCTTGAATCGCATAATATTTGAAACTTAATGATATTTATATTTCAGGAATGTGAGTTTTTGAAGTAAGCGAACATGATACTATATGTTTCCAACATTTTAAGGGAACTGTTTCTTGCCAATGAAGAATAGGAAACGGTTTCGGAAAGAGAGTACGGTTCCAAGTTTGTTCAAGGTAGATATATTAATAAAATAGTATTTAACAAGTTTGTACCTATACTAACTAACTAATTATTAGTTTCGGTATGAAATTTTTCAAGAACTTGACTTTGGTTCCTCTAAAAGTTGTTCCATAGTCAAAAGTCATTGAATTAATTTCAGAATGGTACAGGACATTGAAACTAGGGACAATATTTTTATATTTTCAGACTCATCAATGTTGTTTGGAATATGATGCTGAAGAGGAATCAACCTGAAGAGGAATCAACCTGACGATGAAGAAGCATCTGAGGAGGAAACGGGCATTTGAACAGATATTATAGAATGATAATAAATAATAATAAAGTTCATTCAAAATGTTGACTTGAATATAAATTAAAAAGATACATATATTGGTATTGAATATTCCTGTGGTTTAATTTGTGGCAATAATAGACACATCTTCTCATATTTAGTGAAGTTAGTAGCTTCAATAAGATGAGTTAATAAAAAATAATCATTGTTTTACTTCAAAAATACTTTATATACTTTTGGTACAATATATATAGTGTTTTCAAACTTACCTGCTAATACATCTGTACAACAATAAACAGGGTATCAGAAGAAGAGAACAAACTATATAGTAGAATAAAAATCGAAATAATTCTTCATAATTATATGTACAATTTATTAAAATAATTGTATTGCCGTTCATACATACAAGTTATATTCCAATAAAAAATTCTAAATATCCCAGCATCTTGACAAAGAACCCTGAACAATATAGAATACCATATATCTGAAGATGATTCCTATACAATCTTGAAATCACTTTACTCTAGTGAAATTCTGAGTGGCTCACTATGAAAATGGTCCTGAGTGTGCTGGAGTGGAATATCACATGTTCCTCATCACCTAATTGATTGCTTGAAAAATAGATAAATTGAATATACATTGGGGTGTGTATAATTTGCAGCCTAGAATGAAATGCTGGGGACTGGCTATTTCCAGCAAACAAATCGTTGTTCTTACTGCATATCTGGATTCAGCTCATCGAACTACAGGATGAAAAGTTTCTGATTTTATTCACTGCCCCATTTTCTTGTGTGTTTTTTCATAAAATCTTGTGAACTGGATATTTTTGCAGCTCGACTTTCAAGGAGGTACCTACCTATAAAAAATATAATGATATTTTGTGTTTGGAGCAGAATATCCATAAGACATTGATGAAATAACCAGATTGAGTCTAACCTTAGTGCTTCTATATATTTATTTCAGATGGTAAATTGTCCATTCTGTTCTCGAACATCATCATCCTTCTGGTACATTCCATCTGAACATTAGTCACATAATGATTTCTAATGTGATACTTCCACATCACTCATAGTTTTTCGTTTTTCAACTGAAAAGCTATTAATGTAAGTACTCTTCCCTGTAGGTAGGTACCTGAAATTTTCAAGTATAATATAGTGATTCCGATGTGTACATGTTTTACATCACTAAAGACATGTTTTCACTGCAAATAATGGAATTTTCATGAATTATATAGTAACTTATCAAAAATATAGAAGGAAATAAGCAGCCCCTACCTTTCTGCTTGGCTTGCATGTCGAAAAAGTGTAATAGCACTATTGAGTTTCCGAAGTTTCCACAGTTCCAACTTAAATTCAAGTTGCATCATAAATCATACTAATACAGCATTGCCTAAACATCTTCCTGCTTCCATTCAAGTATAGGTAGATGGTTTTCATACTTGATAATATCTTTCGTGATAATTTTTCATTTTCGGGATTCCACATGACAGATTTTTATTTACAAACTTGACAGGACCACGAAAAATGTTACGGTTAGGAATAAAAAATGAATAACTTAGTTCACTTAATTCACGTAGATGTCTCTGAACTACATATTTTCTTCATTTGTCTTTTCAATGAACAGACAATATTATAGCTCCTGCCTACTAACTACCTAACTAGGTTGTCATCCAGAACGACAATGGTGGAATCAACGTCTCGCTCGTTGTGACGTAGAGAAATCATAGTAGGCGGTCGAGTGATTTTTCTGAAATTTTCAATACGTAATAATGGCCGAATACGCGCACCATATCTCCACCATTGTTCGTACTAATAGTACTGTTACCTCGGACAGTTCTGACACTAATTTCCTTGTTGGATCTGTGAAACTTGCACAGCCTTCTTCTCTTTTTATATGATTTTATTTGACTCATCCCTCACTGTTACCTGTCAGGTTTATAATTAGAATACCATTGAGTATGTATTCCGTGGTCTAGTCTAGTTGTTTTCTACCCTAGATTTCTCAAAGAATTTCGAAAATGAAAGAATGATTGAAAAAATGAACCGACTCAAGTTAAGAACTTCACATCTTTGTTTTTCTTGGAAGCCTCACTACTTCAATATACTTACTTATCCTTGCACTTACCCTGGAAGTTTCAATTTGTTTCATTGTTCACTAGGTCACACACACATATCACTTTTTTTTTTTGCAGGAGAGCGAAGTTAAACTTTGTGGAGGCTGTAACAACATATCACCCGTACACATCGTATCTATGGTACTACTATCAGCGATTTCCTACTATTTATTGTAAATTTTAAACTATTCCTAGGAATAATTTCAGAATCTGTGATACACCGAATATTCTCAAGATATATCTTAATGTAATTGGAAATTGTTATGTGTGAATTTGAAAGAGTTGGGAGTTTTTTACGCTGAATGAAGTTAGATTGAATTGAATTTTAAATTATTGTTGCCCGTTATAAGATAGCTACCTATTTTATTCGTTTTTGTTATTTTTGGTTGTTTTAAACCTCTACATTTACATATATGTACATTTTATTAGAATAAGGTTATGTGAAGAAAATTATAATAAAAAAAAATAAACAGCCTTTCTTTTCGAATTTGAGAAAAATGTGGGAAACACCTAGATTTGTATGAATTTCCTCACCAATAGAAATACCCCCCAAAGACCTTCCCAAACATAAGTAGACCGCTTAGTACATTTGTTTCTGTATTTCTCGAAAATGGCATTGAAAACTAATGTTTAATGAATGAAAAACTTTGAAGATGGTGTATACTTGAATTTCATCAAAATTGAATTATCTCAATAAGTTTCTTGATATTTTGAAAGAACTTTCAGTATCTTCTCATTCAATTTATTCTTTATTTTGACGTTCCTAATTATTATGATACTTTTTCTTCGAATATGTCAATTGTCCCTAGGAAAATCATCATCAATCATTTTGGTGTGGTTGAATTCTTCGAAATTAACCTTCAATTAAAACAAAAAACTGTTTAGTCAAAAAAAACTCATTTGATGAATTGTAACTTACCTTCTCTGCATGGACGTCAAAAGTATTGTTGTGGAAATCCTGTACTAGGTAAGGATTGAGACATCAGAAACAACGGAGATTAAACCTGTTTTTTTTTAATTATATAAAAAAATACACAAGCCTCAGCGCAGGAACTCATGGAACATCTCAAAATGATTAAAAAAAAACTTGAGAATATGGCGACTTGAGATAAGTTCATATTCCGTATTTCTCAAGAACATTGGCATTCGGCACTAATGATCGTTTTGATCGTTTTTTTTTAATGATTCCCCTTAAATAAAACACGAGTGAGCAACAACTCTTTGAAGATGGTGTAAGTTTGAATTTCATTAAAATATAATTATTTTAGTGATTTTTCTCACTATTTCGGTTCGTTTCAGATCATTTTGAATACTTTACGGTACATAGAATATGTAAAATGTATTTTTCGGCTATTCATGAATTCGCTCATGCCTGCAAACTGCAGCAGAAGACGAAGGAATTCGGTTGGTACATTATAATTTGAAAGTAAGTACCTACTATAGTCACTCACATTATAGTTTTCATTTTTGGAATTTATTAATTTCTCTGATTTCTCATCGGAATTCCTTCTGCAATAGGAGCTAATAGAAATACATGTGGAATTTCTAAAATAATGCAAGAAGATTGGATTCATGCAATCAAACGGGCAGACTGCTCTGACATGCTGACGAAATATGATCGTGTGTGTTGTAGATATTTTCAATCTATTAGCAGTATTAGCTTGTATTGCAGAAGTTTCATATTCCTTCGTCTCTCGCTGCATTTTTTGTGCATTGTACAACAGCACAATGCGAAGGCATGCTTGAATCAATGAATAGCGCAAAAAACACGATTCGTTTGACAAAATATTGTAAAAAACTATTTCAATCCTTCGATTCCTCTGTAAACAAATAAAAAAGTGAGGTTGTGTTTCAATAATTCACAGAAGATTGAGGTTGTGTTCCAATATTTTACCTCCAGGGTCGGTCATAATGCACGCGACCTATACTTTAGAAATAACCTCCGACAAAAACAAAAAAACTTTTTAGGTCGAAAAAGCTGACAGGCAACTATTGCAACTCACCTTTTCTGTATGGAGACCCAAATTGTTGTCTGAAAACCTGAACTAGGTATGGATTGGAAAATTCGAAACAATGGAGATAAACTTTCTCTTTTATTATATAAAAAATACACTAGCCTCGACGCAAGAACGCATGAAACATCTCAAAATAAAAAAAAAACTCTTGAGTGTTACTATATTTTTTCTCAAGCTAAAACTCGAGAATATGATTGATTCTTTCGCCAGAATTTTAAAATTCGGGCGGAATTTGGAAATTCAAGATGGCGGACGAGTTTTGTAATTATAATCCGATTCTTTTCAAAATTGGTACCTAGGGGTTTTCGTGAACAGGAATTATGATTCCTTCGTCAAAATTGAAAAATTCAAGATCGCAGATCCGAAATAACGGATTTTGTAATAAGGATACGATTCTATTCAAATTTGGTATCTGGTGGTTCTTGGGGTCGGAGATTATGATTCTTTCGTCAAAATTAGAAAACCCAAGATGGCGGACGAGTATTGTAATTATGATCCGACTCTATTCAAAATTGTTATCTGGGTGTTTTCGGGGTCGGAGATTATGATCCGCAAAAAACACGATTCGTTTGCCAAAATGTTGTGAAAAACTATTTCAATACTCCGATTCCTCTGTAAACAAATGAAAAAGTGAGGTTGTGTTTCAATAATTCACAGAAGATTGAGGTTGTGTTCCAATATTTAACCTCCAGGGTCGGTCATAGTGCACGCGACCTCTACTTTAGAAATAAAACCTTTTTAGGTCAAAAAAGCTCATTCAATCAGGCAACTATTGTAACTCACCTTTTCTGTATGGAGACCCAAATTATTGTCTGAAAACCTGAACTAGGTACGGATTGGAAAATTCGAAACAATGGAGATAAACTTTCTCTTTTATTATATAAAAAATACACTAGCCTCGACGCAAGAACGCATGGAACATCTCAAAATAAAAAAAAAAACACTTCAGTGTTACTATATTTTTTCTCAAGCTAAAACTCGAGAATATTATGGCAACTTGTTGCAACATTTTTCGGCACTTTTTCCCATAGAGCATGAGACATTTTTGGCTAATACTCTTCGAATACACTTTCCAACTCAATACTTATAAAAAATACTCACTATCTGTCAATACAATCTCTGGTAGCGCACGCGCAATACCGAAATATTTATATCCGCAAAAGATAGAGAAGAAGAATTCAGAGCGGAAATAAAGGATATACATACATAAATTTTTCCTCGGGATATGTAAAAATAGGCTTAAATTTGAAGGTGACCGCTCATTGGGTCGTTTGCTGTTGCATTTTCGCCTGCATGGCAGTTATCATCTCTTGCATGCGTTTCAGTTCCGCTTCTTTTTCTTGGAGGATTTTGTCTTTCTCATTACCACCGCCCACTTTCTCTTCAATACTGAAAAAAAAACGATTAAATACTGGGTGTTTCGAAATTCAAAACCAAGATTTCAAGGTTCTATTTTTCAGATCAAAATAAGACTTTTATACTAATTTTATAAAGAGGAAAGAGGAGAAGGTTATGGGATAATTTTTATCCCGGTACCATTAGGAAATTCAAGATGACGGATCTGTTATATCGGACGAGTTTTGTAATTAATCTATTCAAAATTGATATCTGAGAGTTTTCGGGGTCGGAGATTATGATTCTTTCGCGGAATTTGTAAATTCAAGATGGCGGAACCAATATGGCGGACGAGTTTTGTAATTAAAATCCGATTCTTTTCTAAATTGGTACCTAGGGGTTTTCGAGATCGGGGATTATGATTCCTTCGTCAAAATGAAGAAATTCAAAATGGCGGATCCAAAATGACGGATTTTGTAATTGGGATCCGATTTTATTCAAATTTGGTATCTGGTGGTTTTTGGGGTCGGAGATTATGATTCTTTCATCAAAATTAAGAAATTCAAGATGTCGGACCCAATATGGCGGACGAGTATTGTAATTATGATCCGACTCTATTCAAAATTGTTATCTGGGTGTTTTCGGGGTCGGAGATTATGATTCATTTGTCAAAATTCGGAAAGGGCGGGATTTAGGTGAACTAGTTTTTATTGAGTAGCGAAGGGTAAAGATCGGTAATGCAGAATATACTGGGAATTTATCATTAGATGTTTTATGCAAGAAGTAATTTCGCATTAGGGCCGGATGTAAATATGTTCATCATTTAAGTCAGAATATAATAGTCAATGATGTTCCTGCTTCAGCAAGAAGGAAATTCCTAGATAGTTCAGCAACTTGCAGATATATGGACTCGAGCAGATTCCGAGAATATAGACAAATGTGCCATATTTTGCTGAGTATCACTAGCGCCGCCCACGAACCAGCCAAGAACTAAGATCAAATTTGACTTCAACATTTTACATGAAGGTGGCTCATTTTTTTAGTGTAAATGATCAAAGCTGATACATAGCTATGATTTCATTTATGGTCAAGTCATGTATACTTACTTATGTTGTTTTCGTTAATTCATTTGTTGATTGTGATTAATCTGAATAATGGGAATTATTTTACTGCTTCTTGTTCCTTTTCTGCATTGCTCTTCTGAGTTTACTCTCGTTTCCATTTCAACATTGTTCAGATAGCAATACTTAAAATAATAAATATATTCATACTACCGTCCACAATGAGTCTCTGGCAATGAGTCTGCAGAATTATCCCCACCATTCGCTATTTTACTCATGTACCCATTAAAGATTGTTGGCGTATACTTTTCAATTACTCATTAATGAATCGCGCTGTCTATCTATTGTTAATTAGTCTGAGGTTTCAACGATATGAAAAACTGTGTCCGAAGACATTTATCAACTCACATTGTCTTTTTGGCCCCTCCATTGTTTTCCTTGGCCAACCTCTCCGAGCGGTAGTTCTCGTAGTGCACCTACAATAATACTTATCATTATTATTATAAACTTTATTTCTCTTTTGATAGGTACAGAAATCATAGGAATAGTCTAGACAACAAAACAGTAAGTTGGCTTTTGAAACAAATCATTTTCTCCATAGTCTAATTTGAAATACAAATGATGCTTTTTGAAACCCAAAGGACTATTTGGAAATACAATGAGCCTTTCTAGTTATTTCTAGAAAAATATATATCTCGGAATATATGGCTATGGAATACATTAAAATATATTTTTGAGATTTTTTTCATCAATTCATCATATAAAATATTATTGAAAGCGCCAAAATGAACAAGCGACTTCAAACGATGATCAGACATGGCCGCGAAACGTGTGATGTCGGTGCGCGAGCAATTTGGATTGGTAATAGCCTCACCTTCTCGAGGGTGCCAATAAAATGCACAATGGATTCGACAATGATACCAATTTTTACAGAAACTTATGATTAGTCGGATATTCATTTCTCGATTTTCTCAGCTAATGATACAGATGCTGTTAGATAATTTGATCGTGGTACTGAAAAATTGCATTGCATAGTTAATCAAATGGTTGATTTCTGTTCGTGGATTATTCAAAATAACTGTGAGCATTAAAGTGAATATATTCATGACTTTCAGTTTCAAATACATTGGTACTTTCAAGTTTAGCGGCTCACCTATACATACCTACCTACACCTACCTACTATAGGAAAGAGAACAAATTTTGAATCCAACAATACTTGGTTCTATTCTTTATTGATTTTACTACAGGCATCACTGCTTTCTTGTCAATAATATTGAGAAATGAGAACAGTAAGTTATGCGGAGAATGAGGTATTTTAACTTAGCAACATTATGTTAGCACCAGTTGCTTCATCTCTATCTCTTGTAAACATAGTTGATACATTAGCAATTCAAGTTTAGGGAATGAGTACTTGAGATATAGTAACACTGTTCAAATTGTTGATTATACACCAAACCATACAAAAAACGTCTTACTGTTAAATGCCTGCATCACATTGTATCCTAGCTAATCTTGTAACTAATGGAATATTTCGGAGTTCACAGTAAATTGAATGTGAAAGGCAGTAAATTACCATTGAACTAACATTCCTTGCACCATCTTGCACATAAGATGTCACAAAATCAAATTGCAAGAATACATAGACATCACAGCTCAGTAGCGTTTGAATTCACAGGTATTGAAATAGCATTTTCAATATTGAATAATTCATTTTTAGTTCGATTTCTTCGATGAATATGTGTCAGGATAACATTTTTGACTTCCCTTCATACCATTATAGCGACAAAGGGTCAAATTGTACGATACTAAAAAGGCCCATTGACCATTATTTTGAAACAAATTTGGAAAAGGTACAGAATGCTGTTTTGCCTTGTCTTGTCATGTCATCACCTGTTGCGTGATCTCCTGCAAGTCCTGCATATGCGTGATGAGCATGGTGCGCAGCTTGATGAAGTCGCAATGGTCGGGATTCTCCACTTCGACCACGCCCCACGGATAAAGGCGACCTTTCACTTTGCGTCCGCGCACTTCCAACTCGGTGTTGGCGCCGCATACGGCGAACGGGACGGCTTGCTTCAGTTGGCGCACCTATAGAGATAAAATAGAATGGAAGTTTATTATGATCTATTGAGAAGAACAAGGTGGCAACACCGTTCTGGGGACCGGACCCTGCACTGGGCATAACAAGAAGCCAAACTTCGTCTGCCCTTAGCAAATGGGCGGATGAGGCACTAGAAGGATACTGGAGGCGTGTAGGCGGCTGCAGGCAATCCAGAGACCTGTAGGGAGATTCTATTTCACGAATCGGCCATCTTTATTCGATATTTGGTATTCTGTTTCTCGAATGAATCGTGTGAACTCGACTCGATTCCTCGATAGCTCAAGAGGAGTCGAGTCGATACGTTTTGTCAATCTATCCTTATCTATCGTCGAATGTTTCTTTACATCCTCATCCCAATTTGATGTCAGATCATCTTGTTTATGCAATGAACTCAATATAAACAACTGTTTGTGTGAAAGCACAGCTTTGAAAGTGTGTAATCAACTTATTACTTCATAAAAATATAATATATAATAATACATTTTTAATGTCGTTCAAACTCAGAGATGCCCACTGGAAAATGTTAATAACATTTTTAGAATAGCACAGAACATGGCCACGGCCACAGGATGGTTTTCAGTCTAATGGTCGTGACATCAATAAAATACTGTGAATCAGGCTAAGCCAAGCAAATTCATTGCTGTTTGGCGAGTCAACTCCTGAGAAATGACATAAGGTATTAGCATCTTTTAGCTATGATTCAGTTGCATAAAACCTCAATGCACAAAATATTTGAGATTCTGTATACCTATTCCATTAAGTGGGGTCTCAATGATTGTTTCAGAAGACGAACCAACTTTCTTTTCAATCCAAATAGCTCAATAAATGGATTAGGTAGGTACCTACCTAGTTCTGTTTCATAGTTCTTGTTGTTGACGAATTAGATCCAAATTTCTTTGCCTTAGAATTTTTTTTATTTTTGGCTTGGGATTGGAAAAATTGAGATTCAAAAAAACAATATAACCATCATAACCCCAAATTTGTAATGGTTTTTGGGACAATGGCCTCGGTGCTCGTTTAATTGGATCAAAATCTCATCCCATTAGCCAAAAAACCGACGATTTCCGAATTCGAATTCGATCGCGACTTGATCGTGAAATATAATAGGAAATGAATTCGACTTCGAGTTCATCATCGTATCGTACGACAATCGACGATCGTGAAACAGAATCCCCCTGCTGGTGGCCGGTCAAAGCAAGTCAAAGACGGCTTGGTTACTGGGCAGGGATCGCCAAGTCTTGCGCCTTATTATAGGGGTACCGAACAACCGAACAACAATTTTTAGAACCGACAGGGTACAACAGGTTACGCAGACACCTATCACTCATAGTTGTAGAAGATAGTCCCACTTGCCGTGAATGCGGAGAAGACGAGGACACATCACTTCACTTCCTCGGAGAGTGTGAGGCGTATGGAAGGATGAGAGTAAATGAACTACAACAGGAAGTATTGGTCGAATTAGAGTGGACGGACATCCTGACCTTCATCAGAAGGACGGGAAGGTTCGAAAAGGATAAGGGGTGGTTATATATGTGGAGAGCAGGGGTTGGCAAAAAGGGCTCATGGGGGCCTACTTGCTACAGCCTTCCCACAATACCACTACATGATCCATTGAGAAGAACACTTGTAAACGATTCGTCAAGATAAAATTAGAACTAAAATACCTATATATTAGCTCTACGGCCGGAGAAAAATTGAGTCAAATATATCGCCCTGTAACATTTTCAGGGGCCAGGTAGCCGTGCGGACAGAGTGTCATTTTTCTAATCCGCATTCGCTTGCCGGTCGTGGGTTCAATTACCAGGGACTGCAGAAGTTTTTCTGATGGGCCAAGAAAGTGTTCGGGATCACACGTTGAAAGATAAGGCCCCCGTCATCTCTTGCTCGCACAAGACTCTCGAAGACTTCTGAGGGTTGCTCGTAAGGGGGCAACTGAATGACGGATAGAACATTTTCAATGGGGAAGTTTCTTTCGGATGAATTTTAATCAAATTAGTTTCACACTAATTAGGATTATGCTTTCGCAATCTATAATGACAATGGGCGAGTGGACTGATAATGAATTATTGGCATTAAATAACTCCACAGTGTCGTTAAGAACCAAAATTAATGTTCGAAATTTTTCGTATGTAAATAATGAGTCTATGCATTGTTCGAAATTGAATTTCAGAGCTCATTTCAAACGTACCGTCATGACCGCCATTCGGCGATTAGTCGAATAAACAGTGACGTCAGTTTTTATGCTGTTTCGTTATTGGTCACATAATCTTTCATTCTCACTCAGGAAGCAAGGTTGCCAAGTCACCAATTATAACCACGTTATCAAAAAGATGTTAAGAGTCCTGTCGTTGAATAAAACATAATAGGAGGAACCAATGATATTATAGTCAATTCTTGACTTTTTCAAGTAGTTCAGACTAGAGTTCCTAAATGTACTTGACACTGCTATTTTGACGTTGTCTGTATATCAGAGTACGGACACTATGACGAGCACTGAAATCAGACATAACCACAAATAAATTGATGGAAAAAGCGGGAACTGACAGTACACGGACGTATATTACGAAAATTTCGAAGGTTTGACAAATTGAGAGAATTAGGAGAAAGATGCAAGTTTGTGCAGTTTGCAACTGTGAGAACACGGGAAATCAATTCACTCTATTCGAATTTCCATCGGATAATATGATGCGGCCGGCGTGGAATATAGGTTCAGGCCACAAAATTTGCGAGGTATTTGAATTTCTTGGTAGGATATAGAACATTTTTCAACGCATTTGTATCAGGTACACTTGAGAACGGAAGATTTGATGTTGAAGAATAGGATCATATTGAGAGAAAGAGCTGAACCCACAATTTATAAACTGAGGGAGTATCAAAAAGAACCTCATTCCAATATATACATACATATAAGAGACTTATTTCATAGAAATAGTATATGTATTCCGATGGTATAAATGTATAACGCATGTCCCTTATGATTACTATATTTGCGCATGCGCATTATGCCACCAAATAATTATGGATAATCATTTGTTACATATTTTTAGCTTCAACCTGGCACCCGTTGTTATACATATTGTTAATTAATACATATATATGATGTTTAGGAATATATCCTCAAAAATGAATGTATTGAAAAAGAATGGAAATTAAATTAGATCTTATTGCTAACCACCAGTGATATCCGAAAATATTACAATTCTGATGAACTAATTAGTCTATAGATAGAGATAGACTTCAACTCAAATCACAGCAACTATATCACAATCAACAAGTGCAAAAAAAACAAAACAGGGCATATATGACACTAGACCATTGAACCACCAAAATATGTTTAGAAATACAAGGATGAAAGTTTTAGGGCGATCAAGTTTTTTATGTATGAAGTGATATTTTCAATTTTTCAGGAAATAGGAGAATAAAAAACATTTACGAAATTATGAAGGAACCAATAGGAAGGAAGTTCAAGAAATCATTATATAAATTAATCATTATTTGCAGTCGGTTCTAGAACATGTTAATATTGAATAACCATCAGATGAAATACCTGTTTGAAAATAAATGAGAATAAATAAAAAACAGTGTTATTTATTATCATGTTAATACCTGTTCCTTATATTCCTCATCTTCGTCTGAATCACATTCTGGTAAAGAGTATATCCTTATGCCATTTTCGGCAATTTCTTCCAATACGGTTTTTTTCAGTTTTTGCATTTCTTTTTTTGTTAAAACATCAGCTTTGGCGATCACAGGAACTATGTTTACTTTGTTATGGAGTTTCTTCATAAATTCAATATCTAAAGGTTTCAATCTAAAATATAAGCAATATATTTGAAAAAAAGAACTTCCAAACTTTTTTGAATGGTTATAATTTTTTACTAATTCAAAAATTCACTAATCAGTAATTTCACTTAAAGATCTGACATCAGCCAAAATTGCTGGACATATTATGGTCATTGGTATTGCAATTTTTTCATGCAAGTTTTTCTTGTAAAATTATCAATTACCTATTTTTTTGCCAGATAAAAAAATATCTTATATTCCTTTTAGAAAAATCGCTAAGGGGTATAGTTTTAATTTTTTTGTTGATTTCCCCAATTCTATGATCAGCAATGTACTTTTAGAAGACAATAATTATATGAACAAACCATGCATATGGTGAATAATTATGCTTTCAGCTTTGAAGTAAAAATAAAAGTGTGAAACCTCCTAAATAAACTCACATATTCCATCTGCATACCATATAATCTTATTAATCAACTTGTTGACTGTTCAATACAAAAACAGCTTTCATACAGAGGCTAATGACCCACTCATGATGTCATTAACACACCATTTAAGATTATACTACCAGGAAACAATATTATCATTATTATAATGGGATAGCTGAGGTCCTCATGAATCATATTAATGAACAATACAAATTGAAAGAAGAATGCAGTAATTGCTCAGAACTTATTATTCTACAGTTATCACAACTGAGTTTCAAGAATTTAGTGGATATTTCAATTTTAGCAGATTTTCTAATTAATAGATAACTTAATCTTGAATATGCATTACTAGTGCTAAGCTAGTCATGGCCTCATCTTTATCATGCTATTTAATTCATAATTTAGAATAAAATAATTACTCACCCATGACCAAATGGTGAAATAAAGTAAAAACAGCAATGAACTCTATTGTCCATGATGTTTTTCCTATTCAATCCAGATTCATCCTTCAAGAATCTCTCAAACTGTTGATTGATATACCCTATTATTTCATCAAACGAATCTCTATTATCTATGGCATCTCCATAACCAGGTGTATCAACAACAGTCAGTCTCAACTTGACTCCACGTTCTTCTATTTCTACAGTTGAAGGTTCTAATCTCACAGTTTGTTTCATTTTTTCTAGAAAAACAATTTTCAGTTTGAAGTGTTTATTTTACAGATTTCAATGGCTTACCTATGGCATCTGGTATTTTCCTTTCAGGATAGAGATCAGTGAGGAACAGAGAAGTTACAAGGGTTGATTTTCCTAGTCCACTTTCTCCAACAACCATCAAAGTAAACTCAAACCCTTTTTTTACTGATTTTCTATGAACCTGATTAGGAAGGTTGGCAAAACCAACATAACCAGGAGTTTCTAAACTCGAAAACTAGAAAAAAAACTGAACTTATCCCGGATATTATGCAAAATACTTCCATATTAATGATTTCGTTGAAACTCAAAACAAAGTTATTTCAACTTGAATCACCAGTTAAACGAATAAAATGAAGTATGTTACTCACATTTTTTATGGATTCACTAGACATCTTTGTAAATATTGAATTTCTGAGCACACCACTACTCAAGAATGTGGAAACTTATACGAAATCAAGAAATTTTGTAATTTATCAACAAACGACGTCAACACTAAACAGCCATTTTCATACTGATGGAAAAAAATAAACAAATCAAGAATCAAGTGCACATTGAAATTGCAGACAGTTGATTGGTCGAGACAGGGTGTGGCCATTTTGAGTCATCAGCGAACAAATGAACAACAAATGTCCCTAGATTTGAAAATTATTTCCTGCCACTGACTGGTACTAGTACTGTGATACTGTGAACCAAGGTTGGTAGAACTGATTATAATTTGTCTGTGAACCTTTCTGTGAAGTAAATTATTTACACAAACCAGAAACCAGAAGAAGAATTTTATGGTTATGATTGTTATGGGATGACAGGAGAATGTAAGCAAACATTTATCAACAAAAAATTTAAACAAATATAAAATAGAAAAAAAAAAGAATATTCATGTATAGCTATGAATTGAAGTAAATACACGTACATTCCAAGATGAAGACAAGAAAGAAATTCGATCCATTCCCTACTATTTATTCATGTCAAATATTTTTAAGACTATTTCTAGTAATTTTACCTCAAACAGGCTACATTCATCCTGATGAGCTGTTTCAGTCAGTTGAAGTCTTAGCAGGTAAGATAGAAATTGGTTGCTAGTTGATATTGAAGAACTCATGGAAAATAGAGATTTTGTAACAAAATTTCAGGTAAAGTCCTGGAGTTCCAATGCAGCCCTCCTTGGGAATTCAATGTTACATTTCCAATCAGAAGTATGACAATTCCTTGCCTAACCACAGGAGTATCTTATAAGTTTCTCAAGTTTTTCAATTATGTCAGCTTGGAATATTTTCACCAAACATTGCTCACACCTTATGCACTTATCCTTGTTCCCAGGTTACTCATGTGTCTCCTTTCATTCCTTGTAGATTTTAGCCTGTTCAAAATATGCTCCAATAACAATGAAAAGTACAAATCCAGATTGGTTATATTAGGCAGCTCATATGTGATGATAGTTTATGGTACTAGAACTTTTTCAAATACTATAGAATTAGTCCTTTTTTCTCTACTGTTATATTTTGTTTGTGAGAGCTTGATTTTCTCCAATGTAGTCATTAGAAATCGAGAGTATATAAATTATAGGTATGAACAGAGCAAGGATATAGCTGAAAAAGCCAAGTTTCACAAATTGCGTCTCTTCATTGTGTCTGATTCTTATAGAAATTGTTTTTTTATTAGCATCATAAGTGTACTAGGGTTTTTCAATCGGCCTACTTTCTTAGCTTTTGCTGTTATGCCCATATTCTTTTGGTTATACAGGGGCTTGGGGAGTAAATCAGTAACCCCTTTTCAATTTTATATGAGGATATTGATATTTGCCATGGTTTCCATTCCAACATTTTTAACTGTGATCTTGATAGATTCCTTTTATTATGGGTACATTACTTGGGGGGAAATAGGGATGTTAGATGTTTCAATCAACAGCTTTGTGTTCACACCTCTGAACTTTTTGAAGTACAATTTGAATACTGATAATTTGGCAAAACATGGTTTGCATCCAAGGTGTTTGCATGTATTGGTGAATATTCCTCTGCTGTTCAACGTTTTGGGCTTATATGCACTATACACCCTGGCAAAATATGCATATATGTAAGTATATCAATTATGATTATTGTCCATTTTCACAATAATGTAATGAGTTGGTTACATCTCTGGTGAACATATTTTAACCACTTTGACCAGTTCTTCAAGATCATTCATTAGATAATCAACAATTTATTTGATTGGATTCTTCTTGTTCACATTTTCAGTGACTTGTAAGTTTTAGAACAAAAAACAATATAATTTGATCACACATCCAGAATTCATATTTGTTCATGTTGTCATGACTGACACATATGACCTTGTATTACATGTAAAACTATTCAAATGGGATCACTAGGTGTCGCTTCCAAACATAGCGGCCATTTTGTATTGAAAAACAGCGCCCCTACAATCTACATCAAACACAGTAGACACCTATATAATTGTACAAAATGAATCAAATATAATGCCATGATGATTATTATCAATTAAATATATATTTCAGATGTTTCTTGAAGAAATTCAACCTACTTCCGTCTGTCAGAAGCGTTAAATGTCTCATGACCCTTTCATTCTTAGTCCCAGTTATCCTTCTTTCTATATTCCCCCACCAGGAACCCAGATTTCTGATACCTGTTTTGGTACCTCTTGTGTACCTACACGCTACTAGAGTACTACCCGAGACTGACACATCGCTAGTGGAGGCTCCCAAGGTACACATCAAGGGGGAACTGAAGAAAACTAAACCCAGCAATGTTCTTTTCAAGCTGTGGCTCTTAATCAATACTCTATTGGTTATATTCTATGGATTTTTACATCAAGGGGGTATTTACCCTGCGACAGCTTATTTGTCTAAGGAGTTGCAGTCTGCACCTCTTAAAACTGAGTTTCACATACTCACTAGCCATGTCTATTCATTGCCAGAGTCTTTCTTTATGCAAAAATCTATTGGTAGGTTGTACTCCAAAGGTAGGATTCAGTACTCTGTTAGCCGCAGGGTGTTTTTGTATGAAGAGGGTTCAAAAAAGGTAGAACTGATTTTGAAAAAATTGCAACTGATACTTGAATCACGGCAAAAGAATCTATCGAAAAAAGGTAAAGTGTATTTCTTGATATCCAGTAGCTTAGATGATAAACTCGAGAATTTATCTGTGGGAAGTAAAGTTAGGTTTTATTTGGTGGAGAGATTTACCCCTCACATTAGTACTGAAGCTTTTCCAGACATGACTGCTTATTGCTTAGACTTGTTTCAGAGTTTTTATGGTAGCCATTGCACTGGGTTGACACTGGTGGAGTATTTAAAGTGGCTCTATAATTCTTTCGGACTCAGCTTGTATCAAGCCGAATTGAAAGATGTTAAAAAAGTTGTAATATGATTCCTTTTAATTTAAAATACCATTTTTTAAAAACAACCTTCTGAAAGAAGCGAGCATAACATAGAATCGTTTCTAGGATATCAACTTGAAATTGTTAATGAAGGATTCGTCATTATTGTATATATTAATTGTGATAATTGCATCATCAACATTCCACTGTTATTTTTTCTTTAGCTAATTTTTACAATACTCTATTGAGTCATGTACTTTTATTCTCTCAAATAAAATTCGAAAACTCAACTATAACAGTTATTTCATTATCACGATTTATCCATTTATTCTGAATGAATTCAAATTATTGCTTCTGGTGGCTTCATCAATCCACCAACTGTGATCATATATTCTTTGGTGGATTCCTGTTTGACGTAACCACGCGTTCATTTTGTTGGAGTCATCAGTTTTGAAAAAAAAACGCAGTTATTAGACATGACAATCACAAATGTTTTTTCCTTTATTTCTTTTCTTGATTTGATGGGGCTTTAGATTGTTTTCCATTATAAGCTCAGAGTTGGCGAAAACTAATGTGAAATGGAAAATGATGTATTCAATAGTATTATTGGAGTCCTTATTGTCTCCAGATCCGGAAGTTCTAGCAGTTCTTCTGATAGTTCCGAGGATGAAATATTATTTTTGTTGGGGAGTAGACGAGATAGGTTGCAAATTTTCACGATATGGATAGTTATTACCACCATCTCTGTACATCGGTAGAATGGTTTGCAATTTGGTTGACACAACAGTAATAAATGGACGCGTGGTTACGTCAAACTGGAATCCACCAAAGATTTTTTTTGTTGAGGTTATGCTGTCGCTGTCAATTCGAAAGCCACCAAAATGTGTCCATCTCTGTACATCGGTGGAAATATATATGGTGTGCTACTCAGGTATCTTGAATTCGTCTTTTCTGTGCATAAAGTCATTGCGAGTCTAACTCGCACCAAAATCATCACGGCGACTCGGGCGAAGTGATAACTGTGAGCTCAGACTGCGAGCAATTGTTTTACTCGCAGTGACGTATAGGAAGATGCTTCGTAGCACACCATACTAATTCCACCATGGGTGAAATGGTTTGCAATTTTGGTTGACAACAGTAATAAATGAACGCGTGGTTACGTCAAACTGTAATGCACCAAAGAAGAAGAATATGAACGCAGTTGTTGGATTGATGGAGCCCCCGGTGAATAAAAGAATGTTCCTATGGTGGAAGAATTTTGGTGGCTTCCGAAATGACAGCGAAAGCATAACCTCTAAAAACTAAAAACGAAATATTGGATTTTAGAATATGAAAATAAAAGAATAACTGCATTATTGACACCAACGGAAATTGCAGAAATTTCGAGTGGTAGGTACTTTTTTCTTTTCCATCATAAATTTCAAGAAATTAGTGGAAACATTCAGGAAACTTGAGTACCAACAGAGAATTCTTAATAATGACTATCCATATCGTGAGAATTTTCAACCTATCTCGTCTACTCCCCAACAAAACTAATATTTCATCCTAGGAACTATCAGAAGAACTGCTAGAACTTTTGAATCTGAGACAAGGACTCCAATAACACTTCTAATCATTTTCCATTAGTTTTCGCCAAATCTGAGCTAATTTAAAACAACCTAAATCACCGTCAGATCATGAAAAAAATGGAAAAAACAGTTGTGATTTGTCATGTCAAATAACTGCGTTTTTTTTTCAACACTGATGACTCCTACAATTCGGTGCATCAGAGAATGACATCACTTCCATCAATGATGGAAATGTAACGTGAAAAAAAAAAACCCAAAGGTAAACTCAAGAATGGCAAAACAAGAACCTACTTAACCTCAAATGTCAAACATTGACAGTGTTGTGGTAAATCGAAGATCTCTGGCCTTGACACACTAAACTGTTTTACGGCTAACCAAATTGGTTTTTTAACGATTCCACACGTGTTTCGCTAGAGTCTTCTTCTGAAGATGCTAACATAGTCAGCGAAACATGTATCAAAGCGTTAAAAAATTGTTTGATCAGTGGTAAAACAGTGTAGTGTGAGTGTTGTGGTCATCCTGGTTGTGGTGTTTTGGTTCATCACTATCCACATTAACACGTTTTATCTACTATTTGGGGCATCCCATGTTGGTGAAAAAGTGCAGATGAGTTAGTTTAATGAATTAATTTCACATTATGTCAAAGTGTCGAGAATAATCTTTTAATAGAAAGTGAGTTAGTTGAAGATTTTCCTCGTCTTGAATAAAACACCCGAAGTACCAATACAAAGTCCTTTTATTTTCTTTTAGAAAAAATGGTCCAAACAAAAAAATTGCAATTCGTCCCACATTACCCGTACTGTTTTAAGAAGGTTCACCTTCGCATTTAACAAACACTGGTTCCTCGGAATGCTTCTTCTGATGATTCTTCATAGAAGTCGGCCATTTTGTCTCGTAATCGCATCGGTCACACCTGTGAGTCTTCACCTGCAGGCTCTGCTCACTTTCTGGCCTGTGGCCTATGAGGTGCCTCACTAGCGCCCTCTTGTATTTGCTTTGGAACTCGCATTCGCTGCACTTGAAGTAGGTCACCTTGTTCAGGCAAAATTCTGGTTAGGCTGGCGGATGGCTTTTTTCTTATTATTATTTGAAACTTGTGAACTACCAATTCTTGATGAAAATGATTGGCGAAACGATTCAGCACCACTCGACTTATCCCGAGACTTATTCTTTTTTCGATACCCAAGGTATACTGAATATACAGGGAACTGCACAAAAAACATGCTTCCATGACTATTACTTGAGTTGGTAATATTGCACAACTGACAATCTAATAATAAAGTTACATATTCTGCACAGGTTCCAATGTTGATTATGTTATGACCCAATGAGATTGTTTTCATATTATCATCACATACCCATTCAGGAGAAAAAAAAATCTAGAACGAAAAATATTTTTAAAAAATACTCAATTATTTTGAATTTTCTCCAATAATTGCTCCAAATTCTGTATGTGTGTATATAATTGAATTCTAGGCAACTTTTTCCAATAACTTTTTTCGATATCTTGTAACTCCACTTTTTGCATTTTCATAGTCATTTTTCCCAATTTAACGCCATACACCCGTGACCACGTGTTACGATTTTTAGATTATCTTGCATGCATAATAATAAATCACCAAGAAACAAATGTTCAATAATTGTACCCATATGTTACTGACTTTATGGATGATACTGTATACAGGGTGGAGACTTCAACTGGAATAAATTCGATACCAGGGTGGTGAATATTTTTTTCTGAAAACTCCCGACATACGTCAACGTTCTGATGAATTTGGCTGAATTTTTTCAGGAGTACCTGATACCACCGACAGCTTGTTTCTCTCAAATGCAACCTAATGGCTTGTGATCCTTCTTATGAAAGCTCATGGAATTAAATTAATTTTCAACGAAACAATTACTCATAATGAGTTTTGACCTTTATTTTCAGATGTCTACAAACCATTCACAGTAATTTATGCCACAACTGATATCTGCTATTTTATGCCAGTGTTTTTACATAACCGCAAAAAGAAATTCAGTTTGTATGCCGAAACAAAGTGTTGTTTCAAACTTGTAAAAATTTTATGAGAATACATAGAAAGAATGTATTTATGTTAGATTTTAAAATAATGTTTTGATTTAATGGAACCCTCATGTACTACAAACTCTTTCAACCAGCTTTCCAATGAGAGGTCACAAGCCATAGGATTGGATTTGAAAAATACATGTTCTGGCTAACTTCAGTTACCCCTGAAGGGCTATATTCTTCATATTTCTTGCAAAATCTAGGTAAATAAAAACAGCAAAACGTTGACGTGTCTCGCAAATTTCACCATCCCGCTAGCGAATTTATTCTAGTTAAAGTCTCCACCCTGTATATCATGGGTTACAATGTTAATTTTTCCCATGTGTGTTCAATTGAGAGAATTAGCAAATTTGGAAACTTAACATTCGTTGAGATTTCACAATTACTATGATATTTCATCAAGTTACGGCCGAATCAACTATAAAACAGACGATGACATTTGTCGAGACTATCATGTGCGTGCAAGAACTGTCAGATGACGGACCCTAGAGGTGAATCATTGAAACACAACTTCACTTTTCGTTTACAAGTGATTGAAATAGTTTTTCACAATTATTTTGGCATTGGAATCGTGTTTTTCAGCTATTCATTAAATCGCGCATGCCATCATATTGTGCTGTTGTAAAATGCACAAAAAATGCAGCCAGAGACGAAGGAATCCGGTTGGTACATTATGATTTAAATGATTTAAAAGTGAGTATGTACCTACTATAGTCACTCACATATAGTTTTCATTTTTGAAATTTGGTAGTTTCTCTGATTTCTCATCGGATTTCTCGTGAAATTTCTAACATAATGCAAGAAGATTGGATTCGCAACGAGAAGACTGGTCTGACGACATGCTGCATGCAGTATTAGCTCCTATTGCAGAAGTGGCAGAAGGAATTTTAATAAGAAATTACAAAATTTCATGATGAAACCTATGTGAGATTACTATTTACCTGAAAAATCATGGTCCTTCGTCTCTCACTGCATTTTTTGTGCATTGTAAAACAGTGAATAGTGCAAAAAACACGATTCATATGCCAAACTATTGTGAAAAACTATTTCAATCCTTTCGATTCCTCTGTAAACAAATAAAAAAAGTGAGGTTGTATTTCAATGTTCCACAGAAGAGTGAGGTTATGTTTCAATATTTTACCTTCATGGTCGGTTATCGTGCACGCGACCTATTCCCTACGAAAATATCATTCATCATCAATGAAACATGCCCACTAACCTCGTCCGCCGTTTTGTGCACGTACTGGTGCTTCTGTAGGCACTCTTTCCTTCGCGTGCTGTACGAGCACTTGGAGCACCTCAAAATCGACAATTCGTCGTGCTCCTTGTGAAAAGACTGCCCGTGAGCTAACAAGCTGGACTTGTACTTGGTGCGAAAAGGACAGGAATCGCACTCGAACATCAAAATGTCCTCGGGCCTGCCGTGCAGGTTCCTCTTGTGGATGCGCAGGGCGTTCTGCGCAATCGCCAAGAGCAAGAGTGAGTGACCCATCAATACGGATAAGTGACATAGCGGTACGCACAAGTGATAGATGAGTACTGGTAAGTGACATTTTGGTATGGATTGGTTACATATCGTTATGGATATGTATATACGGATAAGTGATAGATGGGTATGGAGAAGTGATGGATGGGTAGGGATAAAAGACATTTTGGTATAGATAGGTTACATATCGGTACGAATATTTGACGTATAAATACGAATAAGTGATAGATGAGTACGGGTAAATGACATTTTGTTATGGATAGGTTACACATCGGTACAAATGAGTGACAGAAGGGTACGGATTAGTGACATATCGATACGAATATTTGATGTATAAATACGAATAAGTGATAGATGAGTACGGGTAAATGACATTTTGTTATGAATAGGTTACACATCGGTACAAATGAGTGACAGAAGGGTACGGATAAGTGACATATCAATACGGATAGGTGACCAGTTTTCACAATAATGTCCTACAATTTTGTGAATCGAACGATGATGTCAACAGAACGATGAAAACTTGCCCTAATGTAACTTTTCGCATTGTCTAACTCATTCATTGCTTGTGAACAGGCTGCCGTGGGCTAATAGGCTGGATTGGTACTTGGTGCGAAAAGAACACAGATCGCTCTCGAACATCGATATGTCTTCTGGTCTGCCGTGCAGGTTCTTCTTGTGAATGCGCAGAGCGTTCTTAAATCACACCAACAGTACGAGTGAGTGACGTATCGATACGAATAAGTGACATATCGGTACAGATGAGTGACATTTTCGAATGGATACGTTAGATATCGGTACGAATATTTGGCGTATAAACACATATGTGATAGATGGGCACGGATGAGTGATTGATGGCTTTGGTTGAATGACATATTGTTATGAATAGGTTACATATCGATACAAATGTGACGGAAGGGTACGGATAAGTGACAGGTGTGTACAAATAAAACTTTAGGGGATTATTGATAGCTGCGGCCTTTAATTTTCTAGGTGATATTGGCGAAAATAACAAACAATGGCGCTCTTACCTTGTTCTTAGTAGTGTAAGGACATACGCCACACTCGAAAACCTCAGTGATTTCCTCATGGATAGCTTTGACGTGCTGCCGTAAGTCCTGTGGCCTCTTTGTCCTATAACTGCACTTTTCACAGTCGAACATCTTGACCTTCAAAAAAATGTATGATCAAATTGAAAATAATTTCTAAATGTGTTTTATTTAGTACCTCATCAGGGTCCTTATGCACCAAGGAGTGTTTTTTGATGCTGTGCTTGTAGATCGTCTTGAAAGGGCATATTGGGCATGCATATTCCGTTTGCTGGACGTGTCTGTGGCAGCGCAAGTGTTCATTCAAAAATCGTTTCTGACGTGTTATAAATTCGCACTCTGTACATTTGTACACCTGAAAGAATTCTTGCTATTATTTAGTGATGTGAATTCTACGTCGAATAGTAACATTGATTATTTACATAAAATATGTTTTTATGATAGAAGGAATGTCCTGCTTCAGGAAGGAGGATATTCCTCGATAGTTCAGCAACTGAGGTTTCCTAGAGCCGCCTACGAACCAGCCAAAAACTAAGACCAAACTTGGCTTCAACATTTTACATTAATAGTAGGGAAGCCCAAGTGGGGATTTCGGGATATACTCGAGCATGGTAGATTAACATAAGGGGGGTATCCTTAGAACTTGTGAAGTACTCCCACCATACCTGGGCGCTTTATATGGTGTCGAAAGTTTAGGGCAGCCGATCAGATTAGTAAAAAAAATCGATCGTCAGAAATATTCGAGCGCGTCAGATTAAGACATGGAACGTTAATTACATGCAGAAAAGTGTGCATTTCAGTCACAAAGTTGCAAAAAAAATCGTCACCTGTACATTCTCGAGCGCGGTTAATTTTTTTCTTATTTTAAAGGCATAATTTTTTTCTTATTTTAAAGGCAATTAGTCACGGATCTGCCGATTTGCACAAGCCAAAGTAACGAAAATCATCAATTAAGTGTGGTGCTTGCAGCCACTGGGAACTATGTATGTAATTGTAGTAACATAGAAAACTGAAAAAAAATTATCACTTCGAAAGAAAAGGTGTACTATAAGAACAAGTATAAGTTTGATACGCCGCTCATTTATGAGTAACCATATATGCAAAATATTTCATAAATGTATTGCTCATGAGACTAGACCATCTCAAGCATTTTTGTTCATCTATCTCAAACAGCAAAGCCGTTATCTCACTTTGCCACACTATTGGTCCACCCTGTATGTCTACATGAGCCTTATTCCATCTCAAAATTGTTGAATTATTCGGGCTGTTGACGTCCTGCTACAAATAACTGACCCACCTTGTATATTTTATATTCTAGTTTCTACATTCAGTCAACAACAAAAAAATCCAATCGTCATATTGAAGTATTTCCTCTACATAATTCTAAGATTATGGGTTGATATGACAAGGACATCAAGATGAAACGTCTGTGTAATTAATTATCTGACGCGCTCCAGTATTTGAAAGTCACGATCTTTTTTTCCATTTCCAAAAATTGATCATGACTTGTGGTCGCGTCCAAATCGGCAGTCTTTTGAATAAGAGCTACTTGAGGGTTCACTTAACATCACTTCTCAATATCTGAAGCGCGAATATTTTTTTTTACCTTTTCTCTATCCCTTCATATGGCACCCCCCCCCCCCATGCAAAATGACAGATTAATATTTTTCGGTTATCAGAAACGCGTGTGGCACATACACTATTAATATTTGATGCGCTTGAGTATTTCCATGTGACTTTCTTCTTAATTTTTGAACACTTGTACACGCTCTTCCCACCAGTAAAAGGTCATATATCATATATACTTTTTTTCATTTTTGCATCCAATCTTCACAATCTCATACGTCTCCACGACGCTCGAGTAAATTCCTATTTAGCCTCTTTGCCACCACTACTATTATAGGTGGATCAGCTTGTTAGTGTAAATTGTTGTCTGGTCTGCTCCATAGCTCACTTGAGTGTATGACCACCAGAGGATGTTTCCGTATCGGACGAAATGATCTTCACTTTTTTTCTAGAAAATGTTCGAAATTTGTGGTTATATAAGTTGTCAGTGTCAAGGGATGTCGTGCCATCGCGACCTGTGTTGTATTTTCTCCTAAAAAAATCTTTCTTTTTCAATTTTCGTTGTTGTAATATTCCTTTTGTTTATAGTTTTCTGTTATCCTGTTATATTCTGTGCTCCCAGTATTATAGTATTTCATTCTGATTGATAATTTGTTAAAAACTCTGTCTCTCAATTATTGTGCTTACCAGAACTTGTGAAACCCTCTCCATTCATGGATTTCCAATATTTTTTTTCAACATAAGTGGATTCATTCATTTAATTTAGGTGTTGAACGTTGCAAAATTGGGAACTATTGTATTGCCTGTAGATTTTGAGATGGAATAATTTTTTAAAATTTTTGTGTGACTGAGTGACCGTGAATATGTCGTGACTGAACTTAAACTCACTGAACAAACTACACCGCCGGCCGAGACCACCACTCAACTCATTCACGATTTTCAAGGTTATGTAGGTTCGATAGAAAAACAATTGAAATAAGTGTTTCCTCGAGTTGACCGTATGGCGGCACTACTGTATCGGCCACAGAAACCTGTAGGTGATTTCCCTCGTTTGAGCAGACCAGATACTACAGCTCACTAGATTTTGTCTCCATATTTGGCAGACAATGGTGTAAATAATCAAGGGTAATGAATAAGCTAGGAGTGTAGTGAGCCAAAACACATTTGAAATAGGTTTATACTGAAATTGGCGTGAAAATTAGGGACTTAAGTGATGAACTCACTTTCAGATGTGTATCTTCATGCATCCTAACGCTTTTTTTCCAAGCTGCTTCATATGTACAAAAGCGGCACTTGTACATATTGATTTCTTCTTTGGTTTTGTGAGTGATCATATGAGGTACCAAGCTACGTTTTTGATTGGTAGTGAAGTCACATTTAGCACAGTGGAAGGTTTCTTCTGATTTTTCTTCACCTACATGAACCTTTGAGAAGAATGATAAGAATATCAGGATGCAGTTGATGATAGAAAAAAAAAAACAGTGGTGATAATGAGGATTTAGCACAAGGGTTTGGTCTGGGGTTTGGTAATGTTATTTTTTTCGAAATTTCTAGTGCAACAAGGCTAACATTTTCACTATTTTTTCATATCATCATATGGAATTAACCGATTTTGCTACCATTCATTTGTTTTTTCACATAGAATAGTTCTGAAACAAAATGAAGAAAAATCCACAAAATAAAATCTAATCTTTAAAATTCTCCTGTCCCAATCACAGTGTTAGTGGCCAAACTTCCCCGAAACGGCTCGACCGATTCGTATGAAAGTTTTTGTGTGTATTCAGTCCGGAGAATCGGTCATAATCTATTTTTCAAATCGAAAATTCAAGATGGCGCACGAGTTTTGTAATCCGATTATATTAAAAATTTGTATCTGGGGATTTTTGAGGTCGGAGATTCTGATTTATTCGTCAAAATTAGTAAATTCAAAATGGCGGATCGAATATGGCGAACGAGTTTTATGATTATGGCCAGATTCTATTCAAAATTGGTATCTGGGGGTATTTGGGGTCGGAGATTATGATTTATTCGTCAAAATTAGGAAATCCAAAATGGCGGATCCAATATGACAGAAAGTTTTTTGCTCGATTTTTTTATTATGAACCGATTCTATTCAAAATTGGTATCTGGGAATTTTTCGAGTCGGAGATTATGATTCTTTCGTCAAAATTTGAAAATTCAAGGTGACGGATTCAATATGGCAGACGAGATTTTTTATTATGATCAGATACCATTCAAAATTATGTCTGGGGGTTTTTGGGGCCGGAAATCATGATTCTTCCGTCAAGATTTGCAAATTCAATATGGCGGACCAGTTTTGTAATTATGATCCGATTCTATTAAAAATTGGTATGGGGGGTTTTCGGGGTTGAAGATTATGATTCTTTCGTGAAAATTTTCAAATTCGAGGTGATGGATCCAATATGGCGGACGACTTTTGTAATTATGGTCAGATTCTATTCAAAATTGGTATCTGGGGGTCATTGGAGTAGGAGATAATGATTCTTTCATCAAAATTTGGAAATTCAAGATGGAGGAACCAACATGGCGAAAGAGCTTTGTAATGAATAGTAGTTTGAAAAATTATAATGAAGGCTTTTATGGATAGCCAAACTCGAGGCCAAACTGAATAGAAGTAGAAAATTGATAGAATAGTTTAAAAAACGAGATAGATTGGCGAACTAAAAAGAAGTAGAAAATAAAAATGGTAGTTTTAAATACCATGATTTAATGGATAGCCAAACTGAAACATTGGTGAACTAAAAAGAAGTAGAAAATAAAAATAGTAGTTTGAAATACTAATGTAACACGTTTTAATGGATAGTCAAACTGAAACATAGAAAACAAAATAATAAGAATGTGTTGATAAATATTATACTGAAAAAATATTTTCTAGAAATAAATGTATATAGCAAAGTGATGTTTGACAGTATCAGCTATTGTAATGAATAGCCAAACTAACAGAGTGAGTAGAAGATAAAGAGTAAAGAGTAGTTTGGAAAAATGAAGAGGTATAGAGTGTGGAACTAAAAATAAGTAGAAAATAAATAGAGTAGTTTGAAAAACTGAAGAATTCCACTTGTATGGCTAGCCAAACAAAAAAGAAGTAGAAATGAAATAATGAGTTTTTTGATAAATATTTATGATGTTTATGGCAGAACAAATTTTGCCAAGTCAGCTAGTATGAATATAAAAATGTCCAGAGGGGAAATTGTAAAGGAAAAAACATGATCCAGAAGTCTGGCAGGAAGATTATCAAATATATATTTTGGCAACAAATTTCAAATAGGTACCTACCTTTTGTATGTGAACCCCCAAGTACCTTTCATGTTTAGTAGAGAAGGTGCATTTATCACAGCCATATTTGACAATTTGGTCAGGCAGCATATGTTTCAGCAAGTGGCGTTCCAAATCTCTTTTCCATAGAGACTTGTAAGCACACTCAGTGCATTTGTACCTTAAAAACAACTCATTGAATTCAATCTTGCACCTAATGAACAAAATGAGAAAATGCTACTTCTAAACCAAAGTTTGTCTCACTTTTTCATATCTTCTGACACCTTGTGTATCATCTCATGTTTCTCCAGATTGCACTTTAATTTCGTCTTGAAAGTACATACACCACATTCCAGCCAGTTTATCTGATCTTCACTCAGATGTATCAGACTATGATTATCCATAACATTCTTATGCCTGGTGATGAATTCACAAGACTGGCATTTGTACATTTTGATTCTGCCTTTATGCACTTTGATGAAATGGTACTTCAGTGCAGCATCAGTGTGGGCAGAAAACGGACATTTCTTGCAGTTGTATGTTTTTTGAGCATCTGAGGCAGTAATTATATTAACATTTGGTGTATCTCTGGAGAAAGTCATTTGCTTGCTACTTGCAGGAATGTGTGCAGAAGGGTCTAGAAAATGTGACTGGATTATATTATTATGATTATTATCCTCCATGTTTTCATTTGTGTTTTCTTCTGATTTAAGGATTACTTGAGAGTTTTCGAGAGAGCTTTCTATTTTCACGAAAGCAAGGTCGTTAGAAGACATATTCCTGGTATCAAATCTACTTCAAGCTAAAAAATATAATGAATATGAAGAGAAATAAATGCTTTTGGAACTTTGAACTTTTCAAACTTTGTTGTCAAATGATGTAACATGTAACCGATGATCCGATGAAACCGATGAAACAAACTCAACCGTTAACCTACAAAATTCGTCTTCTGTTTTGTTGTAATTTGTAATTGCTTTCATTCTTCTCAGTTCTCATTCTTCTAATAAAAGAACAGGGGCGTAACAAGAAATTCTTGGGCCCTGGAAAATTTTGTGATGAGCTCCTAATATAACTATAGGTAGGTACTGGTAGGGATATTTATCCTTCCTGAAAATACACCTTCTGTTTCATTTCCATTAAATTCAATTCGATATGTATGCATAAAATAATAGCTAGCGTGTCGCGTGTCCACTTCTCTCTATATCTCAACTATTAATCTTTTTATCCACTATCAATTGATATGAGATTAAAACAAATACTGGGTGTTTCAGAATTAAGATTTTTGACCACCCTTTATCTATTTCAATTAAATACCAATCGATAGTAAATAAAAATTGAGATAGGGACATGTGAAACGTTTTGACCAATTATATGAATAGTTTCGACACAAAAAATTCTTGAACCTGGAAAATCTCAATTGTTCACACCCTATATCGCTATACCTCAGTAATTATTACTGCTAGACTCCAAGTATGATGGGTCGTTGAAATCAGCTCATCAAGGAGAATCTGAAAATGAAATCGCAGATATAGGCGGGTGTTCAATTAAAAAAAGTATAACTTATTTAGTGTTTTGCGGTTTTAGGGGACACCCTGTATGTTTCGAAAAAATTTCAAATGGTAGCCTATGTTGACATGCAACATCCTAAGGAGGAAGAATTTCAACAAGATGAGTATGGTTAGCCTTCTAAAGACCGAGGCGTTACTGGTGGCCCACCCTGTAAATCGCCTTCCATAACAAATTTGGTACTAAATTGGCCATCAACCTTACGAGAGGTCCTTCAGCCCATGTGTGTGATGTGTAGACCGAGGGGTAAATCTCCTTGGAAGTCTGGTGTACACTCCGTTGGAAGTCTTTGGAATTCTTTGGAATTCTTCGGATGTCTTTGGAAGTCTTTGGGAGTCTTTGGAGGTCATTGGTAGTCTTTGGATGTCTCTGGATGTCTTTGGATGTCTTTGGAAGTCTTTGGGAGTTTTTGGAAGTATTTGGATGTCGTTGGAAGTCTTTGGAAGTCTATGTTAATTGGAAGTCTGGTGTACACATTTTTCCTGGAGATTTACCCCTCGGTGTAGACCTTATTGTTACTAATTCTATTCCCCACCTTCTTGATAGGCGACACCCTCCTTTGTAGAGAGGGATTACGAACGCCAAAGTTGATGCACTCCCCTCGTAAGGGTACCTGGCGTGATTCCATACACTTACAGTCTGTTAATCTTTCGACTGTTCCATTTAATATTCAATAATTCAAAATAAGCTGTTTTTTGAACAGAAAGTGTTCGAAGAAGAATCGAACTGTGATATGTATTTGAAGAATACATAATTAGATAATTATGAAAACGTATCTCGAAGATCTTCGAATTTCATCATTCATCTAGACAGGCGCTCAAAGATGTAGAATTCCGAAGTGAAGAGTCCCAAAAATAAATATATTAGTAATTTTTGCAAAACGGGTATCAAAATTCTGAGAAATCTGTGATATTTGACATAAATTCCTGGCAAAATCTGAAAAAATATGAATAAGTATTATGTTGCTTTTGTTTATTCCTACCTCTACAAACCCCTAAGTTTATACCCTTCCCTCCAAAGGGTGTCTCCAAGTTTCCATGTAAGATTATGGGACATCCGATATTTCTCAATGTTCCTGGAACATCCTGAAAAAAAAAAAAAAAACTGAATTAGTATCATAATTCACCAAACCCTCCATATATCATATTATAATTGGGTGTTGATTTTTAAGAACACACATCTATTGAAAAAACGACTGTACAATAGTTTTCTCATGAAATTTGGAAAAGATTTGATATAAAACCACTGTTTATACCTAACTCTTAATAGGCGACACCCTCCTTTGTAGAGAGGAATTACGAACGCCAAAGTTGATACACTCCCCTCGTAAGGGTACCTGGCGTGATTTCATACACTTACAGTCTGTTAATCTTTCGACTGTACCATTTAATATTTAATAATTCGAAAAAAGCTGTTTTTTGAACAGAAAGTGTTCGAAGAAGAATCGAACTGTGATATGTATTTGAAGAATACATAATTAGATGATTATGAAAACTTATCTCGAAGATCTTCGAATTTCATCATTCATCTAGACAGGCGCTCAAAGATGTAGAATTCCAAAGTGATGAGTCCCAAAAATAAATATATTAGTAATTTTTGCAAAACGGGTATCAAAATTCTGAGAAATCTGTGATATTTGACATAATTCCTGGCAAAATCTGGAAAAATATGAATAAGTATTATGTTGCTTTTGTTTATACCTACCTCTACAAACCCCTAAGTTTATACCCTTCCCTCCAAAGGGTGTCTTCAAGTTTCCATGTAAGATTATGGGACATCCGATATTTCTCAATGTTCCTGGAATATCCTGAAAAAAAAAACTGAATTAGTATCATAATCCACCAAACCCTCCATATATCATATTATAATTGGGTGTTGATTTTTAAGAACACACATCTATTGAAAAAACGACTGTACAATATAGTTTTCTCATGAAATTTGGAAAAGATTTGATATAAAACCACTGTTTATACCTAACTCTTAATAGGCGACACCCTCCTTTGTAGAGAGGAATTACGAACGCCAAAGTTGATACACTCCCCTCGTAAGGGTACCTGGCGTGATTTCATACACTTACAGTCTGTTAATCTTTCGACTGTACCATTTAATATTTAATAATTCGAAAAAAGCTGTTTTTTGAACAGAAAGTGTTCGAAGAAGAATCGAACTGTGATATGTATTTGAAGAATACATAATTAGATGATTATGAAAACTTATCTCGAAGATCTTCGAATTTCATCATTCATCTAGACAGGCGCTCAAAGATGTAGAATTCCAAAGTGATGAGTCCCAAAAATAAATATATTAGTAATTTTTGCAAAACGGGTATCAAAATTCTGAGAAATCTGTGATATTTGACATAATTCCTGGCAAAATCTGGAAAAATATGAATAAGTATTATGTTGCTTTTGTTTATACCTACCTCTACAAACCCCTAAGTTTATACCCTTCCCTCCAAAGGGTGTCTTCAAGTGTCCATGTAAGATTATGGGACATCCGATATTTCTCAATGTTCCTGGAATATCCTGAAAAAAAAAACGGAATTAGTATCATAATCCACCAAACCCTCCATATATCATATTATAATTGGGTGTTGATTTTTAAGAACACACATCTATTGAAAAAACGACTGTACAATATAGTTTTCTCATGAAATTTGGAAAAGATTTGATATAAAATCACTGTTTATACCTAACTCTTAATAGGCGACACCCTCCTTTGTAGAGAGGAATTACGAACGCCAAAGTTGATACACTCCCCTCGTAAGGGTACCTGGCGTAATTTCATACACTTACAGTCTGTTAATCTTTCGACTGTACCATTTAATATTTAATAATTCGAAAAAAGCTGTTTTTTGAACAGAAAGTGTTCGGAGAAGAATCGAACTGTGATATGTATTTGGAGAATACATAAATTTCATCATTCATCTAGACAGGCGCTCAAAGATGTAGAATTCCAAAGTGAAGAGTCCCGAAAATGAATATATTAGTAATTTTTGCAAAACGGGTATCGAAATTCTGAGAAATCTGTGATATTTGACAAAATTCCTGGCAAAATCTGAAAAAATGTGAATAAGTATTATGTTGCTTTTGTTTACCTCTACAAACCCCTAAGTTTATACCCTTCCCTCCAAAGGGTGTCTCCAAGTTTCCATGTGAGATTATAGGACATCCGATATTTCTCAATGTTCCTGGAACATCCTGAAAAAAAAAAAAAAACTGAATTAGTATCATAATTCACCAAACCCTCCATATATCATATTATAATTGGGTGTTGATTTTTAAGAACACACATCTATTGAAAAAACGACTGTACAATAGTTTTCTCATGAAATTTGGAAAATATTTGATATAAAACCACTGTTTATACCTAACTCTTAATAGGCGACACCCTCCTTTGTAGAGAGGAATTACGAACGCCAAAGTTGATACACTCCCCTCGTAAGGGTACCTGGCGTGATTTCATACACTTACAGTCTGTTAATCTTTCGACTGTACCATTTAATATTTAATAATTCGAAAAAAGCTGTTTTTTGAACAGAAAGTGTTCGAAGAAGAATCGAACTGTGATATGTATTTGAAGAATACATAATTAGATGATTATGAAAACTTATCTCGAAGATCTTCGAATTTCATCATTCATCTAGACAGGCGCTCAAAGATGTAGAATTCCAAAGTGAAGAGTCCCAAAAATAAATATATTAGTAATTTTCACAAAACGGGTATCAAAATTATGAGAAATCTGTGATATTTGACATAATTCCTGGCAAAATCTGAAAAAATATGAATAAGTTTTATGTTGCTTTTGTTTATACCTACCTCTACAAACCCCTAAGTTTATACCCTTCCCTCCAAAGGGTGTCTTCAAGTTTCCATGTAAGATTATAAGACATCTGATATTTCTCAATGTTCCTGGAATATCCTGAAAAAAAAAACTGAATTAGTATCATAATCCACCAAACCCTCCATATATCATATCATAATTGGGTGTTGATTTTTAAGAACACACATCTATTGAAAAAACGACTGTACAATATAGTTTTCTCATGAAATTTGGAAAAGATTTGATATAAAACCACTGTTTATACCTAACTCTTAATAGGCGACACCCTCCTTTGTAGAGAGGAATTACGAACGCCAAAGTTGATACACTCCCCTCGTAAGGGTACCTGGCGTGATTTCATACACTTACAGTCTGTTAATCTTTCGAC